AAATTTTTAAATATACACAAAGGTAGAATTTGCTTTACAGCTATGTGAATTTAATTTTAGCCATTTAAAGTCACTGTTTATTTTTCAGGCTTTAGCCAATCAATATAATCCATATTTAAATTAATATGTAAATCAATTTAAATATATTTTCATGAAAAAAACTACACATGCAAAAAAATACAAAGATCATGTTTTTTGTATTGGAATGCTCCTACTTGGTCTCTCGCTAAAAAATGGATAATTAGAAAATGATTTACTTAGCTGTATCTTTTTATTAACAAGTAAAATGATTATATTAGAAAAAAATATTAGGGGATTTATTATGTTGAATGTTACTGAAGACATAGTTCGATAGTGTATTTCCCCTTATATTTAATATGGATTACTTCATAATACCAAATGATCTTGTTGGTGTGCAAATTGTGTAAAATTTCACTCTGATGATATCTTCTGTAATGGGTTAATTTAGGTCATTTCGGTATCTCAGTATATGTAAGTATTTGTTGCTTATTTCTTAAATGCAATTTTGACATAAGATAATGATTATATGAAAGAATCTTTTTTAATCTTTTTAATTATGAAAAGGTAGACTGAGCTGATGCTGGCATTATTTAATAATTTAGAAATGTTTGATTTGCCAGAAAACTGTGAAGGACTTGATTCATTTTTAAGTTTCTTATTGACTTCACGAAATGAACCCTGCTATTGGATAGCATGTATGACACCAAAATTATTTGTATACATTTAAGCACAATGTCTGAAAATCTAGGATGTTTGCAAAAAACATGCACATGTATTGCTTGCATTTAATAACTGCAAAACACGAAAAAGATTTATTTATACAATACTGCCACATGTATTAAAGTTAAAGAATTAATTATTAAAACGTCAGCCAATGTTCACATCACACTAGTCAGGATCCAGGTGCACTGCATCCAGATGAAATACAAAAGTGACATACTTAATGAAAATGAAAGCATGAAAATCTAGAAATGGTTAAAAAATGAGCTGTCCTGTACTTCTAACAGTATGGTTGTAGGGTCAAATCCCATGGGCTTAACAGTGCTGTTTGGTCCTTAAGAAATACATCTATAAACAGATAATATACAGAATTGCAAAAGATAGTTACGGAATATTTGTTCCAACTCTACTGAAAATTTTGCCAAGATGATTGTAAGTAAATAAAATTTCCAGCTAAAAACTAAATTGCAAAACATATTCCTTGTATTTTACAGCAAATGAGGAGTGGAAGCATCACAGTGATGTTGCTGGTTTCCACCCATTTTTCTAACCATTTTGCTCAATGGTATCCAATAAAAATCACCAATCAAAATTTGTTTGATTGTATAGATTGATAAGCTGCTCAGCTATAATCTGCTGTTATATCCACAGTCTGAAAAAGTTACACATTAATATATCTTTGGTTCCCTTTAAGAACGATATCAATAGATGTAAAGTGTTCTGTAATTCAAAGGGATGCTTCCATTCACTTTTAGTACAGCTTAAATAAAGATAATTATATTATGCAAATTTGAGACAGTTAGGTTACAAAGTAAAATAAAAATCTAGTTAAATGTACAACCACCATATTTTGAAAGCATCCATTGTAATGAAAAAATAGCTTTTTGTTGGATATGAAATATATCTCAGGAGGACATATCATATTTTAGGAAATAAAGATGTTTTAGGGAAAATGTATAATACCTATTGAATTGTTAACATGTCATACTGTCATGAAAGAAAAACTGAATGCATGTATTTCCAGATAAAATGTGGTAAAAGCTTGATGCTGGAGATAGAAATCTAATTTGCAATGGCTTTGACATGAGGGGATGTCACTGACAGACAAGGAAGACAGAGAAAAAGATAACAGAGAGGAGAGAGAGAATACAGGGGAAATATGGGCTTCTTCAAATGCAGCTTAAAAACTGTTCTTTATTTCTCCAGTGCCCAGAATATACTGAAAATGCTTTTTTTTAATGTTCAGATATTTTATACATTTTTTATGTGGTAACATAAAATAGGAAATACCAGCTGGTGCTGCTGCTTAGTCCCTGGTATGATACTTTCCAGGTGTTGCACTCCGAACACATGGATTGTTTGGTGCCTGAGGTGATTTTTGAGGGCTCTTGTTCCAGACAGCACTGCTGATCACAGATTTGTAAATGAGACGGATTGGTGTTTGCGAGTAGAAAAAAGGATGCAGGAGCATTCCGATGACATTAACGGCATTATCAAAATTCTTTACGGGAATCCATAATCAATTATGAGGTTTGGGCATGAAGAGCTTTGGTTGTGTGTGCAACAAAAACACTGAAGAAACAGTGGAGCTGAAGCTTTCAGTGGAGCTGAAGCTTTCAGTGGAGTCGTCTGCTGTCAGTTTTCCTGAGTCTCCTGCTCCCATTCAGCAAGCTATTTTTCATTTAAAAACATCAGTTCAGTGTTTCCGTTTCAGTTTTACCAAAGATGTAGTTTCACAAAAGAAAGCTTTGATGCACATTATATAACCCAGGAAAATTGTCTATCATAAAGAGAAGTTGCTTAATGGTAGGCTAAACGGACTGCTTATGCTAAACTTATAATTATTAAAATTAAGATGCTTCAGAGCAGTTTGTCATGCATGTGTATTGAAGTTTGAATTTCTTTGGCAGGTCATCATTTTGTCTAAATGCAACATTGCTATAGAATGTCATAATGCTTATTTCATTACCTCTTGTTATCCGAAGACCCCGTGACCTGGTCCAGGACAAACAATTGGAAAATGGATGGATGTTCCCAAAAGTCACATATAGTTCCTGCTTATTTTATTCAGTTTAGGTACTTTGCTCGTGGGCTCAGTTGTACCTATAACAGTCATTCATTCCACTTTAGCCAGAAAACATCAGCGTACCTAATCACCCAGCTGCAATCCTACATAACCAACGCACAGTGTGATCTATCTTTTACTCACACTGAGCAAATTTGAACCCTTGACCTTCAAAGTACAGGTACATTCAAAGGGTGACACTGTACACAGCTACACTTTCATTCTCTGCAGCACGTGACCTTCTATATCCATCCATCCATCCATCCATCCCTCCATCCATTTCCTGTATCTGCTTTTCATATATTTTTCCAAAAAATTATGTTGCCACCAGTGGTAAATCTGTAAGAAGAGTTCTAAATGGACTAAGTGGTTTCTGGTTCCCAAAGGTACCAGTGAGAAAGGATCCTATGTTATTATATAGTGTATCCAACAATATCAATTATTAAAGTGCTAAATTAGAGGGTGTGTAAGCAGATTTGGGTAAAACAGTCTGCAAAGTAGGCAAATTAATTAAAGTAACTTTTATAGCCATTTTTTGGCCTGTTCTACTTCCCGAGGTAAACAGAATGTCCTTTGCAATTAAGATTAACTGTGACAGCAAAACACTGCAACATGGAAAGCGGGTTACTTTATGAAAAATTGGTTCAAGGTGTTTGATTTTGGGTGAAGTCTGAATATTTCTGGTCTGAGGTGCTAAGTAAGATGGAATTAATAAATTTAGTGGCTAGGAGGGACAATTATTGACTTAATGAGCCATGAGATGCTTGCGTGGGAATGTGTTTATTGATTATTGTCCCAGCTATGGGTGTCTGAAGTTTTCCCAGAATGTTACAGCTGGTGTCTCAGGGATCAATCTTTGTAAAGGAAGGCCAATGGAGGACGACCGGTGTGTGTGTGTGTGTGTGGATTAAGTTCTTACATCGTGGGGACCAAATGTCCCCCACAATGTAATAAAAACCTGTTTTTTTGATGCCGTGGGAATCAGGTCCCCACAAGTTCACAAAAATCTGTGAATGCAATCAAAAAACTATTTTGTTGGGTTAGTTATAGTTAACGTTAGGGTTGGGAAGGGGTTACAGTCGTCATGTTGGGATTAGAGTTTTCCCCATAGAAATGAACAATGAATGCCCACAAATATATAATTACAAACCTTTGTGTGTGTGTGTGTGTGTGTTTGTGTGTATATGTGTCTGTGTCTGTGTGTTTGGGTGGTGGTAGATTAGGGTGGGGGGGGGGGGTATAGATTTGGTTCCCCCTCCCTTTGTATTGCATTTCTCCAAGCACATCTGTAACTCTGCACAGACCCCCCACCAGGCCTGGGATACAGCGGCTCAATCGGGTTTTCCCCAGAAAATCATTCCTGAATAAATGTTTTTACTCTCACTTGGCTGCCCCACCCCCGCCCACCCCCCACCGGAGCCCCACCCTGCTGCCCTGTGCCAGTGACCTCTGACCGGCCCGTGAAAAGTTATTAGAGTGGCTGATGTGCTCTCCCAAGGACGCTGCTGTGGGCAGGCTGGGAAAGTGCCCTTCTAGGGTGAGCAAAGTCACCAGGACCTTGGGGGTGGTCACAGTCGATGGAGTGGGGGCCCAGCTTTGTCATTAATAGAGATCCTTTTTAACTAAGTCCCCTGTCCAAGTGCTAGCCCGTCTATTGTCCCTGAGAGCATTAGCCAAAGACGTGGCCCCTCAACCAACTCAAACCAGCAAGTCCTTGATGTTTTTACTCTTTTTTATCCCGTAACTCTTAGCCTTCCCACTGTCTTTACCCGCCTCTTTTAATTACTTTTACTACTCTTCTCCTCCCTCATTTCCTCTCTTAGGATTGTAATTGGTATACTCCACTTTGCTCTGGTCAAACAGAAGAAACACTAGACTAGTTTTGGTATAATGCTCTCTAAGGGCTGCTCTCTTACTCAGGTGTATACGGTAATAACCCCAATCAGCAACGTTACTCCTTTTTTGGGAGAGTCAAACTGTACATCGGCTTTTAAACGCGATATACTTACAGCAATGTCTAATTTACTTATTCTTCGGTTTATTATTATGAGGTTAATTGTTTGATCCAAACTATCAGAATCAACTTCTACATCTATCACATCAGAAAGAAATCAGCTTCACCATATCACCGAAATCGGGTCATCTTTCGTCAATATTGAGCTTTTTTCGGTGTTTTTAAAACATGTATTTTGTGAGCGCCAATGCACATAAAGTCCCTTTCTGTACTGGTAGTTATTTAACTTGACTTTAATAGCTGAAAAGGCAGAGATAAGACACATAAATATTGCAAGTACATTATATCACGGAATGTGCTGTGCCCATACAAATATTTTCGTTTGTTTCGCAAATATGCACAGCAGCTTTAAGGGCCCTGTTTCAAAAGCCAGAAGGGAGTAATTAGAGGATTTAAGCGCACATCTGCCTTTAGCTGGCTGTCAAGAGAAGGCACTGAATGGAGTTTGTTTCACTGCTCATTAGAAAGTTTTCTTTGAGGGAAGTTATTAAGAATTATAATGTCCTCGTGGGGATTGAGGACTGGGTGTTTTTTCCACTTGCAAAGTAGAGATTTCTTTTCGTGATGTAGACGATTTAACTCGGAATGCAGCTTTGTGTAGCATGATCAGACAGTCTGCACTCTGTATTTAGGATGAACCGCAGAGGAAAATGAGCAACGGAGGAACTTGCGAAAAGGTCTCCTTCTTAACAGAGGATTGAAATGCGCCAGATCAAAATATATATATTTCGGGAAAAGTAAACACGGTAACAATGGAAAAAAAGCTCGAAGTAACTTTAGTAAAATGTGTGGCCAGCATGAATTATAGGGCTCCTGGAAGGTATAGCCTGCTTCTCGGGACGGAAGTTGTAATATAAACGGCTCTGCGGCACACGTCGGCTCCTGGAAAGCGTCGGCATTCCCGAAGAGGGGCGGAAAAGCGGAAAAAGACCCTTTGGGAAGTGCTGACGCGGCCAGCTGCACGGAGGAAACTTCAGGACTAAAGCGGGGCAGACCTGGGGGAACCACCATGCTTCTCTGGTTTATTATTTTCGGGGGACTTATGAGAGCCGATTGCTATTTTTCCGAGGAGAAACATCCCGAAGAGTCAAACATGCAATCGCCTACGGTGGTGATCGCAGTAATCGCACGAAACGCTGCTCACTCCCTGCCGTACTATCTGGGGGCTCTGGAGAGATTAAACTACCCTAAAGACCGCATCTCGATATGGTAGGTGGCTTTTCTTCGTGATCGCCCGCTATTTAGGGGGCCGCTAATTCCCTTTTATGAAAAATGCAGGCGCACAAAGGTCAGTCGTATTTAGTTCTTAGCCCCCAAACGCCCACTGCGCCCCCTCTTTAAGTCGTAGCGGCTTTTTTCCTTTGCCCCATAGGTATAGAAAGTTGTTTTATAGACGTTAAAGCAATCATGTTCGAATACCACATTATTTCACGCAGGGAAAAGCAAGGGAGTACTCAGAAAGTGCAGAATGCTTGCCAAATATTTTAAATAATTAAAGCTACCGTAGATATATGACTGGCCGTAGTTAGTGTAGTTATTTTTGTTTCTGACGTTCTGTCCACTAAAATTGTGGGTTGTAAAATGAACTGTTTCATGCGTTTACATAATATGACACAGTTTGTTAGTAATATTTGTGTAGTGTCTCCATTTAAATGAATCAAGATTAAAATTTTTCTGGTTTCATTGTAATATACACAATAAGATTACATCATTTTTAACTGGACGTTTTGTTTGTCTGGAACTTGATTTGCGTTTTTAAACAATCTGTACATGTGCCTCATGACAGGGCAGCGACAGACCACAACGCGGACAACACCACAGCTATCCTGCGCGAGTGGCTCACCGTCATGCAGAAGACCTACCACTATGTGGAGTGGAGACCAATGGAACAGCCCACGTGAGTGTCTCTGGTCTGCCGGCTGCCCCCAGTGACATTTTCAATTTGAGACAAGTTTTCACACACAAGCACACGCATTTACATGTATGTATCAGTTTTATTACCTTGTACATAGTCTGTAGGTAGGGTGTGCAGGCTAGCCCAGTGCTTTTGATTTAGCTCATTTTAGGTTTATAACGGAATAATATAGATTTGCCGTAAGATTTGTTGTGAGAGCCTGAGTGTCACGTCAGATGTGTGAGAGCTGGCGGGCCTGGTGTCTGCGTACCCCCCAGCAGCTCCCACGGCCATCCGCAGGGGAGGATATGCTTAAATCAGGACTCAAAGGGTGCATCACCACCTGGTGGTACTACACATGCGTTCTAATGAAGACAGCAGGAATGAAACCACCAGTCTGTGCTTGTCTTTTTCATGCACCTGAGGCCACTTGTTAGGCCATATTATACCACATGGTCTCATCCACAGTTGTTAGCTTGTATTTAGTTGTTTAACTGAGGCTCCCATCCATATAAATGCTGGATATTTTATTGGAGTGGTTTTATGTTGAAGATGTTTACATTTGGCACTTAAACCGATGACCTTCTGATAACCTTCTCAGTGTCGCTGGTGTGTTTTGTAGCTCCTACCCAGGTGAGATGGGGCCCAAGCACTGGACCAATGGCAGATACGAGTACGTCATGAAGCTCAAACAAGCGGCGCTCAACTTCGCCAGAAGGCGCTGGGCAGACTACATACTGGTAGGGGCACCCATCAGCTCCTCCTCAAGCATTGTTTCCTGCCCGTGATGCTCTTTAAAGGCGTCCAACTTAAAAGAGAAACAAGACACATTATTACTTGAATAATAACTTTAAGTCTTTTACTTAAAATCACCACATAGGCCAAGCTGAGTGAAATGGCAGGAAATAATACAAATCAAATGAATGAAGATATCCAAGAAAACCATGCATGATGCTACGTCCCGGATACAGGACTTATGACATCATAGGGAGTGGGAGAGGGCGGGATCTCGCGTTGGGTCTGGGCCGGATCGCAGCCTGATTGCACCTTGTTTCCCAGTATTCCGACACCGACAACGTTCTGACCAACCCAGACACGCTGAGCCTCATGATAAAGGAGAACAAGTCTGTGATCGCGCCCATGCTGGACTCTCAGACGGCGTACTCCAACTACTGGTGTGGCATCACCCCCCAGGTGAGCAGCGCCCCCACGCGTGAGGAGCGGAGCGGGCTTGGCGTTCAGGGCAGCACCGCTCTCCGTTTCCAAAAGCGGATTACACTCACTACAAAGTGCATTGAATCGCAGTGCTGTATAGCTCCAGGAGTGTGAACAGGGAAACTTAAAGAAAATCCATCCATCCATCCATCTACCCATTTCTCCAGTACAGGGTTGCATGCAGCCTGATGCTTACCTCAGGCAACACTGTGGACATGACAGGCGACGTCCTGGATAGGCTGTCTGTCCGCTGTAAGGCACAGACAACCCCTGTGGGCAGCTCAGAGATGCCAGTTTGCCAAACCGCACGTATTTGGATGGTGGGCGGATTCCAGAACACCTAAGGGAATCCTTTGTGGCACACACACACACACACACACACACACACACACTCGCACACACACACACAGATTCAAACCCCCAGCTTTGGAGGTGCTACCCCCTGAGCCAGCGTACTACAAAAGAAACAAAACAGCATTTGTGCTTCATGTTTCTGGTACTTTGTGTAATGAGAATGATCCTCCATCGATTAGCCGTCTGAACATCTTGAGGGCTGTCTGGGAAAGAGAATGGTGCTCAGGATGAAACCGCCGCCCCCCCCCCCTCCCCCCATCAGGGTTATTACCGTCGCACGGCGGAGTACTTCCCCACCCGGCACCGGCACCGCACGGGCTGTTATCCTGTCCCTATGGTACACTCCACCATGCTGCTGGACCTGCGCAAGGAGGGCATGAAGAAGCTGGCTTTCCACCCGCCTCACCGCGATTACTCCTGGCCCTTCGACGACATCATCGTCTTCGCCTTCTCCTGCCGTGCGGCCGGTAAGCCTCAGAACTGGAGCTGCGCCATGCGCGATGCTAATATCCACATCGCATTTTATGCACGTGCAGTTGTCACATCGCATGGACCGCGATAGCCGGGTCGAGACCGTAAAGAAGTTGCGCTAAAACATTTGTAGTCGGTCACATGAACCAAAACTTGACAAGCTTTGCAGTTTTAATGATCGTTCCTTTTCAAGATAATGTGGTATATGTCAAAAAACATCTGTCTGAAGTTTACCGTCACTGTTTTTGTATGAGCTCATAATTAATTATTGTCCTCCTGTAGGACTCAGTCTGTGTGCACGTTTGTGGGAAATTTAACAAAAAGAGCGAGGAAGAAAAATGTTAACAAGAACTGGTCACAAAAAGACATTTGTCTTCCACTGTATTTTGGATTCCACAGAAATGATATTGAGCAAAAGCAAATGATTTGTCGGCAATGCATTGTGTCTGTTGGCACAACTCATTGCAGCACAACCAACTTATTTAACAGATTCTGTTGATAAATAACAAAAGGTTATTTTTGGCTATGATTTATTTCAGGCAACTTTCAGCTAGTTTTTTTATTGTGTAAATATCACCATATAATTGCTAAATTTCAAATGCTGTAATGTGAATTTTTTTACAATATAATGTATCCTACTTTAAATTCAGCCTGGAGGCGTTTGGCTCCTGGGGGGTGTGGGGGGGGAATGTTAGCATTGACAGTGAATTTTTGATTTATTAAATTTGCTCCCGCGTTGTAATTTTTAATCGCCCGATTTCACCTAACAAGCCGAGTTATAGCTGGCCCCTGCGCTCTGGGGTGGGAAGCCCCCATGTTTTCACTTGTGTCTCTGAGTTTGTGCACGCCAATGGCTCACCAGCACCAGTGCTGTTTGTGCTCAGAGGTGCAGATGTACGTGTGCAACAAGGAGCGCTATGGCTACATTAACGTCCCGGTCAAGCCCCAGCAGACCATCGAGGATGACCGCATCAACTTCCTCCATCTGCACCTCGAGTCCATGAGTAACTTATTTTATTTATTATTATCAAATAATTTCTTTATTCATTCGTTGTGTTGTGTTGCTCAGTTTGTCCAAAGTGAGTACTCCTAGAGTAGGATGTTTTACGGCAACATGTTTATTGGTGTGAGATTCCTCTCGCAGTTTATAAATTTGCATTTAAAAATATCAGTGTGTGTGTGTATTTGTGCATGTGTTAGTGTGTGCCCTGTGACAGACAGGCGTTCCGTGTAGAGTGTCCCCTGCCCTGTGACAGACAGGCGTTCCGTGTAGAGTGTCCCCTGCCCTGTGACAGACAGGCGTTCCGTGTAGGGTGTCCCCTGCCCTGTGACAGACAGGCGTTCCGTGTAGAGTGTCCTCTGCCCTGTGACAGACAAGCGTTCCGTGTAGGGTGTCCCCTGCCCTGTCACAGACGGGCGTTCCGTGTAGGGTGTCCCCTGCCCTGTCACAGACGGGCGTTCCGTGTAGAGTGTCCCCTGCCCTGTGACAGACAGGCGTTCCCTGTAGGGTGTCCCCTGCCCTGTCACAGACAGGCGTTCCGTGTAGGGTGTCCCCTGCCCTGTCACAGACAGGCGTTCCGTGTAGGGTGTCCCCTGCCCTGTGACACACAGACGTTCCTTCCTGGGTGTCCCCAACCCTGTGCTGGATACATGGCTGGAAGATGGAAGTATGGAAGTATGGATTTCAGTGCACTTTGAGCAGTACTGTATGAGCAGTACAGTGTGCCTGTGATCAGAAGGTCACCAGTCGAAGTCCAGCCTCGGCATGTCCGTGGGTCCGTGTGCGGCGCTAAACCCCAGCTCTCTGGGCGCCGCTAAGGGTGGCTGCCTTTCTCAGCCGGCTTACTGTCGCCCACAGAGAGCAAGCCGGGGGCGGCGTAAAGAGAGGTTCCCCACGGGGATCAATAAAGTATCAGTTATTATTAATTATCATTATTATGTTTGTAGGCTTTGATCCCAACCACTGTGTTTCTTTTTCCAGTTAATGAATTCTCGATGTTCCCCTCTCAGTACCTGCATCTGCCTCCCAAACAGACGGATCTCATGGGCTTTGATGAGGTGAGAGGCCCACTAACCCTCCCATACATTCAAGCATGTCTGTGCTTTACTCACTATTTAATTATGCTGCCTGTAAATAACTCGCCACAGAATTAGGGTTTTGTGTTCCTTCTCATAATTATAATAACAGTTTGCCAAAAGGCCACCAAATTTCATGTTTCAAATGCAAAGCAAACGTGTATTTTTTGTTTTAACATAACATTATGCTCAGAAAATTACTATCATTACTGCAAACTTATGTTAAATGTAAAGCGGGGTTATGAATCAATCTAGCTGTAGATGAAAGCTTGGCGACAGGCCGCCATAAGACAATTTACAGCTCCTTACATTGTCTGTTTCTGCCCCAGATTTACCTGATAAACTTACGCCGGCGTCCAGATCGGCGCCAGCGGATGCTTTGGTCTCTCTACGAGCAGGAGATCGACGTGAAGGTGGTGGATGCCGTGGATGGAGGGTAACGGCTCCCTGCGTCTTACTCTGCCCACGCCAGCCAGAGCTTTCCACCTTACTGTGTGGATACCTGCCTGTCACATACATGTGTGTTTGGTCTGTTCTCCTCCTTGCAGAGCTCTCAACAGCAGTGATATCAAGATCTTGGGTGTCGACCTCCTCCCCGGGTACTACGACCCTATCTCCAGGCGCACATTGACCAAGGGAGAAGTTGGCTGCTTCCTCAGCCACTACTACATTTGGAAGGAGGTGAGGATCAGGCAGCTGCCTAGCCACCTATAAGGCCAACTCTGGATCAGGCAGCTGCCTAGCCACCTATAAGGCCAACTCTGGTCCCCAGGGGCCACACTTTGGCTAAGTCCAAATTCAGGGACTACATTCGACTGGTTGTGAATTTTTCGAAGGCTCCTTCTAGATGCGTCCTTAATGCAACCTTCTTTTCCCACTCCACGAAGAATATACCCAATAGATCCTTCTCAGCCCAACATATCCCAAGATTCATTGCACAGAGGTAAAGTGGGTGTGCCCCAGTAGGCGATTGGAGCGGCACTTCGTGACTCAATGGTAACGGTGGGAACCGCTGGTCACGCGAATAGGAAATGATCCCTGCGCCAGACCGTCCCACTATTTGATTGACCTTCAAAGAACACAACCTGCAAAGGCTGCACCTTCATAGATGCAGCCCCTGAAATCGGTCACAGCCTATGCGTCAGTTTCACTTCACCTCTTAATTGCCTTATTAAAGTAATTTATTTGGATCGAAAATGATTGTGGCATACATAAGCTACTAGGTAACTGATTGGAAATAAGTTGATCGCAATCTGGCAAGTCGTCCATAACACTTTATTTCTAGTTTATGAGGCTGTACTGCAGGTATACTTCACCTAGTGGTAGAAGTTTTAAGTAATACAGACATCATTGTGGGTGTAGGTTTGTAATTCTTTTTTTTGTGTGTATAACCTTTCAGTATACATTTAAAGCATTCTTAAAGCTTAGTATACAACTTTAAACTTACCTGCAACTCTGCTGAAGAGTGGAGACACTATTTTCCATCAGAAATGACATCATTAGCTGAGCTCTTTGAGGACTGTAGATAAGCCTCACTTAAACCCCATTTCCACCAACGCGGTGCTGGAGCTGGTACCGGGCTTTTTCCCAATCTGGAACTGGTTCTGCCTATTTACGCCGCCAATAAACTGGCCCCGGGCCAGAAAAAAAACAGCTGCAGTATGGCACCACAGAAAAGCTGGTCTCAGAGTTTCCAGAAAATTTGTTCGATAACTGATAAAGTTTTGTCTAATACAGTAAAATCCAGTTATAACGAACTTCAAGGGACCTGGCAAAACAGTCCGTTATATCCAAAGTCTGTTATCCAGAGTTGCTGTATGCCCAGAACACAACTACAGGACACCATTTACTCATGCCACACCCCAGCAGACACACTTGTAGTATAGATTATTAAATTGTACATGTAGTAATCCAACTTTACCTGACCAGATGTGTGACTATTAATAATCCCGACTACGTATCTGCGCTGGATATCACCGGCACGCCACGCGCCTTGTAGGCGGAGTCTGCATGTCTGTTATAGGCGAACAAAACTACAGCTAAAAGCGGCCCCGGGGACTAAATTGTTTGTCCATTATAAGCGAAATTCTGTTATATGCGAGTCCGCTATATCCGATGCTTTTTCTGCATGTTCTTAAAGGCGCATGGCCGGGACCAGCGGCCTTCGTCCGTTATAGACGATATTCCATTATAAGCGAGTCCACTACGGTGCTGAAACAACTTGCCGGCTTATTAGCTGAATATCGTTACATCAATTTTTAATTCTGTGGAAAACGAAAGATCGATCTGCTGGCCTGATTTATTGATAAATAAATAAAATTCTGTGGTGCTTGAGTGGTGAAGAGATCAAGAGGCAGACAGCAAAGTTCAGTTTTTAGCAGACGCTTTTACTGTGCGAGAATGAACTTACACACACACGGGGGAGAAATACAGCCTTTATTAAGGAGACAAAAGTCAATTCAACATCTTATAAAAACCCAAAACAGATTAAAAAAAAAAAATCCAAAGATGGGATTCATATGGACCTTTACTGTAACTTCCGCCCGTGTGACGTGTCCGCGCCTTTTTTTTTTTTTTAAACGGAGGAAACGTGGGCAGGTTCTCAAAAGGGCCCAAGTGAGAACCAGCACCGGCTCTGTTTTGGTGGCAATGAGGTAATGGATGAAGCGGCAGCCTCCCCCGTGTCCAGCTGCGCTGAGATCTGGCATCTGTGAGATCCATGGCACATGCTTTACATGGTTCTTACATTCATGGATCCAAGCCATCCAGTGATTGCTTGTATACCTGTGGATAGGCTACTGGCATCCCGAGAGCTTCCATCACAACAGAGATGCTTCACCATAGGATTAATGTGACCATGTCTTTATTGACTTTCACCTTGGGCTGGGAAAATGTGTGCTTCACCGAGTGCTAGTGCTTCACCGTAGGGAGCAAACACTGATGTCAACCTGCTCCTTTGACTTCAAGCCACATGTGCCCGTCCCCTCATTGGGGGGGGGGGGGGTGTTAAATTATGACTTATCTGGCCGTATGAGTCTCCCCCCGGCTCAGTAACCCTTTGCCTCTGTTCTTGGCCCTCTTCCCTTGCAAAAGCGTGTGTTGAGGTGCAATAAGAGGCCCATTGACTGGAGCCCTGCCATTGTGTCCCTGCTCTCTGAATTTCCCGGCCAGACGATGCTTTGTGAAACTGCTTTTTCACGCCTTAGATTGCCATCTGCAGTCAAGTGATTCACGGTTGCTTGTCACATTGAACAAATGCGTGGGCATCCCAGTCGGGGGATACGTGCTTTCGAACACATTTGACCCGTGGCGGGTCATGTCTGTCCGCCTGATGTCAGGCGGTGGCCACTGGTCCTCGGGGAACATCTGCAAGTTCAGCAGTCCTGAAGCTTCGACCAAAGCTCTCCCAACGTTCATCCTGCTCCCAAAGCCCAGGAGATTGCTTATGTTAGCCTCGGTAACCAAAGTAGGGAGCCAGCGGGCCTATCCAGCATTTTTATGCATGACCTAAGCATGATTGAATGATGGAATATCTTGACCAACTGGAAGCCACAATTATGTGGATTTTTTTATATACCTTATTTATTCAAGTGGCTCTGTGCAGTGTCCGGATTTGTAAATCCTTCTCATGTTTCATATTTTATATAAAATAATTTCTTCCATTGAAACATGTCTTGCCTCCCATAAATTAGGCTGGGTTTTATTCGCTGTTGCCTTTTGCTTCACTGTTGCAGCTCCTGCACGACACAGTGAGCAGCGATGCAGAGCGCCCCCTGTCTGCTCTGAGTGAGAGCTGCCTGGGTGTACCCAGGATCACGGCCGGGGTCTCTCTCCCGAATCTGCGTAATGGCTCCCGGGAATCCTCATGCAAGATGTCTGTTCCCTTCCCCAGATGGTGGACATGCAGCTGGACAAGACACTGATCTTTGAGGATGATGTGCGTTTCCAGGGCAACTTCAAGCGCCGGCTGATGCGGTTGATGGAGGATGTAGCGAAGGTGGAGCTGGACTGGGACATCATGTGAGTGGGGCGGGATGGGGGGATGCGTTCGGAGACTGGCCTCTGTTTCCATGGAGATCACACAGCCCTGTGTGTGTGTGCACATGTTTGTGCGCACGCACGCGCATGCCACGCTTACGCGACAAAAACATCCGCATACCCACCGCTACGGGTTTGCAGACTGACAGCGCCCCCCTGTGGCCGGTGGTGGTCTTTCTCCCTGCTCTGCTGCAGATACCTGGGTCGGAAGCAGGTTAAACCAGGCGAGCTGGAGCAGGTGGAGAACGTGAAGAACCTGATGGTGGTGGACTATTCCCATTGGACGCTCTCGTACGCCATCTCCCAACAGGGAGCACAGAAGCTACTCAACGCTGAGCCGCTCTCCAAAATGTTACCCGTGGATGAATTCTTGCCAATCATGTATGACAAGCACCCCAAGTGAGTATCAGCTTAGCTAGTAACGCTGTACACCTCGTTAGCCAGGGAGCGCCAATTTCAGGAATAACTCTTCTGTGGTCCTTATAGCTTTTCAGCTGTCTGTCAAAATAAAACGTCAGTGTTCAATACATTAAACGAGTCCCCACGCACGACAACAGGCCTCAGTACCTAGTGTGTGATTGCCACTGATGCTAGCCTCTCACGGTTAGCTAATGGAGTTAAAGGTTCATGATCTTCTATGGTCAGGCAGGCAGAAGGAGAGCCGTCATTAAGTCTGAGCTCACCAGCGCCACACGGTTGGGCCTCGTATTTACAGCCTCCGCCCCGACCCAAAATGGAGTGAATCTCAGCCGCTGCGGTTGCACGGCGCTGTGGTCACGTGCTCATAGCCTGTGTATTCCTGTAGCCCTGCCTTAGAGACATCTGTTTTAACTTTCCCCGGGCAGACGTGGAGATTCAAAGCTATGACTGCACCGCATTCCAGTTTAGTTAATTCATATCGATTCACATCCAAGTTTCGTTGTTGCCTCATCAGCCGCGCCCGAGTGATGCCGGCCAACGGTTAAGGCGAAGCCATCGTTTGATATGTCGAGTCGCATTGTCGAGAGAGCCAAGTGCAGGGTTGAGGCTGTAGACGCCTGAAGAGCAGCGTGTGTCTCGTCATGTGCGGGAAGGCAGCCAGGGCCCTTGCTCAGGCCGTAAAGCGCCCTCCCAAGGCAAAATGGAAAATTCATGCATGAAATTTTATTTACCACTAGAATGTTTTGTTTTTTTATCGCATTGATGCTGTGATCACATCAGTGAACATGTAACTAATCTACATGAATCAAAAGAAATGCCTGTGTTTGTATAGTTACCACTTCCATTTAATTTGCTTACGCTCAAACACCTTTATAAGATTCGGGTCCTATTTCCAATGTGTTTTGCGTTCTGAGTGTATATGCTTAAGGAAGCCTCAAAGGTCAGAATATTATAGTCCTGAAAGGGAGAACAGAGTAATGACAGCCCTGATTAGTGGATAGGTCAGAAAAATGCAAAAGAAGGAAAACGGTGACATGTTTTCTGTGAAGTCTTTCCAAATACAACAATATACCTACATGTTCTGTACCTTCAAAGCGCTTGTTTTTCACTGTATAGACCTGTATGTTTGCAGTGTTGGTCTTGCTCCTACACTCTCTGGTGCTTAGCAATACCTGAAGGGACACGTCAGCAGTCCGGTTCTCAGGCACCGATTTCCTCAGGGAATCCTGTGATGTCAGTTTATTGGGAAATTTCATGTGCTGTCCTGTGAATTTCCAAAGGGAGCCTTTCATCTCATCCAGTTAAACTTAATCAGTATTGTGAATCAGGCTGTTTGTGTTTTTAAATGATAGTCCCATGTCTTAAATTTATGAAGTCTATAGACAGTAAGACCAAATTGAATGATATGTAAATAAGAAGATTATAGAGCAGGGGTCTCAAACTCCAGTCCTGGGGGGCCGGAGCCCTGTGTAGCTTAGTTCTTTCCCTGTTCCACCACAAATGATTCAGCACAAGAGCTGTGTAGTAATTAGCACAAGGAGTTGAATCAGGTGTGTTAAATGAGGGTGAACCAAAAACTCTGTAGGGCTCCGGCCCCCCAGGACTGGAGTTTGAGACCCCTGTTATACAGTGAGTAGTCAAAAGTAAAGCTTAACTCAGGGTAGTCTGCCGCAGTAGTTGACTAATTTTAAAAAGCAGGCCATTTGTGAAACATTTAGACGGTATATACACATAGCCCCCTGACCTCTTCTGCCCCCCACAGTGAAGAGTACAAGGCGCACTTCCCGAACAGAAACCTCCAAGCATTCTCTACACACCCCCTGCTGGTGCAGCCGAGCCACTACGCCGGAGAACCCAAGTGGGTGAGCGACACAGAGACGTCGACCATCTGGGACAACGACGAGGTGCAGACGGACTGGCGTGGGTCCTACAAGACCCTGAAGGGCTCGGCCCCCCCCACAGGATTTCAGAGCGCCTCCCGGGACGAGCTCTAGCCTGGGCTTGTGGCAGGGGACCGGCCCCCAGCTTCACCGACATGCGGCAGACCTTGGATCTGTCAGTGGTGGACTATTGAATCCAAAGGAAGTCACCTCTACAGAACCAGCTTGCGCTGCCAATCTCCAGGGTCTGGAAAGTCAGTCTAATCACAGGCCCACAGGCCTGGCTTACATTTCCAAGTTTGTTCCATGGTTGAGCGTCTCCCACTCTTCACGACCAGCGTTGACAGATACCTGCATATCCACTGACATTCCTACTGCCGGCGCATCTTCTGTCTGACATCCATTTCTGTTGTTCATTATGGGTTGGATTTCGAATGGCATTTGGGATTATTTGTTTTATTAATGGAAATTAAGGGTTAATTTAAAATAATGGTTGAGCTTGAGACTGGATGAAAGGCTGATTTTAGCGGACTGAAGAGCAGAGACTGTAAGGCAGATGGTCAGACAGCTTCAGCACAGGGGGCCGGTGTGGTGGGATCCTGTTAGTGAAGATACTTCCACTGTAATGTCATCCTGACCCTGAATGATTCTGGTACTTTATGTTTCTTTACAGGTGAGTTGTACGTTGTTTTTGTTATTTTTAAGTTCTGTTATGAAGCTTTTTTTTATGTATTTCTTTATTTTGACTAATTTTTACATCTTGGTGAAATAATGTTTAAAGGAAACTTCAAACTTCAAAATGATGGGAAAAAAACATATACTTAATTATTTAACACCACAGCATAATTAGTGCTGGTTACTTGAACATTCTGAATGATGATGCATTTTCCTTTGATGCGTGCCTTAAACATGAAGTTTGCATTCTGTGACTGTGTTTCATTGCTTTTTTTTATGGCTTTTAAATTCTTGGCTTTATAAGAGTTTTGGGTAACACTTTACTTGACGGGGCAGAAATACTTAGTAATAACTCAGTTACTATTGAAGTACAAATCATGAACAAATATAGTCCCTACTTAAGATACATCATGATTCATTAATGATGAAGAAACATCAAAAAAGATCAGAATTTAACTTGTGTAATTCAATACTTTTTCCTTCAGTAGTTCACAAAGGTTTACAGAATTAACAGATATAGTAACAAATATAGTAACTGCTTGAGATAAAACATGCATCACAATTCATTAATGATGAATTAACATGCGATCAGGATGTAACTAAGACTTAGATGGTGGTTAATTAATACATAAGTAATAGCATAATACTACATTATTTGTGCCCCATCAAGTAAAGTGTTACTTTTAAAAAAAATAAATAAATAAAAGTATTTCCAGTATTTGCATTTGGCAGTTTGTGTAATAATGACAATAGAGATTTTTCACAAATTCCAGGCCTGACTTCATAGGGCTGGTGTGGTAACATGTATGTTTTGTGGCAGGTTGGGGGTTGGCAGGCTGTGAGATGGGACAGCAGGGTTTGATCAAACAAAAGATGCTGATGTGGAGGGAAAAAGGGGGTCAAGGTTCCTCTAAAGAAGGGGTTGAGGGGGCCGTGGGTATCGGGGGGTAATTCAGTTCACCTGGCCCTCATTCTTGGCATTTATATAACTGAGTGTTGTTTATATAACTGAGTGTTGTTGTTACAGCCCCAGACACCAGGGGCAACACCAATCCAGATTGCTGCTATTGAAGGTCGCTGTCTTCTTTAAGTTAGTTCCATGCCCCGCATGAACCCAGTTTATTTGACTTTCTTTTGCACCCTGAATCTATCGCTCCTCTCCTGAACACCCGTGAATTTGGAGTAAGAATATTTTAGCTGCCAGTTTTTATGTCGTAGTCACTTTACTGTGATAGAGTGAGAGTTCCCAATCCGGTCCACAGGGACACATACCCGGTCCATGTTTTTGCTCTCTCCAAGCTCCCTGTCAGACAGCTGGGCGAGAGCAAAAACATGGACTGTCTGTGGGTCCCCTAGGACCGGATTGGGAAGCACTGCTCTGAGAGAAACTTGCCCAGGGAGGAGTCGACCCTCAGCATTAACATTCTCCCCCTGTATCTGCTCAGCTGGTATAAAGCCTGTCTGCACACGCTGCCTATGGGCAGAGGGGGGGTCAGTGAGTGGGATCAACTAATCCCTGTCACATGGGGCCACGCTGGTGAACTAATATCTATGTATTTTTCTGACACATGCTATGATGGAGGCACCCCAGTTTATTTGTATAGCACTTTTTAAAAATAATTCTTAATCCAAAGTGCTGTACAAAAACCAAATCAACTGCTATTTAATGAAAGAAAAGAGTTTTAGGACATGATTTAAAAGTGACAATGCAAAAGTTTTGATAGTAACAGCAACAATAGAAATTAAAACTATTGAAACCATTAAAACATCAAAAACTAAAACGTCAAACAGACAAATGTCAAAACTCCACTGTAGAGAATAGCTCTACTGTTATTTCCCTGTATTTTAACATATTTCATTAAGGTGTTTATAGCAAATGTGCTTGGAGATTTATCTTTTATTGGGATTGTTATTAGCTAATCAGATATTTTACTGAGTGGAATTTACTTCAAGATCTAATGAGTCAAAATCAAGAACGTGTTCCAGGTCGTGAAGAGCTCAGGATTAGAGGCTAGAAAGTTGTAATCTTTGCAGTCCTGCATTGATGAAAGCACCGGGATTTTAGTGGTGGGTGGGGGGCAGGTAATGCAGTGATTACGCTAATGGTTCTGTGTCCTGAGGGTTGCTTGTTGAGGAGGTTTTATAATTACGTTGGGCAAGGAACTTATCATACTATCCATCCATCCATCCATCCATCCATCTTTTAATTGGCTGTCGTACTGAGGGTCGTAGAGCCTGTCCCAGGCTATACAGGGCATATGGGTGTGATACCCGCAGACACACCCTGGATGGGAAGCCAGATACACGCTAGAAGCTGAGGAATGTGGTTTGTGATCTGAAAGCACTTCGATGATCTCTCTGTCCTGGAATCTAATAAAGAGGGATACCCCAGACTCTGTGTAACCGCCAAGGGGGAGCAAAATAATGACATCAACTTCTGTTAACGTGACTATTTCTTTAAACGATATCCATCCATCCATCCATTTCCCAACACGCTTGTCCTACTGGGTTGCGGGGGGTCCGGAGCCTATCCTGGAAGCAATGGGCACGAGGCAGGGAACAACCCTGGAGGGGGGGCCAGCCCATCGCAGGGCACACTCACACACCATTCACTCACACACCATTCACTCGCACACCATTCACTTACACATGCACACTCTTTAAACGATATTTATCAGCATATTCCACTTTTACTTAATTGTGATTGGAACATTTCCCACTGACCCTGGTGGACCACAGCAAAAGTGTAACAGGAGATGACTACAGATGCATTTTATGGTCACAAGAGGGCCATGCTTGATGCCTGACCACTCATGATGCTCAGTTGCAATATACCCAGACTGGAGACCACTGTTCTCTGATTGGACAGTTTAGTAACACATGGTTGTTGTCCTCTGCCTACCATTGGCTAGCTCCCAAAAGAATGGACAGGGAACGGTTCTGGCTGCATGTCAGCAGGCTGGTGCCCAGTAGGAGGAGCGTGGGACACTGCGGAGGCTGAGTATTCCTTCACTGGCTGTCCCTCATGTGGGAACACGGTCAGAGCGGGTGGCCAAACCCCGCCTGCTCCCCGCTACCTCTGCAGCAGCTGGAATGCTGCCAAAAGCCTGTTCTCTTTGGATTGATAAACCTACAGCACGTCGATGTAGCATTGGTGTAAAACCATTTTGTAACCATGTTGTTAGTGATCTATACATACATATATATATATATATATATATAAAACCATATAAAGTGAATCTATCCTCAGAAATCTTGTTAAACTCTACAGTTAATCAATAACATGGATAAACCGACCATTGCCACTTCTTAAACATCATTAACAATGTAAAGCAAGCAAACAAAAAAAACTAGAAAACAGGCGATACATCTTTGATTCAGTAAAGGCACACAGAAGGACTCATCGACTAGATAAAACAGATAACTATTCAGGGAGCCCCAGATTTAACTTATTCCAATTGAACAAATGCCAGTTTTTAAGCTCATGAAAGAACAACTGCTGCTGAACTTCAAAGCACATTCAGAAGATGTCCCCCTAGACAAGAATGGCCACTTGTTGATTTCTGCCAAATTTGTTACAACGTTGAGCCCAGGATGTAACTGTAGTGCCAAAACACATTGTAGAATTGATTTCTTGTGAGAAACAAGCACTGACGTGAATGGATATGTAAGGAGGTGTACGGTTCAAATGTTTTGTTCCAAACAAATATTCTGTTAGGAAGAAAATACTCATTTTAATTATGACTTGAGGAGGTTACGAAACAATCAGGTGCAGGATTCTATGTTTCAAATATTCCCATTTTAACTGCAAACCAGCACAGTTGTTGAGTGACAGGGGTCCTAAAATATTTGGAGCATAATTATATTGGTCTGGGTTGGGGGGCCCAATGGGATGTGCTTCTCTAACAGCGCCAATGGGGAGGGGCAAGCTAGTACTGTAAGGGTCCTAAGGATTAAATATTAAAACAATCTGATCCAGAATCAGTGGTTATTAAGGATTCTGGAGCACTAAATAAAAGCGTCAAATCAACGAATCAGACTTTATCTGGGAAATTGGAAACAGACAATCATCCATTAGTATATAAGGGATTCCTTTAAAATACCTTAGGTGCTGTGGATATTAGAATAAGCGCTTTTAAATATTGCCCATTGTAAGGTGGTCAGTCATGCTGGCCCCAGAGTGTCACAACATTCAACAAGTTGTGTTTGGTATTGCTACAAGAATCTTCGGAAATTGTCTCTGGTGTTTGCTGGATATACGTATATATGGCGCCCTCTTGTGAGCATGACACTGAATCACAAATTGCTATTTGTACATTTTAAAGTGATGCGGTGTTTTTAATTGTTTTTTTTTCGGACTTGTCACTGGTTTGTGTTTTGGGATTTTCTCTTACTATAACTTTCGGTTTACCCCCCTTCACCTTCAGCTTGGCTTGTGGTAGAAATAATTTAATTCTGATTTATGAAGCTATTCTCACAATTTTGGCAGAATTTATGGAGAGGTACAGATATTTTGTGATGATAAATTTCAGTCATTAACCAAAGGCATGCAGATAAGTCAAGTTTCTCAAAAAAAGTGCGGAATATGTCATACATACATTAAATATTATAATTTCCATTTATTATTGTTTAGAATAATGCCAATAATATATATTGTGCTGAGAAATACAACAGACTAAAATCCAGCTGTCAGAAATCTGATGGGCAAAAATCCATCCAATAGCTGCCAAAAAAAATTCAAATTCAATTTTAAATGTACATTTTGTATATTCAGGCTAAATATATAGTGCTGTGTTGTTTAATAATGGTGCAGTTCTAGTGTGTATTGTATCTGCCTAATTAGGTGAATGACACAAGAATGAGAAGTGCAAAGGGGCTCTGCTCGCGCCGCTTGAGCGGTCAGTACCAAAGCGCAGGGGCGGGGAGTTCAATGTCTGCTCTGATTGGCTGGCAGAAATGGACAAGGTTTTATAAGGTCAGACACGGCGGGAGGGAGGATCTTCATTCAAGACTGTCGGGTGCTTGGAAGAACCAGCAGAATTTCTTTCATGTATTAACAAAATTTAAAAAGTGTTTCTTCATTTACAGAAACACCTCTGAACAAATTGATCATGTAAATTACTAAAGTATATATGATAGTAAGAAAAAGTACCTCTTCTCATCAATGCATGAATATTCATTGCACGTGCACTAAGATCTAACCCATTTAAATAGTGGAAATTAAAGGAAAACTTACTTATTTCCTTTTTTTAAGAATCGCCATCAGTCACACTATTCAAAGGAACTGGACTGTTGGGGTCATGATTTGGATCATCTAGTGTGAGTTCACCCTAATTTAAGGTGGCGTTTCGCTGCTAATCATGAGTACGGAGGTGTTGTTGACACACATGCTGTTATGGCTGCAATGAAATGAAAGGAGCGCTCACGGTGTGTAGTCAGCGGCCTTGTACTGTGCAGTCTCCTTTCGCCTACATTTCTGCCTAACAGCCTCTGCAGCACAACTTTATGGTTCATTTGTATAAACAGAGATTATTTCGCTCTGTTCAATTTAGCAAAACACATGTCTCACTGGCGGAGCTTTCCTGACGGAAAAATGCACATGATCACTGCAGAGGGGGTTGCACACTGATTCAAAATCCACAGCAATACTGTTTAACACCCCAAATCCCCCGCTGCCACCGCCACACACAAAAAAAAATAGATTAATGTGCAGAATGTGAAGCTGTGAAACTTGGCACGCTGAAAAACACTGTGGGAAAGAGTCCGTTCAGGTTTTATAAGCGGAGAATGTAAAGGATGGATCATGGATGGAATGTCCACGTGGCTACAGCCTTTGCGTAGAATATGCAAAGAAGGCAGATTTCAGCGAGGGTTGTGGCTGGCGGTACAGTGCATTCCCCCGCCCTCTGCGGAGATTGAGTTACAGGCCATAGCTGCTTCCCCGCTACTCAGAGGAAGAAAACAACAATTTCAGTATCTGCTAGCCACACCCCCGCCAGGGGCAGAATGGCTATACGCTAAGTCACATGGCTCATTTACCAACTACTCACCTCTGGTGCGGCCAGTATATTGCTTCCATAATAAGATGGAGGGAAATCACTGTGGCTAATATATGGAGTAGAATCACAGATGATCCATTTCGCTCCATTTCGCAAATGTTGCAGCTGCAGGATTAACCCCTTGAGCCCCGGTATATGTTGTTCTGTCACACTGAGCTTATTCAGACCCTGGTTCAAGAATTACAAAGTTGTCTCACAGAAAGCCTAGTGCGTGTATTTCACCCAGCCATCTCTGCTAAATCTAATAAGTGTGTTCCCATTTTATCTAACTTTAAAAATCAAAGTTATTTTCAAAATGTAATTGCAGTGGTTTGTGTCACTACAATACTTTGTGAAAATAGATATGTATTTAAATATCACGTGTAAACAACTATCAGCATGATCAATAGAACAGGAAGAGATTAGAATGAAAAGTATTACTGAGGAATTGGGATATTCTCCCTTACAAAAACTATTACGGTATTATCATCAAAGTAACAGCATAGTAGTACCACTATGACAGAAATTGTTGTAATTTGGCCACCTATATATGGTGATATACTATGTAGTATTACAATTTATCTATAGTTAAAATACAATGATAATCGGTTAAGCTTTTTGTATTGTACCATGGTAATAACATGTTTTAAATATGCTACATACTATGGTGACATAATCTTATTTTCAGTAGTATTTTACTTAATGTTCACCATGGTATTACAATGATACAGCATTGAAATTAGACTTCATAATTATATTAAATATAGACCTGCCATGCATGAAATGTATCTGTTTTGGTTTGGTGAAGAAAACACTTTAACAGTTTAATAGCTGCATGCATCAAACCAGTTAACCATTGACTAATATAAGTGTTTCAATGGCAAAAGCTGAAGGAATCATTTTTATCAAGACACATGTTAAAAAAATAGAAATAAAACTGTTAACATTTCAAATTGTGTCATATGAAAATGGCGAAAATAAAATTACAATTACTGATTTCTATGAACTGTTTAGGTGAAATTCTCAGATTCCATCACTATGAATACTAAACACCATAGTATCAATATAGGTTGGAAATAAATACCATGGCACATAACAGAATATTATGGTATCAAGAACAAAGTACCATAGTATAAAATAAAATACTGTTCTCAAATACTAGGAAGGGACATATGGTACGATGACATACATATGGTATAAATCTACCATACACAAAACAGAACAACACTGAACGTACAATCATATTGACATAATAATATCTTTTGTAGGGGTTAGACATTAAATGGCGACCTGTTTCTAATATATTCAGCTGGGTAGATGTTCTCAAAGACATTCACATGAGCTCTACAGGTTGAATTTTTTATTTTTTTTGATGATTGGTACTGAGACGCGCGTCATTTGTTAAGGTTTCGCGGAGACTGGCAGTAATACATGTTTTGTGGAGAGAAGAACGGGTTTGTTTGATTTTTGGATAATTAGAGTGAACAAAGTACCTGTGTGTTGACAGACTGGCGTGTAGCCATCTGCCGTAAGTTCCTCCCCGCACGCAGTTGGACACGAAACAGGAAAAGTCTCTAACCACGAAGAACATCAGCTTCGCTCAACTGCTTTGCGCTGTATATATAGCCTACAGAAACAGGACCTCCGCCGTCACAGTAAGTTTCGGGTTTGAATTACCTTTAAACACAAGTGGCACGACAAAAACAAAGTATCGATCAACCTGCTTCCGAAAGTTAGAGGGAATCACTTAAGACTGTAAAGTAGCGTGGATGTACTCTACTTTATCTTGGTCACCGCAAACTACAACATGCCGCTTATTCTCGGAGAATTGCACCATTTGTACTTTATTTTTCACATGCATATAAGCATATGCACACAGCAGATTAAATTTCATCCACTCCGCTCCGTCTGTTTATGGAGGCACGCTCAGATCGCTGCACCCAGCCAAGTTCTCGTTGTTTTCATTCTTATTACGTTAGGTCTCTTTTATTTCTCTTACGATTTTAAGGGCGCGGATCCTTTAAGAACAGTTTGTGAGTATTTCTACTTAAGAAGGACATGGCTGACGTGTGACGAAAAACGACATGTTTGTTATCCGAGTATTAGCGCCTGGCTGGCCGGAATTAGTTTTGAGGTGCCATATAGCAGTTATTGGCATTGTTTAGTTATTTTTCAATTTCTTGCATGTTTTTCGTATGCCTTTTTGAGTGCAAAACTGTTTTGGTTAAAATATCGTGACAGGCATATAGACTCAAGTTAATGGACGTGCAAGTTAGTGGAGGCACAGTTAATGATTAAATACGAAGACAGCGTGTAATCTAATGATCGGTTTTTGGTGGCACCCACAAAATATGCTTAGTTTGGGGATACTGGCGTTGACGGTTACCGGTCTACAATGAATGTTAAGTCGACACGTGGTCTTATAATGTTAAATTGTAGCGCTGTTTTTTTTTCGTAGAGGTTAAGCGTGTTTTGATAGATGTAGAGCTGTGTTATATTTTCAATTTTCAATTTGTCAAAACATGTTAACGTATTTTGAGTTTCCTTTTCGGCGGTACCATTTGGGGAAACTGATGTGCAGTCGATGAGTGTTTCACAAGACGTCGGGTTTATTTTGTACTTCATGCATTTAATATTTTTGTTTTAATATGTTCCTGCTGTGTCCATAAACGACCATAGTATCACATTGGTGTTTTTTGCAATAAAAAAAACACACGCTTATCTTACTGTTTATTTTGTATTATCAGACAAATTTCACACTGCTATCACAGCATAACGAGATAATGTTTATTCTGACACGAATTTCAGACGTTTTCAGCAAATTGGCCGTAAATGCTGAGACTGCCTCGTGCCCCGTACCTGTCGGTGGCTGTGGGTGTTGGATGGGCTCGTGCTTTCCAATTGGCTGATACGCAAGGGCGTGCCACGTGACCACGCCCCTGGTCGGAAGCGCGTGTGAGTCTACGAGTTGCATATAAAACAGCGAGAGGACTGGAAATGTAATGGCTGGCTCTTTCATAAGTTCCATTTTGACTTTTAATGCTTTGAATGGTTGTTTACCCATCCTCTGCATTTGACTTATATAGAACACATCGTCGGCTAGGCGATATGGCAAAATATTTTATCGGGATAACATGCCTAGTCGACTCCTCAACAGCACGTGTGTATGTAATGTGCTGTTTGCCTCACTTGCACGTCGCTTTGAACAAAACACTATGCTAAAAAGTGTTTTTTTTTTTATAAGTCGATGTCGATAATTATCACGATATAATTTGAGTCATTCTTTTTGTACTTCCAGGCTATATTTTTGTTTAAAATTCCATTAGGATCAGCCATAGATTCACAGCATTAAAAAGGCGACGAATTGAATGGACTGCATACTGAAATCTAATTTTAGTAAATAAAAAATGGCATGGTGGTGCAGAGGTGTTGCCTCACACCTCTGGGAGCAGGGTTCGAGTCTCGACCTGGGTTACATGTGTGTGGAGTTTGCATGTTCTCCCCATGTTGTCGTGCGGTTTCCTCCGAGTACTCCGGTTTCCCCCCACAGCCCAAAGACATACTGAGGCTAATTGGAGCTGCTAAATTGCCCATAGGCGTGCACGTGTGTGTGAGTGTGCCCTGCGATGGGCTGGCCCCCCATCCTGGGTTATTCCCTGCCTCTTCTGGGATAGGCTCTGGACCCCCCGCGACCCAGTAGGATAAGCAGTTTGGAAAATGGATAGATGCATAAATCATATAAAATAAACGCAACACTAGAAAATGGTGTGGTTTGTAGAGTAAAAAAAAAAACAGAACTGCCTAAGGTGGGAGCAAGCCTATTTTGAAATTGCAATTTTTATAAATATTAAAAATAGTGAGACGCACTGAGCTGCAAGGTAAAGTTTATTTCTTTATCTATTTATCAGGACAAATATATCAGTCCATGGGGAGCTTTAAACCCCTTACCCTCACTGCAGGTGTCTGTGACTGTAAGCGCTTGCCTTTGGTATGTTCTGCTGGATGGCAGTGCTTCAGGTGGTAAAATAAGTTCGGAGTATTTTCAGCTTACACAGGACCAGGACCATGAAATAACCCCCCCCCCCCACATCACCAACTTTATTTTTGTTTTATCCACAATATCTCCTTCTTAAAAAGATGTGGCTGCTGAGCTGTTGCTTTTTTCACAGGCACTTGAAGTTTCCTCTGCAGGAGAACATGATGTTACCAAAATAGTAGCATGTGGCGGGCCGCTGACTCAGTCAACTTTATACTGTCTTTGATGCCCATTTTTAAAAGGCTACCATAGGATTGGTTGGAATTACATTCATTTTCTGGGATGTGATAGGCTGGTGTGTGCTTTTCAGCAATGTTCCTTATCGACAATTAATCTAACTTTCTTTTTTTCTTACTGGTTTCAAGTGCATCAGAATATAATATCACTTGAATAAATGTAGCTGTAGAAAGTAGGCTGCATAATTTCCAGCTTCTTATGGTGTATATTCTATGTAAGAAACAGTCGAGTAGCTGCTTAAGGTCAAGGTGGTTGGATCCTCGATGGTGGACAAGCTGACTGCAGGTCTGTTGTGTTCCAGGCTGCCGGTGACCATGTCCTTCGTGGGAGCGGCCGTGCTGTGGGCAGCGGCGCGCCGGCCGGGCCCAGCGTTTCTCCGCCCTGTGGCGTTTCGCTGGTACAGCAGTGCCCCAGAGCACACCTCACTGAAGAGCGTCCCCTACGGGACGACGCTGAAGCAGGAGGGGGGTCCCAGCGGCCCCAGCAAGCCACTGCCCAGATCTGCGGACGTTGTGGTTATTGGCGGAGGCAGTCTGGGCTGCCAGACCCTGTACCACCTCGCTAAGATGGGCATGAAGAATGCCGTCCTGCTGGAAAGGGACAGGCTGACGGCGGGGACCACCTGGCACACAGCTGGTACTGCCAGGGCATCCGAATCAGTCTGTGCCATTCATTGTGTTTCTCTGAGTCTGGATCCTGTTCTCTGTGTATAGGCCTTTACCGAAGTTCAGGAACCTAAGTACTGGGTCCGAGTTCCTGGGCTGTCTCGACTTTTGTAGTTCCTGGCCACTTGCATGTTCCCACTGCACAACTGGAACTGGGATCTTTAAATAAGCATGGGAGATGCAAAAAACTCGTAGGTTAAACTTCATACATAATTTAATGCTAAACTACACCACCACCCCAAAATAATGGAGGATGAACAAGCCGTTTTGTTAGTTATTGGGGGATAGATCTTGCAGTCCAAAATACAGGACAAAACACATTTTACTTATACAGCCCACAAAATGTTTAAAATTCATCATTAAATATGGCCAGCAGAACAAAAACAATGATGTCATGTAATTCCACTAAAGTCCTGGCAAGTTTCACCGCCGACATCAGCGACATTAGTCAGAAGTATGTTGGTTATTGATCAAATGCAGAAATGTGGAGATACAAGCAAAAAAAATTATTCATTAATACATTGAATGTAACTGAGATACAAAAATAAGTCCATCTGCTCAATTTTTGCTCCACTGCTTCTCTCTCTTTTCCCCTCACTTCTGTGTGACTCCCAAGCTGGTGTTAGTATTTGTGGTCAACCAATCAGCAAAGTTTATCGCTATTAGCCCCACCCACTAAAAGGGTTCAGTAACTACCTCCAAGCAGCTGCAGTCGGGCCGAATTCCTGTGGTGGGGATGCGACAGAAATTCTCGGTTCCTGAAAAAGGTCCCTGCGGTGGGAAGGCCCTTAGTGACTAGTGTAGGTCAGTGTCATTTCGGGTTGCTCGTGGCTTCACCGTGCTTGCGCTCTTTGCCTGTGTTTAGCTGGTCAGTAAGTGGGGGTGCCATTGACCGGCCCGTCTTCGGCCTCCCCAGGCCTGCTGTGGCAGCTGAGGCCCAGTGACGTGGAGGTGGAGCTGCTGGCCCACACCCGGCAGGTGGTGAGCAGTGACCTGGAGCAGGAGACGGGCTTGCATACAGGCTGGATCCAGAACGGGGGCCTTTTCATCGCCTCCAACAAGCAACGGCTGGACGAGTACAAGCGCCTGATGTCGGTGGGGATGCGGCTGGGGCTCTTTCAGCAGCTGATTTGAAAGATGCTTTTTTTTGAGATGCTGTTTCTTCATTAACGGTTCGGGGTTAGGGTGGGGTGGGGCAGCTGTGTCATTCTCTTGAAGTTAGGGGTCAAGGCAGATCTTTCATATTCATCTGAGCTCATGTTGTCAGGAACATTTGATCCCGTTCGTGTGGGGTGGCCAGATAACCCTGAACTACAAGGACAGGAGCCTTTCAGTTCTAAAGCAGTTTGTAAAAGCTGAAGTAGCTCAAGGTCTTTATCTTGTCACCATAGTTTGCGTTCGTCGTATTTGCTCTGTGCTAATGGGTGCCGTTTGTTCCCTGCAGCTGGGGAAGGTGTATGGGATCGAGTCGTACGTCCTGTCCCCCGCCGAAACCAAGGACCTCTACCCCCTGATGAACATTGAGGACCTGTACGGCACTCTCTATGTACCTAAAGATGGGACCATGGACCCTGCTGGCACCTGCTCCACCCTGGCCAGAGCTGCCACTGCACGCGGGGCCACGGTAAACCATGTGGGCGCTGTGGCTCTGTGGGTTAGGCCTCTACGTCGGTGAACCAGTAGGTTGCTAGTTCAAGCCCTATGGCTGGCAGAGTGACATTACCTTCAGCTCCCTGAACAAGGGCCTTAACCCTAACTGCTTCAGGCACTGTCTGATCCTGCTCTCTGATCCTCATTTATGTCACTTTAGACAAACGCGTCTGCTGATTAATCAAATATCAGTTTATGGTGTTTTGCATTTTGCAAGCAGACTCATGCTCTCAGCTTCGGGTTGCTGAGCATGTCTCGTACACAAATTGCTTTAGTAATAATCTCTCAATCTGCTCTTAATAAGTACCCTTAAGTAAACAGCTGTTAATTTAAGGCAGTTTTACCCAAATGGTGTTATACAAGCTTGTATTACAGGTGCTAATTTAATTGGTGTACCTTTATTTGTCGTCCTTTTTATTGTTATTAAGTCATATATTATATTGTCCTGTATAGTAGCCTGTCACTTGGCCATAAGGCTAGCAGTAGGGGTACTTGTCCAAGGTCAGAGTCTGCTGGCTGCTCCACAGAATGCTTCATTGTTTGATTTAGTTATTTATTATTATTATTGTTGTTTTATTGGGGCACAAGGTCAGTTCAACTGAAACTGTGGAAGAATCGACTTTGTGCCCTGTGTGCACCGTCCGTCTTTGGGCAGAGCTGATTTGAAGCCGCTGTGGAGGTAGATGTTTTAAATAGGAATGAAATACCCCAGTGACTCTGCCCTGCGTTAGCGGGCATGGAAATAACAAGACAGCATGGACCCCCTCCCTCCTCAACACACAAGTAATAGGCATACTGTGTGCTGGGGGGGTGAACAATGCATGGGGTCACACCAGAAGAGATACCAGCAGATCCTGCTGTTAAGCAGCATTGTAATGAAGTTGGTAAATACTGCAGGTCTTAGAATTTATACGCGTAAGAGTTTCAGCCTTGATGGTTCCATGTAGAATCAGAAACCCTGGTGGATATTGGCTCACTCAAGAGTGAGTATCTGCAGTGGTCAACGGCCGTTACCCTCCAGCCCGCCATGCCGGTGTCTCTGACGAATCCTCAGGTTATCGAGAACTGCCCGGTGACGGGGATCCAAGTGCAGCTGGATGACCTGGGCGTGCACAGGGTGCGGGCGGTGGTGACCCCACACGGGACTATCGAGACGCCCTGCGTCGTCAACTGCGCAGGTGAGGCTGCCTACCCCACATTGTGTCTGTATGGGGGGGGGGGGGGGGGCATAGCACAGAAGAGAAGGACAGCCGTTTGCTTTATACGCTGCAGGTTTGTTGTTTTTGGTCTGAAACTGAATGGGTGTGCTCTCCTGTACACATCTGGAACAGTGCTGGTCGTGTGATCATTTTGTCAAAAAGGATGAAATAATTGGTCCCAGTTAGTGCCGAGTGGATTGGTGCAGTACTATCCAAAAGTCTTAGGCTGCTAAAGAAAATTGTTTAAATTATCTTTATGTTGGTGTAAAACTAGGTGTGAAATTCATCAAATGTATGCAATGGCTGAGGTGCCGCTGAGGTTCGAGAACTGGAATGACATATACGTACTAGCTGGAAAAATAGCTTGAAACATTTAGTTTGCCGACTTTTGCACAGTACTGCATATGAGTGAACTAATGTAACAGTGATGTATCTTAGATAAGCACTTGTATATTATAGCTCAGCATGACAGGTTATATTGGTAGGTGAGAGTATGGCTGTCTGTCTATGTGGTTGTGTGGTAGATTGAGAGGCAGATATCTGCAGTGTTTGGGAACACGCTGCTCCTGTCCCACCAACTGTTCCCCTGCGTCTGAAGGCGTGTGGGCGGAGAAGCTGGGCCGGATGGCGGGGGTCAGCGTGCCGCTCATCGCCATGCACCATGCCTACGTGGTGACAGAGAGGATCGATGGCATCCAGGTAAGGCGGCCTGTCCGTGCTCTTCCCCGATGGTGACACCTACCTCGTACGTCAAAAAGACCCACTTTGATCCCTGTGAGTGATTCTGAATGACTGTGATCTCAGTGTCTAGACTAATATTAAAGGAAGATGAAGTTATCAGTGTAACTTAACTGATGACAATTTTAGACGTGGTAACGTGGGGCACAGTCCAGACAGTCCCTGGATTAAGAGCATCCCACTTATGCTTGCCCTGTACTAATGAATGGACTCTGCCGTAAAGCCTGTTATATAAAAAATTCAGGTTAAGTACAATAGTTCGCAGTAACGAAGGCATCCACTGCTTTGTGACGCTCATGAAAACATTGCATGGCTTCTGGTTCGTCGGCTTGACATACAGTACTGTGTATAATTACTTCTATTACTGTACAATAATACAGTGCATAACTATTGTTTTTCTGATTTCCTACAAATTTTACTTAGACAGACTTAGGGAACGGATCTCATTCGTAACCTGGTGACTGTCTGAAATGTAGGAATAGGTTAGTTGATTGTTTTATAAATGTATTTACCTGTTATTTCTGTACATTTGAAGGTTAAGAAATCCCTGACACACAGCACTTGCCTGAATATGACAGAGAAACCGTCACTAGCTGCTCCTTGCGAAATGGCCCACGCAGTGCCTGGGAATCAAAGACTTAAGAGACAAACAACTATTTGTTTAAGGAGCTAGATTGTCTTTTATAATGCAGCCTGAAATTTGTCATTAATTGCGTAAATCTGTCCCATGTCTTAAAAAGGCTGTGTGTTCTTTGCAGCAGAATGTATATATGTAGTACCACAAGTGAACAGCAGAGGTCACTGATGTTACACTTGCAATGGGACTGAGCTAGCGTGGGAGTATGTCTGTATTAACCAAGGTGAGATTCAGCCAAGCCTCTCAAAAGCCTTGAGCGCGGTCAAGTGTCACAGCCTTCAACCCATGGTGTCAGGAGGCTGGGCGCTGCTGCGCTGGGGCAAAAGCTATTGCGGTGCAGAGCTGTTTTTAGAGCAGATGGATCACCGGATTACGCAACCCACCGGGTCAAAAGGCAGGCTGGTCCTTCAGATTGAGAAATACAGGGGCTTCCCTTCCCATCAGGCCCCCGTCTCGAACCCTGATATATGAGGGGCACAGAAGAAAGGCTTACTTAGTGCGTTCTGGTTGTATAAGTAATGAAAAAGAGGCTGAGAAGTCTTGGCCCTGGATGCTCCTCGGGTTCGTTAAGCTGTTTTTTACCATCTTAATGCGGCAAATGACCTTTTTTCCCGGAGGCCATGTCCCTCAATATCGCAGCCCCAAAAGCTTCCACATCTCATCAGCTTTAAAATGTGGCTGCGGCTTAAAATCACAGCGAAACATGCCAAGGTGGCGAGGTCGTTTCCGGTGGGTCCTATGGCCGCCTGTGTAGTAGCCCTGTAGGCTGCCTGCTGCAGAGAGGATCACAAGGTGTCCGTGTCGTCTCTTCATCAGAACATGCCCAATGTGCGGGACCATGATGCATCTGTCTACCTGCGTCTCCAAGGTGATGCCTTGTCAGTGGGCGGCTACGAGCAGAACCCTATTTTTTGGGATGAGGTAAGATGTCTACAGCTACATATATGCGAGATATGTGATGGTTTCCATCTGTCTTATTTGTCAGGGTGTGCTTGCTTTTGTGTTTGGTAATAGGGCTGCAAGTCAAATTATATAATAAAGCTTGCAGGCTGCAGAGATGAAGGAAGTGATTTTGTCGTGTTGGTTCTCAACATGGTATTGGAGGGAAGACGCTCTGGAATTTATTTTTACATTGTTAGTTGCCTGGCTGTGGCTTTTACACAAAATGTCTTAGATTTAGCCTGTTTTAAGTAGCTGGATATTTTACCAAAGCTGTTGAGGTGAAGTATGTCTTATTCAAGGGAACAAAGGTGACCCAGTCCCAGCACTCAGAATGACTACAAGGCTTTATTCAAAAACCTTTCATTTGCCTGCTGAAGCAAAGAGTACTCAGATATTTCTATAGGTTCTGTAATTTTTTGGTATATTGAGCTACGGCTGGATTAAGGAGCTAAAATACATGAAATAGGTAAAGTTTTCTGCACCTGACTGCATTTAACTGCATTGATAAATCAGTGAAAAGAGTCTTTAACGAGCAATACAAAATGCCAGTAACACTAAAATGGGGGTTTTATTTATAAGAAAGCTTTCTAAAGCTGTAAGACTCACAGCTCCAGGTAAAATCTTCTGCTACACAGGAGTTCATGGCCTTTGCACTGCCAAGGAATGTTAGCAGAATGGAAACGCAGATCTGTGTATTTTGATATGGAATTGTTAGATAACAATTAGGCTAAAAGAATAGCATTATCTATTATGCAACACAATCTGTTATGCATATTTAAATTAATGTTCTGAGCCGTTGAATGGCAGTAAAACTCTGGCATGATGCACATCCCGTTGAGTGTGCAAGCTTCTGTCAGCAGTGTCCTGTCGATCTCCGGAACTGGGTTGTGTCCACATCCAGGATAATAGTTTTAATGGCAAAGATGAAAGTGCACTGCATTGGTGAAGGTAGTATATCTGAAAATATTATCAGGCCCTGTTATTTGATCCTGCATCTCACGGAGGTTTCTTAAAATATTTGCCTGACTAACTTTGTGTACTGCTACAGGAGTGGTTTGGTGTTTTGTGCCTAAATCACTTACAGCTGCAACACATGCAAAAAAATATACATAATCCCAGTATTCAACAGAAACTCAAAACCCAACATGAACAGGAAGTAGACTGATGATGATCGGATACAGTGTTGATCCAAAGGGGGTAATGCAATACATCAGCTCTGCCTTGAAAAGTTATATGGCAAGACAATATTATATTCTTTATCAATGATTAATATTCGTATTGTATATCGGTGATTCAAAAGGAACCAGAGAAAACTGACATCACAAGACTGGTGTAAGAATGGATCTGTAAACCACTCATGAACAAAGAACCACCGAGATTTAAACCAGTGACCCATCATTGTCGTATGTGATGTATTGAAGCTTTAGTTATGTAGTTATGCTTCTGTTTTCAATGTGGGGGGGCGTCAGGTTGGGGGGTAAACAGTGAACAAGAGACTTATGTGACTGTTGGAAATGCTTCAGGTGGCATCTAATTTCAGCTGCACGATGCACATGGAAATGCAGGTAAATGTGGCGATAGAAGCCAGCGTAGCAAATCTAAAGTCAGCCACCGAAAGTGCTTTCACGTGTATAAATGCCATGTAGTGACTCGACCAGCATGGTCGAAAGGAACTTTAACAGCCTGCGTCGGATTTTCCGAAATCTATGACATTCTGTTTAATTTCTGTTGCGTGGCACTTGGTCAGTAAAGCTGTCCAACTGGTGTTTGTGGGCTGCTTGTATATCTATGTGAGGACTCTGAAAGGATCTGAAATACGTGCTATGGAAGCATCTTAGTGATGGGCCGGCTGCCCCGCCTGGGTTATGCAGCCTCCAGCACAGGCTCCGGACCTCAGCGACCCTGCATAGGACAAGTGGGTTTAGAAGATGAATGGATGGATGGAGTTTTCTATAGGCTGTTCTCTAAAACTGCCTTTCTGTTGCTAAGAATCCTGTGTCTTTTTTATGTGAGTATTATGTAAATTATTAGATGTATAATATGTGTAACTCAGTATTTTTGGTAACTTGTTTGTTTCTGGCTATGACATATCTTACTGCTTGGTACTAAATGCTTTTACACTGTGCTCCTTGTAGCCCTGACTGTGGCTTCACTGGACTCCTCAGCTGCCCAAATCTTCATTCTGCCTAATCATACCGAATAATAATTCAACATTTCTTGCATTAATGGTAATTCAGTCAGATGTGGTTGACAGTTTAATTGATCCTCATTGCCAAAGACAAATAATTAGCTAAGTATTTCACACAACCTAAGGACGGCAACGGAATAATTTCATCTCATTTGGCATCCTGCGGTCCGCAAAGCTTAATTAGCTCAAAAAAGCTCTCTCTGCAACTCTGTCTTTTTATGAGGAATTCTCGAACCCCAGCCAATGTCTGCTTTCCTCAGGGTCATCGTATGTTTTACCCCGTGCCTGCCATGTGGTACACTGAGAATTTCGCACCCGCTGGTAGCTCTTCTGAGAATCTGTGTGGCATTTCTCCATTTGGCTTTTGGAATCGTTGGTCCTTCACTCTCACCCAGTCATTATACCACCGCAGCTGTGCCTCCTGCCGTTAGCCAAGGAAGACCTGCCCAGCGGAAAGATCGGCAGAACGAAATGGCAATCTTACATTGGGAGTGGAGGGGCGTGTCAGGGCCTGGGAGTGTCTGGAGTGGCAGTGGGAGTTTGTGCAGCACCTGACAGATCCTGGGAGAGGCGGTAGGGAGTAATGGGTTTTTTTCCCCATAATCTCTCTCCCATTTCTGCCCAAGAGGTCACAGTAATCAGAAAGTGCCACAGGAACACTGTTCACACTGTCAGTGCGTACTTCCCGGCAGTGTCCGTTCCCGGCAGTGTACGTTCCCGGCAGTGTCCGTTCCCGGCAGTGTCCGTTCCCGGCAGTGTACGTTCCCGGCAGTGTCCGTTCCCGGCAGTGTCCGTTCCCGGCAGTGTCCGTTCCCGGCAGTGTACGTTCCCGGCAGTGTCCGTTCCCGGCAGTGTATGTTCCCGGCAGTGTCCGTTCCCGGCAGTGTACGTTCCCGACAGTGTACGTTCCCAGCAGTGTACGTTCCCGGCAGTGTACGTTCCCAGCAGTGTACGTTCCCGGCAGTGTACGTTCCCAGCAGTGTACGTTCCCGGCAGTGTACGTTTCCAGCAGTGTACGTTAAATTTAACTGTGGTGCAGGTCCTGGATTTTAGCCATAGCCACAGGTTCCCTCCGCAAAGAGGTACACCATTTGGTCCTGCTGGAACCTGTAGCCTGTGTGAAGTAATCAAGAGAACATTTCCAGTTCTCATTTGAATCATCCTCCTCAGTCCAAGAAGATTGTAGATTGAAACTAAAGTCGTATTGCATTCTGGTTGTTTGTGTCAGATCCTTTACACAAGTGAAATAATAATAGTTTTAATCTGATGTGATACTGGAGAAAACCCTGACAGAGCAAAATAAGGGAGTATAATAATTCGCTCTGTTTTCTAAGCATGACAGTTAACGATCTACTGATGTGTTTCTAAAGAGAAGGTCACAAATACCTGCTGTCTCCACAGCTTTCTATTTTTAAACCCCGAGCACTGGATACCTAAAAACCACATTAGCAATTTTTGGAGATTTTTTTGCAATCAGCATTCCTCCCATAGGCCAGGCAGCACATGTACAGTATCTCGTTGGCTTACCTGAACCTCATGGTCACCCAGTCGCTGGAGCATTTGGGGTTAAGGGCCTCACTCAAGGGCAAAAACGGTGAAATCACTCCTCGTCACAGGATTTGAACCTGCAACCTTCCGATCGCAAAGATCATAATAAATAAGTAAATACTGGTTGACAGTTCCCCAAAGTTGCTGGATTTTGGGGAAAATGTGCAGTGGAAGGTGGAAGGCTTATAGATCTGATGACTGCTATACACACCACATGTATTTTTGTTGATGATAAAACTATGTGATTGGGGTTGCTTTGGCTTTTACAGGTTTCGGACAAGTTTGCTTTCAGTCTGTTTGACCTGGACTGGGACGTCTTCATGCAGCACATCGAGGGAGCCGTCAACCGCATTCCAGTGCTGGAACGGACCGGCATCAAGTCCACCGTATGTGGACCAGGTACCTGTACTGTTTAGGGCTGCCCAGGCTGTGTGCTGCTATGTCGTGTTCAGAAAGAACGATCTGGAAGCTGGCATGGATTCCGGAGCCTCTGTGATGTGTGGATGCGAGCTGCCCATGTGAACTTGTCCTTGGTCCCTAATAAATTTGGTGACACATAGTGTGAGATAAAGGGAGGTGACAGTGAGGGTAGGGGGGCGCTAGAGATGGGGCTGAGACCCTGAATGATTGGAGAAGCCCAAAACTGGACAAGGACTCTGGGACTTCTGGCAGCTTGGGGTGAACTTTGGTTAGGGCCCCATCCTCTCGAGCCTCGCCTCTGAGTGGCAGGTACGGTTTACGGCGGATGTGTACAGGACTGGAGCGTCATGTGACACGTACACTGTGAAAATGTGCATCACTTCTCTGCCTGAATATTTAGAATAAGGACCTTGGATTTCATAGGGGTGTTTTGTTCACTGTCGTAGTGAATCATGTAGTTCTGGTGGTCGGATCTCCATGATGATTCTAAGCAACTGGATGGATGGAAGGATGGATGGATGGAAGGAATATGTTACTCCTGAGGATTGAGGTCTCTCTCAGGTAACCAGAAGACATGAAGTGTGTGTAAATTAAGGGCCGTTACTGGAAAATCAAGCAGGCGACATAAATAAATTCAGTTTTCCAGAGAGGAGCATTACAATCCCTTTTCCTTCCTTTAATACATTATCCAGATAACAAATGTAAATGACCAGGTCAGCCCCTATAGCTCTTCATGCTTTGCTGGAAACTTGGGAGCAATGGAGTCTCTAACAGCCTTTGTCATGCAGTGCATAAAATCATGAACAGTATCACAGAGCAAAGAAAACCACCCTGGCAGAGTTTACAGAGCTAGATACCATTATGACTAGTATTAGACTGCTGTCGTTACTTGTACACAGTCTGTTATTGTTTAGAAATGGTGTTTTTAGATGTGCTTCAACAATATAAATCAGAATAATGGCTTGCATTTGGAAGGAAGCAATAGGCCCATTTAAACAGTGAAAAGACGCTATGGTGCTACACTTGCATGATTCATTAACTCAAAGAACTTCGTAAAATCAAAGGAACACCATCCTAAAGAGGACAAATTGGAGTTTGGGATTTCAGGTGTTCTCAGTCATGTGTTGCTATGTCCTGAAGAATAAGGTGTTTAGGGAATGAATGATGATGCCCTTTTGCGTACTGTTCCCCGTGAGGATTAATTTACCCCATGCGCACAAATGCCTCTTCGCTAAGGACGGCTGCGGGGCGATTAGGCTTGCATCGCTTTGTTTTCTGTGTATTCCTCCTGACTCCCCTGGGCTGCATTTATTGATGGTGTCTGCAGATTCTAAGGTTCTCTAGCATTAAAATGTCAAAGATCATCAGTGACTTCAGTCTAATCAGAAACCCTTTGTTTAACAGTTTTTGTCGTTGATTTTTATATCTGTATTTGTAGATATGCTGTTTTCGCAACTAAGGTTGATGGTTGAGAGCCACAGGCAGCACATCAGAAAGTTGTGAAGGTATATGGTAGACCAAATCTAAATAAAATACTGTTTGGTAATTAGATGGACCAATTAGGTGCTTCCTCCTCCTAACTGAAAATTGTACTTTATACTGAGGTTACTGTCCCTCTATCATGGATCTGAGTCTTCGGTTTGTTGGGTTTTTTTCTGCATCCCAAGTGCATGTAGAATTGGGCTACACTCTAGATCTAGATGGAGAAGGACCAGTGTGGTCCTTTGGACAAAAGGTCCATTGAACTAGGTACTGAGAAGTAAGATTTAATAAGTCAGAATGTTTTACTTTGATACCAAATACAGGCCCTAAAATCAATTCATCATCTTAAACAGTTTCTGGGATGCCCCTTGACCTGATGAGCGGGAACCTCGCTTTCATTTCTGCCATTGATTGTGGAATCCCCTGCAATTGAATCCTCTGAAAAACGTTGCTTTTTCAAGCCCTGTTTCAGTGCGGTTTTTGTAGGCTTCTCTGAGAAAATTGAGGATGAAATTGAGCAATAGCTTAGCTGAAAAATCCTTGCATTTCGATGGATAAATAAAACGTTTTTTTTTTTGTTTTTTTTTTAAGAAATAGTAAGAAGGCACGGGATGTTTAAAATTATTTAAATGTGACATTTCAAGACAGAGAAATAAGTTGAACCTGAAGCCTTTGAGCCAGTGTTTACACTTTGCTCCAGTCAATCCACTTACCTGCCGGTACCTAATTGAAATGTCAAAGTCTCTATTTGTCAAACGCACAGTATGGTGGAGACATCTGTACAAAATGAAACACTTATGAGGCTCAAACAATTGCAGATACAGTCAAAGGTAAATAAGGTAAAGAAGTTAAAAAAGGTAAGATGAATGTAAGGGAGCCATACTGTAGGTCCAGCTGAACAGTGCCCTAGGCTGGACATTAGCCCCGGCTAAGCAGGGCTTTGGGCTCGACTTTAGCTCCAGGCTGTCGGCCTGCTGGTCAGGAAGCATGAGAAATTCTTTCCTGCGCTTCTCTTAAGGACAGATGATTAAAGGATGCTCTCGATAGTATTGAGACAGGATGTTCCGGTAATTTCCCGCACGAGGAATGAAGGTATGCTCAGCGTCCGCCCGCTAGCCATTTCCTCACTGATGAGATCAGTGGGCGCCTTTTGGGGTCATGCCCTCCCCGCATTCAAAGGACGAACTGTCACCATGGCAAAGTACTTAATTATCCAGAATTTAAAAATGCTTCACTCTGTTTTTATTATCAATATGTGAACAATGCTAATTTCTGTGAAATTTTAATGTTGCATGCGTTTGCTGCTCCTTCAGTCAGCAGTGAGATGTCATGATTCTAAAGCGATGTGTTATTTAACTTTTTTTTCCCTCAGAATCCTTCACGCCAGATCACAAGCCATTGATGGGAGAAGCTCCAGAGGTGAGAGGCTTCTTTCTGGGCTGCGGCTTCAACAGTGCAGGTGAGGACAACACTTTAAGCATGGGCAGTACTTACATGCACTAATTTACCGGTGTTAGTGTGATTGAGCATTATTTGGCTAATGTGGAATGTTCGATGTGTTAGGTAGAAAATATAGCTCGTAGCCTTTCCTCTGTCTGCTTCCCCTTAAATTATTGATAATTGTACAGGAGTGTTGTGAATTACTTCAAAAACTCTTAAGTGCATCTAAAATTGCATGCTTGTTTGCTATGTAGCATGCAAAATATAATGTGCAAAGTGAGCAGTATGTCAGAATTCTCAGTATGGATTAGACAATACGCAAACGGTAGCTGGACGACGCACTGCATTCTGCGAAATTCCGACGTGTGCAATCAATGGACGAAGGAAGTGCCGTCTACAAATTTATGTAGAAAAGAACACCCAACTGCATAAGTTGACCTGAATATGTATTTTTTTTGTTGGTAGTTTCTAACAGTTTTTTAACTTTCACGGGAGGTGAGCTGTGTTGCTAGTAAACTTTTGGGTTAGGTGATATGCAAGACCTCACTGGCGGAGCTATAGACAGCACTGCGGCCCACAGAACCTTCAGGAGGCCATCGATCTATTGTGTTATACTACCAAAGCACTTTACACTGCATTATGAACCAGCAGTAACTAAATGACACATACAGCACTAGTCAAAAGTTTGGACACACCAGCCCATGGAAAGGTTTATTTGTCATATTTTCTGCATCTTAGAATTATTATAAAGATATCATAATTATAAAGTAATGTATATGGAGTTGTGCACTGACTAAAAGTGTATTAACCAAAAATACCAAAAGTGGCCTCCTGGGATGCTTTTCCAGCCGTCCTGAAGGGGATCCCACATATATGCTGAGTTCTCATTGGGCATTTTTCCTTCTCTGTCTGGTCAAACTCCTCCAAAAACATACCTACTGTGTTTAGGTCAGATGGCCAGGTCATGTGACATCACTCTCCATTGTAGGCAGCTTGGTGTGTCTAAACTTCTGACTGGTACTATATGCTCTTTGCCTGCCTGGAGTGTCTGTCTTTGAATATTTATTTTTTCTGACATGGCTGTGAAAGTTCACATTGCATAGCGTAAGGATACATGGTACATCTGTAACATTTAACCATAAAGGGTCATAGGCTTTGTTGGTCGTTTTTTTGTATGTCTGATTGTGGTCTTATATAAAACCTTTAAAAAAAAGTTTACCATGCAAGCCCCTCCCCCACAGTTTATCTCACAGCATGCATACTTTTCTCATGCATACTTACAGTACTCATTACATTAACAGCTGAGTAGTAATCTTCTAATGAAATTCAGTATATACTGCGTAAGTATGCGATTTCAAATGCAGCCGCCGTGTTAAGCTCTGTGATGTCTGCCTTGTCAATAATGTTACACCTTGGGTTCCGAAGGTCCATCATTTTGTTTCACTGTGTTTTCACTGTGCCAGGCTGAGGTGAGTTAGCTTGAGGAAGAGCGGAGGGCATGACTGGATGTTTTGGGCAGGGAATGGTTGGGTTGTGTGAGGCAGGCAGGCTGGAGCCAGACAGCTACTGTGACCATGGGAGGACGTTCTGAGGAAGGTGTACATGTGGAAGGTCATGGCCGAGGATGAGGGCAGGTGGTATGTGACCATGGGAGGACGTTCTGAGGAAGGTGTACATGTGGAAGGTCATGGCCGAGGATGAGGGCAGGTGGCATGTGACCATGGGAGGACGTTCTGAGGAAGGTGTACATGTGGAAGGTCATGGCCGTGGATGGGTGCAGGTGGTATGTGACCATAGGAGGCTTTTTACAGAAATGCTCTCTGCAAAGACATGGACATTAAGCAGCTTCATATCAATAATGGAGAGACCCACCTGCCACTGAGGGAGATGCACATTTGTACCGTCGCCGGGTCGGTTACCTACTGTGACTATATATTGCTTTCATCAGCAACAGCTATGTGCTTTATTTTACCTTAAACTCCCAGCTGCGTTTATGAAGTATCAGTCGCTTACAGAATTATCCTCCTAAATGCTTACATGCGGAAATGTGACATGGTGATTTATGTAGTGGCTTAAATAATTTATTGACATATAATGTAACGGTAATATTTGTATCTTTAAGAACTAATAAACGATAGCACTTTGACAATAAAGGGTAGCACTATTGTCAAAATTGTCTTGTCGGTTTGATTAGTTGGTTGGTATTTTATTGTCGTATATATATATATATATTTTTTTTTAGATCGCTAACTGTTAGTAAGAATGGCCCAGCTAGCCAATGGGGACGTCCCACATCGAAATGTGAGAGACGGACTCCATTTGTCACCCGACACTGAGCTGCTTGCCAAGGTCAGGCTGGGCTCCCTTCCTGAGTTCTGCTGACCTGGGCTTCTGTGGCATCTGCCAGCGTTCAGCACACCTCATGGTCACCTTCTGTCCTTCTGGCCCAATATCTGCCTTCCACAACATAAGCAGATTCGCCATTGATTCTGCTTTTTTGAAAACACAAGCAGCCTTTTTCTTTAAAATTCATAGATTTGCATGAAAACATAAGTTGTCGACTGATCTGTGCAGGTGCTCCTTCAAGGTGTGGTGCGTTCTTCGGCTGCCTTCTCCCACAAAGGGCTTCTCATCCATTCTCATCCATTCTCATCCATTCAGCTTTGTCCTCCAGGGTCTCTGCGCACATATTAATTTTCACCTGTCAGGCTCATCAGCCGCTTGGTGTGTAGGAGGGTATCATTATGCACCAGCATGACTGGCCCAGTCCATCGCTGGCACCATGGCTGTGTGATGCCAAGCTTAACACCGTGTGCAGATCACAGTCATTCCCAAGAGTAATAATGGTGGGGAATAGACAGAGACCGCCCCCTCAGGTGTAATATGGCATTGCGTGGCTTCTGTCATAGAGGGGTAACGTTTTTCCTATTTGAAAGAATTAATTGCTCTGTGCCTCTAAATGAAATAAGGTGAAGCATATTCATTGCTGAAGGTATAATTTGGAAAGTAAACCACTACATTTATGTCCAGGTATAAACTGGGCACTGATTAAGAGCTGAATTTTAACACAAAAGTATACCTTGCCTTTATAAAGCATGAGGGCTGCATACCCCCTTGTTCTGTATGGGGGTCTTGTGCTCCTTAATCAAGGGGGGGGGCTGTAGGCCTTGCACGGGATTTGCTCCTGTCCCTTGATTAGCTTAAATTTTTACATTATATTTTATTTATCTAGCTAATGATTTTATGCAAAGTGGTGAACATTTTTGAGAAAGCAGGACCAGCCAGTTCCTGGTTAGTCAAGGGCCCAGTGGTGAAGTTATGTTGAAAGTCGCAGGTTCAGGCAGCCTATCGGCGTCATGGGGAGACTGCGCAGGCAGCTTTTTGCCCTCATGGGGAGACTGCGCAGGCAGCCTTTTGCCGTCATGGGGAGACTGCGCAGGCAGCTTTTTGCCCTCATGGGGAGACTGCGCAGGCAGCTTTTTGCCTTCATGGAGAGACTGCACAGGCAGCCTTTTAGCATCACAGGGGAATCTGCACAGACAGCCTCCTGCATAGGCAGTCTTTCAGCATCACATGGAGTCTGCGCAGGCAGCCTTTCGGTGTCACGGGGAATGCGCAGGCAGCCTTTCTGCATCACAGGCAGGCAGCTTTTTGCCGTCATGGGGAGACTGCGCAGGCAGCCTTTCAGCTCCCTGTTCGCCCTCCTCTACCCTCACATTTATGATCCAGAAATACCAGCAGTGACTCAGTGCTCCTTTAGAAGGGGCAGCTGGGGAGCTGCCAGCGGGGGGCGGCATGGGCGGTGGGGGCGGGCTGAAGCTCTCGTACCCACGCGACGTCCCGTAACGAGGGCAGCGCTCCAGGCTGAAGGCTGTCAGTCTCACAGCCAATCAGGAACGCTCCTGGGTGCGAGTCTGTGCCGCGGCGGCGTGACTTAGGCGCCCTTTGTTGCCCGAAGTCTGTGACGCCAGTGCGGTTGCTGCTGTTACCAGCCCTCCGTCGAGCCGGTCGGAGGCTATAAATAATAGCTCCACTGCTGCTGCTCTCATGAAGCTTCAGAGCCTCGATGGCTGGGGGGGGGGACTGGGAGTGACTCTGCGTACGGGGACACTCCGTCTGCAATTACTTGTATTATTATTGCATAATCATGCTAATTTTAACGAGTGACTAATCTCAGATCCTGCCTCACTGGTGAATGCTTCATGAAGACGCACCCCCTCCTGGGTAGGGCAGAATTTCAATTTAAATTAATCCCCCCCCAATCTCCTCACTACACCTCCCTTAACCTCCTAGTCTGTCTCCGCCGTGTCACTTCATGCATTTTCTGAGCTCTCTCACTTTCTCTCCTCTTGCCCTGCACCCTTCTTCTGTCCATCATCTGTTTGTGTCACATGACCCACCCCCCCCACCCCCCGCTTACAGGGATGATGCTCGGTGGGGGCTGCGGGAGGGAGCTTGCGCACTGGATCATCCACGGCCGCCCGGAGAAGGACATGTACGGTTATGACATCAGGTGGGTCTCCCTCTACGCGTGTCTGTCTTAGTTTGCTCTGGGAACTGCTGTTGTGTGATTGGGCCGCACCTTCCCTTCTCCCCCGTCCCAATTATTCCCTTCTGTGTTGTCTTCTGAGAGATGGGGGGGGACTGCACCTCCATCAGTTCCTGCCGTCCGGAGGCGTGAGGCCTGACACATTCCTGGCCCCATTAGCCCCACCTTGCTGGTGCCTTTTGGCCCTCTGCTCGCACCATATGCATCCCCAGCTCGGCTCCCGGGTTGCCCCTGCTGCCTGGGCCTGGCGGGCGGCGGATGGGGATGCCTCTCAGCCTTTGGCCAGTGGATCTTTGCTGGATCTGCCTGCGGGCGCCCTGCCCTCCTCAGCCTCCATGTCCTGAATCGTAATGAGGCCAGTGAGCCGGTTCCCCGAGTCCTTCACGCAGTGCCCAAAGGCTCCCCTCGGCTGCCTTTCTGGCTGCAGCTGGACAGTGCAGGAACCACTGCCAGTCACTGTTAGTCTTCCACATACTTGTAAAAGTATCTGCTTATTATGGCAATTTAAAATTGTGTTATTTAATTTTAATAAATCGAGCATAGGTTGGCGCCCCATCCTGGGTGTTCCCTGCCTTGCACCTGCAGCCCCCCAGATGTGCTCCGGACCCCCCATGATGCTTAATGGTATAAGCGGTTACATAAGATGGATGGATGGAAATCGGAAATAATACAAACTGTTCAATACACTCAGTAAAAGGTTTGTTTCGGAGGTGAGGTTTCTTTGGTAGTGTTATTGATAGTGTACTTCTGCAAGCTAGAACGTGAGATAAAATATTAGCCCAGCCATCAAGAATGGCTGAAGTGTCGTGAAGCACACTGCCCCCTGCTGCCTGCCTTGGACACACGGCTCTGCGGGGAGCTCTATGGCCGACTGCATTATCTATGGGAAGACAAAGAGCCAACTTCTTGGTAACCCTTCTTCCAGCTTGTGTAATCAATGCAAAGGGGTAATGGTTTAACAGATAGTCTAGACTCTTTCCGTGATTTTTTTCCACCCATTTTCGATCATCCATCCATCCATCCATCTTCAAACTGCTCATGCTGGTCAGGGTTGCTTGGAGCCTGTGTGACAAGAGGAGAACATTCAAGCTCCAAAGACAGAAAGCAGAGGTGGGATTCAAACCCTGAACCTGGAAGGTGTGAAGCGACACCAGATCATTCATCACCTGGATGCAGGAACGTCCGTGTGTATCTGACTGCAGCAGCACATACCAACACCACGATCCACAGCCACGAGCTCCTCACAAACACACTGACTAACGCGGCACCTCAGCTTCTCTCCCGCCTTCAGGGCTGTGTGTTTGCTTGTCATTCCCACATTTCCGTGGGTTACTTGGACACAGGGCATGTTCTCTCTGATAAGGTGCTACCCTTTTTGAGGTGTGCCCTTGCCTTGTGCCCATTGCTGTATAGGATAGATTAGAGATGCACCGATCTGATATTCAGATCAGTATCGGAACTGATCCATATCTATTAAACGGACCAGGTATCAGCCATATGAGACCGATCCACATCCGATACTTATTTAGTTTTCGGCAGTCTAAGAAGATAGCTCTTATTTCTCATTAAATCGGTTCGCATAATCAATCGCATGACAGCTCTTTCCTATTTTAGATCATTTTTATGCGCCATTCAAGTTGAACGTTAACGCTGTCTCTCAGTCTATTTCCGCCCGCTGTGACATCATACGCATACACTTTGCAGTAGGGGGAGCGTAGGAACATCAGCTAGGAGGGTTGCAATCTGGGAGTATGTTACACTTTTAACAACCAGTAGCACTGTAATTTGCAGTCTTCATAAAAAACAAAGTTTTGAGAGGTGGGAGTAGTGTTTAGTGAAAAATCCCACTAAACAAATCGTATGCACTTGTGCGAGACAACACGAGTAATATGAAAAAAATTATGGATGATTTGGGAGCCGCTAGCTTGTGGTGTTTTGCACACTCGTTGCAGCTTGTGATACACGAGGGGCTGCGATCACAGCGAAGTGATGTTGTTGCCAGTGGGAGAAACATTGTGGCTCATTTTAAGCATTCACTGCTCGCATATAATCTCTTGGAAATTGAACAGCAAATGCCTCAAAAAAGCTTAAAACAAGAGATACAAACCAGGTGGAACAGTACATGTATGTTTGTAGTAGCCTAATTAAAGATTTTTTTTGTCATACATATATATACATACACACATACACATATGTACAGTATATACATACATATATTTAAATATGAAAGGTATCGGTAGTTGTGTATCAGAATCGGATCAGAACTGAAAAATTGTGCATCGGTCATGTCCCAGGGTTGGAGACCAGGCTCATTCCTGACATACAGCCGGAAAGTGGTTGGATGTCTGGGTTCTCCAGTTCTCCAGTTCTCCTCAACTGTTCAAATTCAAAAGCATGTGGTAGAACCCTTTAGTGTGCCACTGGCATCTCGTTCACAGTGCACCTATTTCCCTTATTTCTTGGGATGGGGTTTGGACCCCAGCCACACTCGGAATGTGCTTCTGGGAAATGTTATGGCGCAGGTGGGGTTTGGTTTCGTTGTTCCGCATAGCTGTGTTCCACACGTACAGGCTGTGCGACGGTGTGGGGATGCATGCGAGTGCTGTGTGGATAGCTGTCTGAATGCGAGCCCGTCTGCGGCGTCGGCTAAGGCCGGCCTGGCTTTCATGGCACTGCTGTGATTTTCAGGAGATTCCATCACTCGCTCACCAAAAGCAACCGCTGGATCCGGGAGCGCAGCCACGAGTCGTACGCCAAGAATTACTCCGTGGTCTTCCCTTACGATGAGCCCCTGGCGGGCCGTAACATGAGGAGGGACCCCCTGCACCAGGTTTGTGTGCCTCCCCATGGGTCCGTTCCCTATTCCCTGCCTCTCGTCGCCTCCACTCATTGAAATTCCATCCGAGTTCACTGGGCTTTTTAATAAATTACTTAAAATTTATTTAACATGCTGACTGTGAGGAATTGCATTCAGACTGGATGTCGACAGAAAGTTCAAGTCCAGCATGACATTTTCCATTTTTAAAGGTTATGAATATATGGGTCCTGAAAAGGATCTTATTAAGATATAAACCCATAAAAAATCATTTTCTGAGGATGTATGATGGCGTTTTGAGAGTTTTTATTCCATTACTCTCTCACAGCTGCAGTCCTTGTTTGTGTAAATGAAAGAGAGATGGAGCCAAGTAGCAAATGGGGAATTTAAAGGATCCGGCATTAACCTCATGCTCACCGCCTGTGGGATTCTCCGCCACGTCCTCAGATTGAGGTTAAGGTTCAGGATATCAAGACAAGTCAGACTTGGAACCTTTAACTGCTGCCAGAAAAATGAGCTCGCTTATTAAATCACAAATGAATGCGTGACTAACGCGTCCTTTTAAAGACTTGTGGGATCATGCTGTATCTAAATTTTCATACAAGAATGGAGTCCTTATTGTGTTTCACAATATAAAATAACCCATTTCATATGAATAATAATACAAACATTTAAAATTCTTCTTATTGTTCAATACAGCAAAGGTTTGTGGGAATTCATGGTATCTTAAAAACTAAGTTTATTTCAGAGAATGATTGTAAATGGTTTTTTTTTGTAAAAATTCAGCCAATGGGACAGTCTTTCAGCTTTTTATTAATGTCTTATGTTTCCCCTTCACCGCTTGACCAGCAGACCAGGGATGCAGGAACTGGCAGCTGACTCATACTGCCGCTGACTGTCTCGACCTGGAAAGCTCTGTCTCACTTGTTGATTTGCAGGCTCTTGTTGAGCTGTGGATCTAACAGTGATGCTTGTTTGGGGTTTCCCCGTGTTTTGGCCCTGTATCGGGGTGGGCTGTCTCCTTTCTCATGAAGCGCCTGATTAGCTGGTCTGACCGATGGGTAGCTTGAGCACTAGTGGTCTTTGGACTGACAGGTAAATTTGCATTAAAGATTCCCCATTATGTCGTCTTCAGTTCACTGCAAAAAAGCAGAAGGGGAAAAAATGCTAGAAGATTAAGGTCTCTTGAATTAAACATTGTTGGTAATGGGAGCATTAGCTGAGCGTTCATGACTGCGGTTCCAGCTAAGCATTCTCTCCTCTTATGCTAAATATTTCATCCCTGTCTTCAGATGATGAATACCAGTCTTTCCTAGGCTGTGGCTTCAAGCAAATGATTGCCCAATTTTCCGAGCGTCAGGGGCACCCTTTAACCATCACACTGCTAATGTAGTTTGCAGTCTCTCCTATTCGACACCTTAAGTAGCTCGTACTGAAAGAATGACTAATTATTTCAATATTTGTCCCTGCCCGGTACTTGAGCACACTTAAATAGTACAATGTTCATCCATCTGCCTTCTTTAATTCATCTCAAGCTGTAAACGATTGGCAGTATTACCTTTCTGGAAACCATGAAGGCTATAGGGTACCGTTTTGGCCGAGAAATGGGTGCGTTTCCCTGGAGACAGCCACATTTAACTACGCCATTGTGAGGAAGTCATTGCTTTGACTTACAGTGACTGCATGTTTTTTTTCTTTTTTTCCACTATTGTGAAAAGACATCCATGTTATGTACACTCTGTCCCCATGGAAGGAAAAAGTCCATGTAAATGTTATTAATAATTCTGTTATTCCCCGGGGCCAGAACTGGGATATAATTGCATTGTGGTGTGCAGTAATCTTGCGAGTCTTTTTCCAGAACATTATATTGGCTCTTTCTATAACCAAAGTATTAATATTTCACAAAAGTACACAGTGTAACAATGCGTTATGCTTGCTTGGACATTTTTTGCATTTCTTAGACGTGACATGTTGTAAATGTTGATTCTGTAGTTATAAACATGTATACAAACAGATGTATTTTAATATTATTATGTAAGGGTACATTAAATTAACCATGTACAATACAGATACCTTGAACCTGGACGTGGGGGCAGCGGGTGGTTCAGTAGATTAGAGTTCTGTGCTCGTGACCAGAAGGTCATAAATGCAAATCCCGTAGCTAGCAGAGTGGTCATATCTTTTGGACCTTTAGCTCTGAAAACAACAGCGGGGGGGGGGCAGATAAACAGCGACCCTGCACTCTGACCTCCAAGCTTCTCTCTCAACTGCATAGGTGAGCATGATGGGATATGTGTAAAAAAAACCACAAAAGAATTCCTACATGCCTGTATGTGTGCAATGGAAAATAAAGCAGAAACTAAGGCAGATAACTTAACTGTTCAGTGCCCTTGATGCTTCTGTGTGTCTGATTTTGTAGGTGCTACTGGAGAAAGGCTGTATCTTTCAGGAAAGACATGGCTGGGAGCGACCAGGATACTTCAGTCGGGAAGGTGCCGCTCCTGTAAGAGGCCTCTGTTGTGGTTTGTCAGGTGATCCAGTTGATCCCAAGGGTATAACATAGGAGTGATCTTTGATTAATTAAGTCAGTTTAATGCAGACACTATCAGTGCAGATATCCTGACTGCCTCCTTGTTTATAATCTTATCTGGCCTGGCAGTTTTTGTGTGTTGTTTTGATTGTTATTTTTTATTTGGAAGGTGCTGGATTATGATTATTATGGGGCCTACGGAACCTCCCGGAATTCCATCTACAAATACAACGACCTTCTCGGCCAGGAGTACACCTTCGACTTCCCTTCACATCACCCTGTGGTGAGCCCTCTCCTTCGGCTGCTCCCTGTCTCGTCACGGTCGCCAAAGGAGCGCGATCCACGCGCGATAGGGAGTGCAGGTGTGAAGCAAACGAGCCGGGTCTTAGTCAGGGGGTGAGAATTTGCCAGAAGTTTTTTTTTTTTCCCGCATACCTTTGTATGACTGGAATTGTTACGCGAAAGTGTAACTGATTCAGGTCTCTACCCCACACAGTGTAAAAATGACCTGATCTGCTGTGATCGATTACGATGTAGCATGAGAGCTGAAATGACACAGCTGGCCCCACAAGACAAAACGAAAAGGCTGTACAATTCTGGTAAATACAAAGTACGATGTTAGTGCAAACTCTAAATGTGTCTGCTGCATGCGTGACAGAGGCAGGCGGATGTGTCAGGCTCAACCTCTCTGCTTCTTTTCCAATTTTGACTCATTATTTTATAATACTTACACAATTAAAAGAATACATAATTACCATTTCAAGTGGGGGGTGTTCAAGCATTTTACCGATGCTATATAGCATTAAAGTATCTGTTATTGGTCTAATTGTTCTTTTTTCTCTTCCAGTTCACATCTATGATGGCAAACCTTTTAGATAATGTGAAAATATCTCGGTGGTAGGGTTCTGGGGGTGGATGAGATTCACCCTGAGTTCCTGAAAGCTCTTGATGTTGTTGGGCCATCTTGGCTGACACGCCTCTTTAACATTGCGTGGACGTCAGGGACAATGCCTTTGGATTGACGGGGGTAGTGGACCCAATCTTTTAAAAAGGGGACTGGAGGCTGTTTTCCACCTGTAGTGGGTTGTCAATGATTCTGTTCAGAAATTTTGTGGACAGAATTTCTAGGCATAGCTAAGGGGCGGAGGGGGTCCGGTTTTTGCTTTTTGCAGTGGATGTGGTCCTGTTGGCATCATGGGTCATGTGACCTGCAGCATGCACTGAGGCGGTTTGCACCTGAGCGTGAGGCAGCCAGGGTGTGGATCAGCACTGCTAGGTCTGAGGTCATGGAAAAGGGTGGATTGCCCCATCCAGGTTGAGAATGAGTTACTGCCTCAAGCAGAGTAGTTTAAGTATCTCAGGGTCTTGTTCACGAGTGAGGGGAAAAGGGAGCGGGAGATCGACATAGACGGATTGGTGCAGCTTCAGCAGTAATGCGGGCGTTGTACCGTTCTGTTGTGGTGAAGAGGGAGCTGAGCCAGAAGGCAAAGCTCTCAAATTACCAGTCGATCTACGGTCCCAACCTCACCTATGGTCATAAGCTCTGGGTAGTGCCCGAAAGAATGATATCGTGGGTATAAGTGGCTGAAATGAGCTTCCTCCTTAGGGTGCCTGAACTCAGCCTTAGAGACAGGGTGAGGAGCTCAGACATTCAGGAGGGACTCAAAGCAGAGTCGCTGCTCCTCTGCATCGAAGGAGCCAGCTGAGGTGGTTCAGACATCTATCTAGAATGCCCCCTGGATGCCTCACTGCGGAGATGTTTTGGCCATGTCCAACCAGGAGGAGACCCCGGGGTAGACCCTGGATGCACTAGAGAGATTATATCTCTCAGCTGGCCTGGGAAAACCTTGGTACCCCTCTGGGAGGAGCTGGAGGAGGTGGCTGGTGAGAGGGAGGTCTGGGCATCCCTGCTTAGACTGCTGCTCCCGCAACCAGACTCCAGATATGCAGCGGAAAATGGATGGATGTATCTGTTAATTACATTATTTGGAGATTTACCACAAATAATTTTATATTTGCACTGTTACTGGGCAGCAAAGTAACTGAGAACTGAGCTAAATTAAGGTTCATACTTGGCACCATTTCAGTTTATATTTGTATCTCTTGAAATATCGGATGCGGTGGTGCAGTGGCACAGTGCTTAGCACTGTTGGAGGGGGTCTGGATTTGGGGTCCGCAGTGGCACAGTGGTTAGCACTGTTGGAAGGGGTCTGGATTTGGGGTCCGCAGTGGCACAGTGGTTAGCACTGTTGGAAGGGGTCTGGATTTGGGGTCCGCAGTGGCACAGTGGTTAGCACTTTTGCCTTATTTTTCTGGAACCGGAGTTTGAGTCTCTGCCATGGCTGTGTGTGTGCTGAGTTGCATGTTCTCCCTGTGTCATTGTGGGGTCTTCCTCTCCATGTTTGCAACAATTGTTGCCAAATTGTGTATAGGTTTGCATTTCCTGCCTTGCACCCAGCAAAGTGAAGATCGACATGCTGTACTGTGAAACAGTTAGTAGTTTGCTCCATTCCACCTTGCACTCTGCTGCCATTTTCTCTGTCAGATCACTCATGACTCTCGGTGCTTGTCATTCAGTTCAAAATGTTCTCTGAGTAAATCGGTGACTTCTGTGCCCTCAGCATGTGAGAGCGTGAGTGGATTTGTGAGCACGTAAGTGCACTGTGAACCACTGGCATTTGGCGTGCAGCAAATACGATCACCAGTGTGTGGGTGTTCAGGATGGAAGACAGACAGACAGGCAGGAATGTACTATTATTGATAGCTTTGTGAAGTTTGCAGTGCTTCTAGGTAAGAGACATTGTACGTAAGAAGGACTTCTTTGTGATTGCGGTGTAGATTATATTACGATACAGTCAGAGTAGAGGGGCTGTAGCAGGGCTTTAATGTGAAGAGGGGATCTGCAGACAGCCTTGGGAAGAGCGGGAACAAAGGATTATCATCATGCACGAGTGTGTGTGTGTGTGTGTACACGAGTGAGCGTATGTGACCATATGTGTGTTTGTATTTACCAGTGTGATAAAAACTTTTACGCTTTGGGTTGTCGGAACATTTTTCAGGTCCCCACAATATGAACTGTGAATGAAATCAAAAGACTAAAAATGCCAAAAGTTGTGTATTTTGTCTGGTTACTTATGAAGAAGATTAAGAAGAAGAAAAATACTCATCAACAAAATTTTTTCTATGATGAAAATGGAACAAAAAATAAATACAAGGGTGACACATTTTCATGTGTAGACTGCAACTAAACCTGTTAGGTTAATTTAGCTGAACGTTCTGTAGATTTAGTCGACTAAATATCCTATAATTTTCATCAAACTAAAAAAATCAGATGACTGAAATGAATTTTTGCCAAAGGTCTAAGACTAAAACTAAATCAAAATATGCTGTGTAAATTAACACTGCTGGGTAGGGGTTACGGTGTGTGTGTGTGTGTGTGTGTGTGTGTGTGTGTGTGTGTGCGTGTGCGTGTGCGTGTGTGTGTGTGCTTGCAAGCGGGTTTACCTATACTTATGGGGACACAATGTCCCCATAACGTGATAAATATCAGTTTTTTTCCCTTATGGGGACCGGTTTCCTGGTCCCCATAAGGGAAAACTCTATTTTATAAAAATCGGTGACTGCTATGAAAAAACTAAAAATGCAGAAACTCTTGTATTTTGTTAGGTTACTTATGGTTATGGTTAGGGCAGGGTAGGGGTTAAGGTTGTCATAGTTAGCGTTAGCATTTTTCCCATTGAAATGAATGAGCGGTCCCCATAAGGATATGTTTACCCTACATTTGCGTGTGTGTGTGTGTGTGTGTGTGTGTGTGCATGCTACACACACTTGCCGGTATTCAGTTCAGCATTTTCATTAAGTGGATACAGACGATCCCTTGGACACGTACGCTAATGATTACATGCACAACATTCCCAGCATATTACCCTCACAAGCATTTTGGGAAAAGTAGGTTTGGTTTTATCTCATGTGGTTGATTAGGCTGATTGTAGAGAGTGGACACATTCCGGACTGTGTTTCCTGCAGGGGGGCACACGGGAAGGTGCAGTGAGCGTGAGATGGGTGTGTGTTCACAGTGCCCTTTCTCAGCCACCAGCTGCTCCTCTCTTCCAGATCAGAGACGAGTGTCTGACCTGCAGGAACGCGGTGGCTGTCTTTAACATGTCCTATTTCGGCAAGTTCTTCCTGATTGGTCCGGACGCCAAGCAGGCTGCGGATTGGCTGTTCTCCGCAGACGTCAACAAGGTTGTGGGTGAGTCTGGCAGGCCATCCTTATGTGTGTGTGTGTGTGTGTGTGTGTGTGAACATGTGTCATAGGCACACATGTAAACGCACACATCAACGCACAGGCATACAGTACACATGGGATGCAGTCATGCGGGATTACAAAATGATATTTGCGCTACATGACAGTGATACTGTATTTGTCTGCTTGTACGAGTCCTTGGAAAGTCTCTGGTCTCCGCGGGTCCCATCTTGCTGTTCTGTGAGGGTGTAGCTTGGGGTCAGGGTGCAGGGTCTGCTGTTTTCCCCGGGGGTGGGGGGGTGAATTTGAGTCTGAGAAGATGCCCCTGACTGCCTCTTTAGCTACGATGCCATTCTCAGGGCATTCATATTCAGAGCTCCCAGACGCCCATGATCTCTATGTAAAATCATCTGTGCCAGTTTCCCAGGGTGCCGCGCTCGTCCCCGGTGCCCTGGCCTTCACATTAAAAGCCCCGGATGGTCACCGATGATCCCCGGCTGTGTGTCTTTCAGGGTCCACGGTCTACACATGCATGCTGAATAGGGACGGCGGAGTGGAGAGCGACCTCACGGTCAGCCGCATCGAGCCGCCGGCCGCCGGCCAGTCGCCGTTAGCGCCTGCGTTTGAAGGTCAGTTATGGGATGGATTAAAACAGCTGAGCCGCTGAGTCACTAACCCCGTAGCTACATGTACTATCTCCACTGCATGTTCTAGTCTGTGTTCACTGCATCCTGCACCCTCAGTTTCTCTGTCTGTACCATGGAATGACTCATTAATTATCAAGGAGAGTAACCTGTGTTTTAAGCATTGGGCAGGATCTGCAAATACAAACATTATTTATGTGTCATTAAAATCAAAAAAGGCAGGCCTGCTGCGTTTGTATGCATATACTGTAACCAGGTGCTGGTCCATAGGCTTGGCTTCACCTGCTTGGCTCTGCTCTTAATGGAGCCACCAAACTGTTGAAGCAGCATCCCTTTTAAGGGGTTGTTATGGTAACCGGCTGCCAATTAGGCGGAGCAGTGAGCAGTTGCAGGAAGCTGCGAGTGAATGTTTTCTTCTGCTGGAGGGAGTCGAGGGAGGGGGGGACAGATGTTTTTAGTGGTTATATGCCTGCTAGGTCTGCAGGAGAAGAACGCTGATACCAATGTCACAGTGTCATCGGAGCTCTGACGTGCATGTGGTCATGACCAGTAAAGTGCAGAATGGTTTGGAGTCTCAAGGGGCTCCCATGGACTGTTGAAGACTGCACTTGTGGTGTTTGTGTATCTAATGAGTGATAAGAAGAGCAGGAAAAACATTAATAAAGGAAGAAAGAGCAGCGATGGATAGTTCAGGTCCAGAAAGCAAAAAATCCAGACCAAGATTTTGTTACAACCAACCAGTTGTGTATAAAAAGGTGCAGTCACAGAGTACTCAGCTGGTTGGTTGAAGCAAAATAGTGGTCTGGATTTTTACTTTCTGGACCTGAACTTTCCACCTCCTGAGAAAGAGCCACCTTCCTGTCCACAGCGTGCTTCTTTTTGTGGGCAGGCAGGTGGCGGCGACGGTGGGTGGGGTTTGTGAGAAGTCCTCCCCGACTGGCACATCGTTATACGAGCCTCCGTGTGGGATCTGGGGCTGCCTGGCTGATTGCTGCTCACACCCGCGCAACACAGTGCTGGGGCTGGAGGTGCCTGTCAGAAATCAATTTTATCACGCCTCCGAGGACGGCCCGCGCTGATTTACAGGCCCTCTGTGCCTCGCCGGCTGATTGGCTCTGGGGGCTGTGGCCTGGTGGATAGTGGGAGGTGGTGGAAGGGGGTTTCTTATCTAGCTTTGTTCCTGAGAGTCGTGGGCTGCTCCAGCTCGATAATCACGTCCTCCCTCTTCATTCCTCTGCTTTTATTCAGGCCATGGCTACTACCTGGCAGTGGGAGGGGCCGTGGCCCAGCACAACTGGAGCCACATTCAGGCCGTCTTGCAGGACAGAGGCTTCCGCTGCTCGCTGCTGGACCGCTCGGAAGACATCGGCATGATCAGCATCCAGGGGCCCAAAAGGTGTCGAACTCCCGGAAGCTGTCTACTGGGGAGGGGCTTCAGCTGAGGCGTGAAGTCATTTGTTTAATGTCTCGCTTGACCGTGCCCTTAATGTCCCGCAGTTTCTGACACGCGGCTCTGGTCCCTGATCAGCGATAGGCTTCGTCCTGCCAATCCCTCCCGGTGTGGTGACCTCGTGACACCGCTCGCTCACCCTCTCCAACGGCACCCGTGATGAATTCCCCTCCGCGGCCTCTTAATGTTTCTCCCATCCCGCTGCAGCGTGATTCACCGCGCGCTCTCCATGCAGCTGCCCTGCACCGCTGAAGTGGCTAATCTAATGCATATTAATGAGGCGTGCGGCCGCATGAACACGCACGGTCGCGGGGAGCCATGGTCGGCTGTAACGCATCCGGGTGATTTATTTTGTTTATGGCGAACTGAAAGGCCACAGATGTGTAGAAGAGGGGATTTCATGATGGCTACTGCCGCTCGATTTAGCGGAAACGGGCACGCGTGTCCTACAGCAGACAATCGGGTTGAGTCTGATGCATGGAGAATGCGTGCTTTATCCCTACGTGACACTAGCATTGTCGCAGGAGTCGTTATGCTCGATTTCTGCGCGTCCCCCTTCAAACGCTGCATGTGTTGATGCTGAACAGTGGTTTAATCCAGGGAGAGAGAGGAGAACCCTGGAAAATGCCCCTTCCATCAGGAGGTGTTTCAGACCCTGGCGGGGAATCTGCCGGCCTCGCTGGCTCGGCCCGGCCCGTCTTCACAGCTCATTAACGCCCCTGCTCCGGGCAGATCCCTCGTTACGCACGCGAGGTGCTGGAGCTCGGTCGCTTCGTTATTGATCCTATTTTTAAATGTCGTATGGAGACCCATTGAAGGCGATGGCTTCATTCTGTCTCAGCCTGTGTAGTCATGGCTCCGCCCCCACCTCAGACGACTTGTCTGGATTGGCTTCTGATCAGGGGCATGAAGGATTCTGGGATAGATCCTCATTCAGTTCAGTCAGTTTGATGGTCAGTAGTAATGATCTAAATTTGTTTGTTTCCCGCTTGGAAAATACAGGCACAGCACTAGTAGGTTTTGTTTTATATCATGTGCCTGTTTATAGCATAGTGTCTTTGATTAGCTCTAAAAGGAGTGGTGAGACACTGATGGATATTGGTGTTATTTAAGGTTAGGTAAGGGTGATGCACCTGCTTTAAAATTTGCCCAAGGTAGGTTTGGACCAGCAGTATGTGTTTCTGTACGTTTCAATATATCATTTGCATTTGTCACTTTATATATTCATAGTTCACAGTCATTTACCCCGGAGTATCGCTTCACAGATATGATGTAATGTGTGCCGTTTATTCACAATGTTATGTTTGCTATGCCTCATTTATCCTTTAATAGATTTTCATGTGTATATTATTAAATAACTGTTTTCATATGTTTATTTAAAATTAAGATTCTCAAATTACAGCTCAACTGAAGCAGTGTCTCCAAACTGCAGTGGGGGATTTTATTGTTGCTGGGAATTTATTGCCTGTCTAACCAAATCAAACTGAATCGGTGAAATTCTGGTGGTATACAATATGTGAGTGCTAAATTAATATACTTTCCAGTGTGAAGAGAATTCATTACAGGTGCGAAAATGCACACCCCCCCCCACCCCGAAGCGCTCCAGGCACTCCGACCGGCTTCCGCGGTCTCCCCAGTTATCTGAGCTCAGAAATGCGCGAATAGCCTGCAGCTCCCGCGCTCTTTGACTGTCCCGCCGCACCCTCCCACACCTTCACGCCGTACCGTCGACACTCCACACACCCGTGTGTCTCCGCCTTTAACAGCCCGTCCTGACTCACATTCTCTAACCTGTATCCCTGTTGAATTTTTAACACTAATAATTTAATTCTAAGTGGTTTTAAGCCAGTGAACAGGGTATTTTTTTTCCCATGCTCTGTTTGGGCCTGTTTTATCCCACTGTAGTAGGTGTGACGTTACTTTGAGCTGTGCTGGCTGTGTTAGCACAGTTAGTATCCCTGCTATCGTGACACAGAAGTTAGACACGCGGTACAATGCGTTTCTGCCTGTATTAGTGTCACGTGACCTTTGCAGACGTCTCTCCGGAGCGGCCACTTAGGCCGAGGCGGTCAACGCGGAGCGATTTGCAGGTGCGGAGAACATGAGCTGCCTCTGGCCTGGCTCAGTGAGGCAGAGGTGCGGCCTGCAGATTAGCGAGTGTCGTCCATCTTGAGGAAGCAGGAGAGCCTGCGGTCGCAGAGCATACTGTAGCTCCCGAGCCTTTCTGTCGACAGGGACACATTAACTGGATCGTGTTTATTCATGCTGTGATTCCTCTGTCTCTAGGTCGCATCCCTTTCCTTGTCTTCTGGGACTCTGTGTGTTAAATCCATCACATTTTATATGCTTGTGAAATTTTTGAAGATTTTAGTTTAGCGTAGCTCTGAAAACATTGTGACATTTATGTGCCATGTTTAAAATCGCATTGCGGCTGGGGGGGCGTGAAGTTTTGTGGGGTGTTATTATGAGAGAATATTAATTGTGTGTGGGATAGATTGACATGTGAGGGCTTTTGTTCGCCCGCAGTCGTGACCTGCTGCAGGATGTCTTGGACACGGACCTCAGCAACGAGGCCTTTCCGTTCTCCACCCACAAGCTGGTGCAAGCTGCAGGACATCAGGTGAGTGTCTCAGAGCTCCAGTACTGGGCCAGCATATATATAAGTACTTACACGCAAACTCACATGTAGTGAACAACATATACATACATGAAGGCAATGTGTGCAGTTCCTCACATTCTGTATTCTGTAAATAAAGGTGTGCACATATACATACACACATTTATTTTTGTACATGAGGTCAGGATTCCAAGAGGTACATTGTGCTTCAAGCTTTTTAATTAAGAAATTGTCTCAAGAAAGTAGAGTATAACATTTTGTGTTACCCTTAAAATTGATTGATTTCAGAGAACGCAAAGAGAACCTGGATTGTGATTCCTTACATAAAGTACTGACTCATGGCATAGCCACGCGCCAAATATCTTCATAATCAAGTAAAAATGTTTGTCTTAAAATATAAAAAGCACAGGAACAAAAAAGGCTTTCTTTTGCTAAAGCAGTATTTATCAAAAGAACCACAAACCAGAGGCAGTACTATTTTCATGCGCTTCCAGCAAAATCAAACCTTGAAGGATCCAGTCGTGCTGTGGAAAACAGCAAATGTCTGACACGTAAAATGGGGTTTTTATATTCTATGTTGCATATGTGACATGGGGTGGGGGGCAGTGTGTTACACCCCCAGGGCTGGGTGATCAGATCCCTCCCCACTCTGTGAGGAGCTTGCATGTTCTCCCTGTGTCATTCAGGATTCCTTCAGGCATGCCAGTGTCCCCCCCCCCCCCCAACTGACAGCCGTGCAGTCAGGCTGACTGGTGTCTCTGGATCCCCCATAATGTGTGATTGTGTCTGTGAACGTGCATAATGTGCCCAGAGTGTCCCCCAGGCTTGTGCCCTGTGGCACAGCCCCCAGGCCAGGCTTAGCAGTAACACGCCAAGGGGGAATAGCCTGAAAATCATGACGTCATATGCTACAACATGAACAAACTGCACTGAGGAGCAGCGGTCGTAAGGTGAGGCCCGCAAGGATAGGCAGACACAGGATGCAGGATAATTACTAAACACCATAAAAGGACCCCCTCAGAAAGTACCGCAGCACTGAATCGGCACGTCTGTGGCCTAGACTTAAAAAACTTCCCGTCCTGAACTTCACAAAGCTAACATTCATGTCACTCAGAAACCACTTGTATCCAATGCCAGTTATCTGGTGTTAGAAGCACAAAACCTGGATCCCTGAGCAACAAATGAATAGTAATATCTGAGTCATGGTGCATGCTCTTTCCTAGGACAGGTTTAAGTTTGTGGAAAGGTGAAGGAGGCCTTCCGCCCACCTCGTCTGCTGCCAGCGGTTACGCTCTGGGCCCCGCAGTGGCACCGCAGTCAGATCGGGGGAGACGTTCGCTCAGATGATTACGCTGCATGGAATGTAGCACGCAGTAATATCAGCCCATATCGAACGTGCATGACAGCAACCCAGCTAGGACTGCTGCTCTTCTGAAGGCAATGGGAGACTCAAGTCCTTATTTGGACCTTAATAGTATTATATTTAATTCAGCCCCTGTAGAAGCATATGTGATATTTCAATATATGTATATGTTAACCCCATGAACCTGTACAGAAAAAACTATTTGAGGAAGGATGGATGGATGAACTGATGGATAAATAATGTTTTTTTTTTTGTAATTTTATACTAAGTAAACATGACATGGGTCTGTGGCATGTAACTTTATTCTGTATATCCCAGCCTAGAGGATGGAGAAGTTTTGATTAAAAATTGACAGTGTAACAGGATGGTGTAACAGAGATGGCAGTGTAACAGGATGGTGTAACAGAGATGGCAGTGTAACAGGACGGTGTAACAGAGATGGCAGTGTAACATGACAATGTAACAGAGATGGTAGTGTAACATGACAATGTAACAGAGATGGTAGTGTAACATGACAATGTAACAGAGATGGTAGTGTAACAGGATGGTGTAACAGAGATGGCAGTGTAACATGACAATGTAACAGAGATGGCAGTGTAACATGACAATGTAACAGAGATGGCAGTGTAACATGACAGTGCAACAGAGATGGCAGTGTAACATGACAGTGCAACAGAGATGGCAGTGTAACATGACAGTGTAACAGAGATGGTAGTGTAACATGACAATGTAACAGAGATGGCAGTGTAACAGGACGGTGTAACAGAGATGGCAGTGTAACATGACAATGTAACAGAGATGGTAGTGTAACAGGACGGTGTAACAGAGATGGCAGTATAACAGGATGGAGTAACAGATGGCAGTATAAGAGGACAATGTAACAGAGATGGTAGTGTAACAGGATGGTGTAACAGAGATGGTAGTGTAACAGGATGGTGTAACAGAGATGGTAGTGTAACAGGATGGTGTAACAGAGATGGTATAACAGATGGCAGTGTAACATGTCACTGTAACAGATGACAATGTAGTAGCAGTGTAACATGGCAGTGTAACAGAGATGACAGTGAAACATGACACTGTAACAGATGACAATGTAGTAGCAGTGTAACATGGCACTGTAAGAGAGATGATAGTGTAACCGAGATGGCAGTGTAACCTGATGGTACAATAGAGATGGTGGTGTAACAGAGGTGTACACAGAATTGACTGAACAATTAGAGCCTTACCATTATTTCAAAATTATTTCTAGCTCCTCTATTTTTAAACTTAAAAGGCCCAGGACTGGTATCTGGGATGTGTAAGTCTGAAGAATCATCCAGCAGTGACCCACTTCAGCCATGAGTGTTTAACTGGGGGCCTAATAGCACCCCAGAGCGTGCTGCCTTTCTGCTGGACAGATGGCCTGCCTGACAGGCAGAGGGAGCGCTCACAGCCGTCCTATTCCCTCCACTTACTCGCTATTCTCTGCTGGTCCCTCTATCTTATTATTCCTCCTCTGGCTTTGCATTAAGTGACCTGCAAGTGTTAATAGCTAAAATGCATTTTATTTGATTCATTCATTATGCATGTGAATTATGGAGTCCACAATGTATTGTCAATCCCCACATTTATATATATTGTGTGTATGTGTGTGTTGTTGTTGTTTTCCATTCAGTTTTTTTACACTCTAAAAACACTATTTTCACCTGGGGCCAATAAATATTCATAGAAGCCTGTACTCAATATTAAACATCTGTATATTAATTTAATGTATAATTTATATAGTATTTTACATAATACATATGCAAAGGCTGCCTGTGAAATATGTTGACTGTCACACAGTGCTGTTGGACGGGGGTTTTCCTGAGTGTGTAAATACCAGCGTGCTTTAGGATGGAGCGCTGCGACTTCCCGCTGGTCGCATGGGGACCCGCGCATGGAGACCCGCGCATGGTGGCATGTGTGCGTCTGCTGGACAGATGGCCTGCTAGACGGCACTTCCTCTGAGCCCCACCGAGCTGTCGCCGTCTCTCTCTCCCCTCGGCTCGATGTGAAGGGTTCGGGTTAAGAAGGAGCTAGAGAAATATAGCAGAGTGATCAGAAATCGATAGCTGCTGGCGTCCTCCGATACAAAGCCGTAAAACATCGTTCTGGGCCGTCAGCCAATCACAGACAGTCTTATAAAGGAAGCTGCCCTGATGAACGGTCTTGGCGCCAACTATGCAACCAGATGGTTGTCTTACTGAATTTTTGTTCGTCAGTGTCACAGATATATGTGTGTCTGCCCTGCCCGCTACCTTTGACTTGCTGGTCCACTCTGGCAAAATGGGCAGTGTGGAGGCTGCGGGCCATCGGGACCAGCTTAAACCCAAATGAAGGGCGTGAGTGCTGTTGGCGCCTTGCATTGCTGTTCCCTACCCCCTGCTGTGTAAATGTGGTTTGGCTCCGGGTGACTGAAAGCCTGGCTAATGCCGTCTGGCGAGGTCGTAGCTTTTGTGTTCAAACTGCTGATCCAGCATTTTAAAAAGCCAATGACTCCCATAGATTAGGGGTTCACTGCAAACCAGCAATCAAAAATGCAGAACATCGGGGATTGTTTGAAAAATAAAAAGGCATGGCTTAACAATATTTAGCTTATTTTTGGAAACCCGCCCCTCCTCCGGACCCCCAGTGTTCTGCAGCCTGGGGCTTGGGACCCCCTGCAGTAGATGGTATGAATATTGCTCCCTAGTGCGTTTAATCATGAAGTCCAGCCTTGTCAAGTTTGTGTCTCTGTATGACCTCTGACCCCTCTCTGCCCCCAAGGTGCGCGCCATGCGTCTCTCATTTGTCGGTGAGATGGGATGGGAGTTGCACATCCCCCGGGAGTCCTGTGTGCCCGTGTACCAGGCCGTCATGGCAGCTGGTGCCAAGTACGGTCTCTGTAATGCCGGCTACCGAGCCATCGACTCCCTGAGCATCGAAAAAGGTCAGCCAGAATCTAAACTGCAGGCCTCCTGAAGGAGGCCGTCATTTTGGGTCGCCTGCCACCTAGGTTACGGGCTTCAGTGAAGCGTTGCAGCTATGGTCAGGCTGAACTAAACCCAGGTCACATGACTCTTATTAGGCCAAATGACTCATTATTCCAATAAAAACAATTTGCTACCCTGACTGATAAAACAGAAGAGAGAGACAAGTCCTCAGACGAGACAGTATGATTTTAATTTCCAATAAAAGTATATTATCATGGTTTCTGTAGGTTTTTATATTCTGGTGGCTCCAATTAACAATCAATGTAATTTTGTTTAAATATATTATGAGGAAAGCAAATGTTGGAATGTATGAAAGTGATCAGGTGGACTTCCTCATGTAATGCAATTTTTTAACTGCTCTCTTTAGACATTTGGTTTAATTAAAGGGAAAAAAAACATTCAGGCATGCTGGCTGTGTTCAGTGTCTGGGAATAGCCGCTCTCTTGTCGTTCTCGCTGCTTGGCACTGCGCAGGGTACCGGCACTGGCATGCGGACCTGCGTCCCGACGACTCGCCGCTGGAAGCTGGCCTCGGCTTCACCTGCAAGCTCCGCGGCTCCATCCCCTTCCTGGGCCGCGAGGCGCTGGAAACCCGGCAGGCCCGCGGGCTGCGGCGCCGCATCCTCTGCTTCACCGTCAGCGAGTGAGTGTCCGCACCGACCCCCCCAGCTGTGGGCGAGTCATGTGACACGGGGTCTGTGTGGTGGCACTGAAACTGCGGCCCGTTGCAGGAAGGTGCCGATGTTTGGCCTGGAGGCTATCTTCAGGAACGGGACACCCGTAGGCCACCTGCGGCGGTCCGACTTCGGCTTTGCCCTCGATAAGACCATTGGCTACGGCTACATCCGCGACCCGGATGGGGGGGTGGTAAGTACAGCGTTTTGGCCACTGCATTTCATTGGGGGGGGGTCGGCTGCGTGTCAGGCCAACCTGCTGCCTTTGTTTCCCACTATCTTCATTACTCTCCCAGTTGTGGGAGGGCCTGGTTACTTGCTAACAGGACCATTAAAGGCAGATGGACAGTTCAGGTCCAGCTTCAGGTCCAACCAGTTGAGTATAAAGAGTCATAGTCTAGTTGACTCCCTAACTGGTTGGTTGAAACAAAATCTTGGTCTGGATTTGTACTTTGTGAACCTGAACTTTCTAGCTCTGATTAAAGGGATATTCTACCATTATATTCCAATCCCTTGGTCCATCACTGGTCAATTTCCAGGTAAAAAAGTGATCCCATATATGATGATGCTGTGGGACCAGCAGCAGCATGCAGTTTTAACTCACAGCCAGGAAAACCTCTAAACATGTTTATAGAATGTATTTCTTGTGTAAACGCCCTATCACAGCAGGGTTAAGGGCCGGTTGGCGGAGGTCATCAGAGTGCTCGCAATTTCTCATTTAACTGGGAAGAATCCAAGTCCTGCTCTACGTGTTTGTTGGTCAGTTATGTGCACTGGGATCTCCACCGCTCTTTAATGGAAATGTAAAGGGGTGGCTGTAATATTAATGTTAAATATGGGCCACAACCCAAATGTAGCACTGTGCCCGGACCTGACGACTAAGAAGCTGGACATAGCTGAGTGTTCTGTCCAATGTCTCTCTAATAATCTGTCTCCCTCCTTGGGGGAGAGAGATTGTATTTTCCTGTTGCTTTGTATCCATTTTAAACACATTTTATATCAGTTTGCATCAGTTTTTTTCCCAAACAGCATTGGTCCAGTTCAGTGGTCTGTTTCAGAACAAATACACTTTGCCCCCAAAAAACAGCTCCAAACCCGAGCCACCAAACTGGGAGTGAGACCAGGCGGCATGTCGGGTTCGAGATGTGAGGTCAGGGCGCTGAGTGTTTAGGGCTGATGGCCATACAGGCAGCCTGTCTCTCCTCCGAAACTGTGAGGAGATCAATGGAGAGACGGGACTGTTTGGAGAAACTGGCTGAAAGGTGCAAGAGAGCCAAGACTCAAGCCTGAGGCCATTGGTCTACCTGTGCTTTTTATTCTAGTCGTATCTCTGAAGCTTCACCCCGGTGTGGTACAGAAGCACCTGCCACGCAGGCTTCCTGAACCTCTCACGACTGCTGCTGGTCGGGGGTATCTGGGATACTCTCATTCCATCTGTATGACCCTGAGACTATGGTGAACTGGTTCCAGTGGTCAATGACTATGGAAGCACACCCCCTCCCCTTCTATCAGTCCTGTGTTAGTAATTAAAAAGGGAAATTAAAACAACATAAAGATATTATGGTGGGAGAGAAAAAATCTAAAGGGCAGATACACTAAATGGATGAAAGTATTGGGACAGCTGGCCGTTACACCCATAGGAACTTTTCTGGCATCCATTATAAATCCATAGGCATCAATATGGAGTTGGTACCCGCTTTGCAGCTGGAACAGCTGCCACTCTTCTGGAAGGCTTCCCACAAGATTTTGGAGTGTGTCTGGGAATTTTTGCCTATTCATCCAGAAGGTCATTTCAATCTCCGTCTAGTTCATCCCAAAGATGTTCAATGGGGTTGAGGTCAGGGCTCTGTGTGGGCCAGTCAAGTTCTCACCCAACCACGTCTTTATGGACCTTGCATGCTGGAACAGAAAAGGGCCTTCCCCAAACTGTTCCCATACAGTTGCAAGTACAGAATTGTCCAAAATGTATGCAGACCAAGACATTTTGGACAATTCTGTGCCTCTAACTTCTATGCTTCCAACACACTAACCTGTAGGTGTAATGGCCAGGTGTCTCAATACCTTATAGAGTGTATGTTCCTTTATAGGTGTTGCATTTACATTTACGTATTCTGCTGTTTAAAGAGCACACATTTGAAATATTTGCTGCGTTTTGAAAAGAAGTGGAAATATAGTTCAGATGGTACCACTGTAAAATATTTTTTGTTTTTTTCCCATTTTGCAGGTAAGTGCTGATTTTGTTAAAAGTGGGAAGTTCACCATAGAAAGGATGGGTGTTGTCTACAAAGCCGCAGCCCATCTGAAGTCGCCCTTTGACCCGGAAAACAAGCGTGTGAAGGGGATCTATTGATTACCTGACAGGTTGAGGTACTGCCGCTACAGCCAGTATTATCTTGTTAGGAGCGCCTGGAGGTGCCTTGATCACATGGTCCGTTGTGACAGCGCACACTTTGCAGTGTAGCTAGTTTGCTCTGATTGTTGAATGGATTCAACTCAATACTATCCTCCTCAAACCTAATGTGATCATCCACTGTATTTCACAATTCATTAGCCTCAAAAAAGAAAACGAACATGGTAATCTCAAATGGTGCTTAAAATTTTCCATGTTGTAGCCATGTGAGGATAACCAAACGATGTTCACTGTGAAGGTCTTAGATTTTCCTACAACTAAATTCTGTTCTTGTAATAATAATCTGATAATGAGTTACTAAGCAGCTCTTCCTGTTTACTGCGTGAGATGACATATAAATATTTTAATATTGTCTTAATTGTAAAGGTGAGCATCCTGGAACCTGTTTAAGGTGGTATGGAATCTCATCTTAACTTGACTATTTGTTTACATGGGTGAACTAATACTAGGCATAATTAAATGTTAAAATGTTTATTTTATAGTATTAATTGCATTTCTGAAGTCATTTCTATTCCAGAAACCTGTCATCCAAAACCATACCGAGCATTTATATCACGAAAGGTATCATTACTGAGGCGATATTTTTGTTTCTGTTTTTGAATGTTCTAGATAATTGTTAATTATGGAGGTTATTTGTTGTCTAAATAAACCATTTCTCAGCACTAGCTGGTTTACAAAACAAAATGATTTCGTGTTTATCATCTTCAGAAGAACGGATTGTGAACTTCTGGAGCCAATTCCATGAATTCTGTATCCTCTTCCACTGTTGAGTGTCCTCAAGAAAATGTCTAAGGACAGCTTTGTCACTTTTTGTTGATCTCACTGAAGTCACTGTACTTTACTGTCACACAGTAGAATTCTATTTCCGTGTGTTGTAGACCCATTTGTGCCAGTCACAGCAGTCTGAAAAATCTAAGAAGACTTTGTGTGACCCTAACATGAATTATTTTCAGTACACTTCATTGAAACTTGCTTTTCCCATTGCCTGTGTGGGTCATTGTAAGTGTGGTAACAATAGTAATCAGTGCTCTCTGGAACCAGGAAATTCTTGGTACTGCTAATAATATCAATGATCTCGCTCTGAATCCTGCATTTTCATGTCCTGTAGATGTCACAGCAGTACATGTCATATTCAGAGGTTTATTGTATAAACAGATACATGTATTTGGACATATGTTAAGAACCTGTAATTTTGTAATGGCGTCACGATGAAGTTGAATAATATCACAGTGTAACAACAGGTTGTAGGTGACTGCTAAAATAAAGCAAACCCTTGAGTAAATGAAATATACGAATCGTAGCGTAGGTTCTTCCAAATTATGTATTTTTCATCCCATGATGCTTTGGGTCATTTATGAAAATGGGTTGACCCAGTTTCCCATTATATTGGCTAAATAGCTAGAAGAAAAGATTTCTTTGATGTTGAGGGGAGGGTAGGTACCTGGGGGCACCTTTGGGGGGTGCTATTCAGTTTACATCATGGAGGGTTCCATCTTATTTGATGCAGGGAGTAATTTCATAATTTCATGCAAATAACCAGGTCCACTCAACCCCTTTTATACAGCAAAAAAACAAAAGAAAATGCCAATGGATACAAAGCAATCACGTTCATTCTACAGTGAAGCATTTCAACAATGTAAATACTGGCTCTTCCATCGACCTTATTAAACTGTTGCAGAAAGTCGGTGGATGGTGCCTGAAACATGCTAATCTATGGGATTTCTCATAGAATATTGCTGCAGTGTTTTAATAGAATTCCATACATTTGCAGAATCTATCCAAGGGCAACTTTTTTTTTTGCGCAACTTGAGGAAGTCAAAAAAACTGTGTTGATGTTTCTTTAATTTTCGGAAAGGTCCAAGTAGTTCTGAAATCAGGACAAACTCAGGTTTGATTAAATGATTAAAACTGCTGTGAATTTAATAGCAATTGTTTAGAGGAGAGAATGGACAATAAAGGGAGTGTGAACGATGACCTGTCCTATGATTCTCTTAAGTGGAGGTGGATCTGCATTATCAGAGGCTTTGTAGGGAAGTCATCTCACCTCTACCTAGGAGGAGCCACCATCCTACCCATCCTCAGGCTCCATGGGGCCGGACAACAGTGGGAGATTCTGATTGGCCCGAAGCACGTCTACAGCTTTCACAAGGATACTTGGTCTTTGGGAGGATGCCGGTGACATGAGGCAGTTCTTGTTTCTCCCAGTCTCCCTGTCGGGGAAGGATAGACTTAGTTGAGGAAGGTAGACTTGGCCAGAGCCTGTTTTGCATGTTTCCATGCCTCCAGGGGTGGCCATCTCCTTCAGCAGGGTTGTGAAACCGCTAACTTCCCACGGTTCGCTTGTCTCGGTAATTAGACATGCGAAGGACAGTAGATGCAGGCGGCCATCATAGAGCCACATCAGATAGACTTCACTTGTTCCTTTGTATTGATTCCAAACACGTTCGTGTTCCTCCCCACAAGCCAAAGATGGATCACTGCGAGAGTCGTCATCTAAAGCTCTCAACTGCAACACATTGTTTGCTTAAAGCGAGAGCAGCCAAGTGAAATCATTATGCATTCTGGGACACAATGGCAGTATGAGCCTTCCAATTCTATCTGTATAGACAGGTTGTTTTTGTCCACTTTGTCAAGCCCATCAACAGCAATGTTGCTGTCAAATCCTTGAGGAAACAGACTTCTCTGTTCTGTTGCTTATGCATGGATTTGAAATTGTGTTGTCTGTATTTATTAATTGAAGCACTCGTACTTATGAGTCCTTTGGAAACTAGAGGCATGCAGGCCTTTACAGAAGATTTGCAGATGGAAAGGGGGCACTTGGTGCTCCTACTCACGGGGAAGAGCTCTGCTGTGGACTGGTTGCAGTGCATGGTGATGGGCGCCGTGTTGTAGAGGGAGCTGAGAACCTGGCTGCTGAAATTGTCCCAGGCCAGGGAGGTGAACTGCTCTGTCACATCAGCCTGCCCACAGCTACAGGTCTCCCTCCCCTGAAACCTAGTGTGATACAGTGTCACTTATTGGACGACATTATTTTGTTTTTAAGAAAGTGACTTTCTGATTGGCCCTATATTCCACTACTGGATTATAGGGTGGAAGTTGATTGGATGGAACTGAATGGACACCCTTTTGGGGGAAGGTATAGAACATGCTGGTTAAAACTTCAAAGTTATATGTAAGTAAGAGGTAGAGAGAACCAAGTGTAGCATTACCTGTTAATGAAGGAGAAGTACTTTTGCAGGTACTCTGGGTCCACGTGGCTCTTGCACAGCTCCAGTTGAGTGCGCGGATAATAGTGAACATAATTCACACACATCTCCTCCATAATTCCAAATCCCCCCTGTTAAGGACAGGAATGGGCCTTGATAAAGCTGCTCTGGTGTAAACAAGACTACCTGCATAGTGCCCAGATCTACCTCTCTACACACAATACACTTTAATGTAATTCGGTTTAGCAGAACCTACCATTTGCATCACACTATATGTACCTTAGGAGCAGACTGTAATAGCAAAGGAGAAAATTAAATCTGTTAAGCTGTCATTCACAGAAACAGGGCAATGCCTGTCAGTCGCGAAGAGCTTTTGGCTTAAGTTTGGGAACCAACCAATCAAATTTTGTCATAATAGTCACAAGGATCCAAGCCAATGATGATCTATTTTACTAATATGTAGAGAATACAGAAAATGATTATTCAACAAGTAAATGAAGGGCAGATTTGTGTGATTTTAGAATTATGGGTAGAATTCTTTTTTTGTGGTATATGTCTGATTTTAGTGAATTTGGCATATTAGCAAGGCCAGTCAGCTTGTCCTGTGAAGGTTATACTCATTTGTATTGTATCCTGTCAACTTCACACATTCCATCTCATTTCCTCTGTATTGCATCCCTGAATCCCATTTCCACTGTGCTGGGGGGTATTTTGTGAGCTTCCTGAGTACTGGCTCTATGTTTTCAATTTCAGTTTGATTTTTACTTTGACTTGTCTTACTCCGAACATTCATATCCCCCCTGCATCAATGTAGAGAGCTCAGACATGGCTGTGAGAATTGCCCCTTCCCATTTTCAGCTCAGAAGGTGACAGTGACCTTGTTTTGGGATGACTATGAGGTCAGTTCTGTGTCTGTGCAGTAAGGATGTGATATCAACCCAATGTGTACTCTCCCAATCCAGGGGGCGCTGTTGTAAATGGGCTTCAGTCTGGGATTCTGAAAGAATGGAAATGTCAGCCTGCTTTTCCTCCCCGCCAGAGTACAAATCGGCCCCTTTCAGACTACTGGGAGACATGGTCCATTGTGGCATCCATAATGCTCTGAGCAGGAGCACTGTGTGTGTGTGTGTGTGTGTGTGTGTGAGGGATTCTGTGCTTGAGAGCATGAAGTACTCACCACTGTAGCACGTTTTCTCTCTTCAGTGTTATACATACATTGAGTGAGAAGGACGTCACCCTTTGTACGACAGACAACAGAGATACCAAGGATCAGTCTTCTGGGCATTGTGTATTTCCTGCAGTTTTTGTTTTACTATCCCCAAGATGATTGACAGGTAACCCAAGATGATTGACAGGTAATATTCTGACACACTACACTGTAACAGAAGACATGATATCTATAACCTCTTCTTCTGTCTTAGTAAAGAACAAATACTTACTGGTAACACATTTACTATCTTCTTTAATGTCCTGATAATCTGGGGGATGAGAGTAGATGCATTTGTAAATATTATTGTGCTCAACTGAAAACTGCATTGGATGGGAAATTGATTTGGATGGGGTTCATTTTATTTTTAATGAAAATTAAATTCTTAGATACATTAGAACAGTGTTTCCCTATCTGGTCCTCGGTGAACCTGACAGTCCATGTTTTTGCTCCCGGGTCCCAGTAGTTTGGAGCAAAAATGTGGACTGTCTGGCAGGGAGCTTGGAGGGAGCAAAAATACGCACCGTCTGTGGGTCCTTGAGGACTGGATTGGGAAACAGTGTATTAAAATGTGGGCCAGTTTGTGCATGATCAGAATTTTCTTTTGCCTGTTTAGTTGCTATTTCAGTTCTGGAAAAACAGAAATGAAGTAAGACTTTTATAGCTGGTGCTTAGGATCCCATTAAGTTGTGGGATGTATAGCATTTACCTGGTAATGTGTGCTGAAATGTCTGTATAGTATTGTGTAGTATAGTGAATGTATAGTATTTACCTGGTAATGGGTGCTGAAGTGTTTGTATAGTATTGTGTAGTAAAGTGAATGTATAGTATTTACCTGGTAATGGGTGCTGAAGTGTTTGTCCTCTTGCACCATCTCCACCTCCTGGCCCCCCCTCACCAGCACAGTCCTCACACTATACCCTGCCAGGTGCGTGTGCAGCTGTGAGGCGAAGATATTTATCCCTCTGGGCGGCAGAGCCTGGGGGTGGGACATGGGCCGATTGTCAGCCTCGGAGGCTGGGGGGGTGGGGGGGGGCATGCTGTGGCCTGTAGGCTGGAGTGGGAATTATCTGACTTCCTGCTCTTTTTCTGCTCATTTGGACCTTGGAGGGTTATGCCAGTTCTATGGCCATGGAAGTGTTCTGTCAATGGCCTCACCGTCTGTGTGCACTTGGCAGTGCAGTATCCTGTCAGCTGGAAGTCTCTCATGCCAGGGGGAATGGCCATCAGTGGTGTGTAGACCAGGCCCAGCTCCATGATGCCAGCATCATACTTCCTCAGGGTTGGGGTGTAGTACAGGCGGATCCCAGACCAGTCCTGACGACCTGCAGCATAGCAGCATGGGTAATGAGGAGAGGACATCAGAAGAGAAGGGGTCAAGGGGCGGAGGAAGGTGGACCTTCCATACCTGTGATAAGCAGGGGATTGTGATAGTGCACCTCCAGACGCAGGAATCTGGAGGATCCTGGTCCCCCGAGAGAGAGGCCGGCATCTGAAGGGTAGTAGAATGCCTGAACATGGAGGTTTTCGTAAACAAACAAAAAAAATGTCATTCTCAGCATGAGTGAATCATCCACTGTAATTTAGAACAGTGTCAACAAATGCTGTGGAAAGCCAAACAGGATCAGCAACCTAGAGCAAGGCTCCAGTCATGCATGTAGCTGTGTTTTATGTAATCATAGCCAGAGGTCTATATAGCATTGCTCATATTTTGTTTGGTTTATATGAGTTTTGGCATGCAGACTATCTAGGATGATCTGTTATAGAGCAGATGATGCCATCTTTTAATGTTTTTATTCATTTTTATCCTCTCTCAGTTGGAGCTTAGATATCCTCAAGACATTCCCTTAATTTCTATTGTTGGTCTTCTTATTAATCCTGGTCGTGTAGTTTACACCTCTCCTAAAACTCCAAGTTGTCAGGACTGACATTTTTATAAATTAAATAGCACTAAATCAGTTATTTCTTAGGAATGGCAGGTACGTTTATCATACATGTAATGTAAGTAGATGTTTCAGTTCACATCCAAATAGTCTAGCTGTCACCCTAGAACATACTAACTAGTGTAAAGCAGTAGATCTATTCTGACAATACTCAGTAATGGCTATTACTGCAGATTCAGTCCAGACCTTGAATCTGGAGCTCTTAGTTGATAGGGAGGGTTTATGTAACTGTTCCACTTCCACCTCCATACTGTCCATAGTTTTATAATGCCCACATTTCTTGACAAATATAAACACAAGAAGTCCTGAAAAAAGGCTTCCCTGTTTTCCGCCTAATCTCTTCTCCCCAGCTCTGTTTCCCACCCAGCAAACACGATTTGCATTTATTTAGCTCTTTTTAATCCAATCGGAGTACTCTTGTTCGCTAGCAGTTCTTGGCCGCGGTCCTCGTCCATCGAGCCGCCTCTGTGTGGTATAGGCTGGCATCAGCCTTGTTAAAAATAGGCCCCACTCGAACATGAGAGTGCTCCACACGGGCTCCACCGTCGTGTCTTCAGACGCTCTGTGTGTTTTATGCGGCTTGTTGTCTTATCCTCCCAGGGTTGTGTGTTTTGGTCCCGTATATCGGTGACTGACTTGTGGAAAGGGGAGGCTTCCTTAGCTAAGTGACCGTGTTCACCAAAGATCATCTCCTCTGACAGCCCTCCCCAGCATCAGATGTGATTTATTTTCGCACTCAGGCCAGCCTCCTGCCAGCTGGATTTTATCTAACTCCCGTAAATTTTTCATGAAGCAATTTAAGGTACATTTCTAGAACGGCCTCTCTTCCCACATGAGAGAATAAGAATTAAAGGTACAAAACCTTCTGAATTAAATTTTATTATGATAGTTGTAAACTAATGAGGGAACTCATCTCGTGCTTTTGCCATAACCCAGGGCCTGATTAAGGCCCCCATGAATATTTATGTTGCATTGTGTTCATGCTTCACGAAGCCTATTATTGATCCTAGCGGAACGTCGGACTGATGCGGAAAGTTCAAGAGGCTGGGCTGAGCAGGAAGCTGTGTCGTCCTCATTCTGCGTTCATACAGCCGCTTTGCAGCATTTGTTTGAAAAGTCACTCACGTTCTTGCAGTTTTATACTTTCATGCACTTATTTTTAACGGGGATAGAAGGTTCAGGTTCAGAAAGTACAAATCCAGACCAAGATTTTGTTTCAACCAGCCAGTTGAGTACTCTATGACTGTGACTCTTTATACTCAACTGGCTGGTTGAAACAAAATCTTGGTCTGGATTTGTACTTTCTGAACCTGGACATTCAACCTCTTATTTTTACCAATCCCATGTTGCCATTCTGACTGAGTGGGTATGGCGCTGGCCCCTTCGTCCAGAGGTTCAGGGTTTGAATTCTCTCTGATGGCCTCCTTACTTTCAGGGTGCCCTTTTGGCCATAATTAGAAGGTGGCCGGTCCAAATCTCAGGCCCGGCAGAGCAATGCTGCCATTGGCCCCAGAGCAAGGCCCTTAACCCCCATTTCTCTAGGGGTGCTGGAGGCCGGCCAGCCCCCAGACCCCCTCTCACCTCTGTATGTGTCTGTCTTCTTCATTGTTTTACTTCTTCTTATTCTTACTGTCTTATGGTGTATTCCATTATTTTATTATAATTTTTATTAGTGTATCTCATTGCCATGTTTTCTCCTTTTGAGTCCCCAGCCTTCTTATTTGCTCTTACTATTGTAAAGCACTTTGTGACCAGTGCCTGTGAAAAGTGCTATATAAATAAACTTAACTTAGCTAGTTACTTCCTTATGGGCAAAAAAGACAGTTTCCCCACAGGACTGATTAAAGCATCGCTATCCGCTAAGGTAGCGGGCTGACATTTACAGCTGCCCCGGTCACGGATTCGCCTTGCCCATTACACTGATTAGCTTATGTGTGAGCTGGTTATTCTGGTGGTTACCTCAGCCCCCATGGCCCAAGCCGCCAGCACGTGTCGGCAGTAGTTGAGTTTCCTTGGTTTCATCTTGGAGTCACAGGAGCCGCTGTACTCGGGTACGTTCTCCAGCTGGGGAGCACACTCAAAGACCTCCATGTGGTGGACGATGGCCTCGTTACCGCGGGTTACCACCGACTCGTACTGAGAAGACAGAACTTGCTTGTTACTCTTACTCGCTTTAGAAAGTCCTTCCAGATGCTACAGTTGTTTACAGAACGAGTGTCTGATGTTGCCATTGTGGAGAAGAATGTGGTACAGAGTGTCGTGTCTGAAACTTTAGAGGCTAAGATGGGCAGAGTAGGGAACATGCAAAGTCATGCTTGGAATGTAAGAATGTAGAAGGTTACCATGACGATGTGGTTCTTTGGCATATCGGCGGGGAGCTGGTAGATATGGCACCAGTATGTGGTCTCCTGCTCTGGAATGGTGATGCCGGGAGCCAGGATCTCCAGGGTACGGACGTCTGGGGGCAGCGGGGGGGAGGGGCTGTCTGGGCGGAGCAGCAGAACGCGCTGCACCCCCGGGTGGATGAGGGATAGGTTGAGCTTCCGCAGGGCGGGGAGCGGCTCCTCCAGCAGGCCGTAAATGAGATGCACAGTGCCCTCCTGCACACATATTGCATCACACATTGCATCACACATTGCATCACACATTACATCACACATTTCATCACACATGATGGGTAGTGTCTGGATAGAATAAAATAATACATGGATCATACATTGGTTTAATAGTTTTAAAATGGATAAAATGTCAAACTAATAAGGTGTGATAGGTTTCAATACAGCCATCTGTTAAGCAGTGGAATTAGGAAAATAATCTGTGATGAAAAAGATGATACTGATGGATCTGGTGGTCAGTTCGTAGCCTGTTTGCTGCTCTCACCTCTATGACGTAATCCCTGGGGTCACATGTACTGAAGGGCCTCCTGAACAGCAGGTAAAATCCATCCTGTGTGTCCTGCACCTCTAACAGCTGGTAGTCCTGCTGGCTGTCCAGGGTCACATGACCACTGCCGTCACTCCAGGCATCCTTGGAAGGGACATATACATCTGGGGTCATGTGGAACTCAAAGCACACTTACTATGACAGTCTCACCTGGCTGACGTTAGGAGAACGTGGTGCTAATTCTACAGCGGTTGAATTAATGGCCAGTAGAAGGTTTGGCCTCTCCTCCGTTGTCATCTGGCTTTCTTTATTTAATTTCTTTCCTTCCTTGTTCCCCATTCAGTATTACTCTCTCTAATGATGTTTAATGTATCACAACACATCCATGCAAAGCACCTTGGGACGACTCTGTTGTGAAAGGCGCTATATAAAAATTTTATTGAATTGAATTTGTGGACAGTACACACTGTCAGAAAAAAGAGTACCGATTTGTACCTTTGAAGGTACTATTACTTGTCACTGGGGCTGTACCCTCAGGAGTCTGCCTGTTGTAACTGTAGCTAATTGTACCTTCTAGGCACAGAATTGGAGTCTGAGGAGTTTTTTGTACCTTGGGGAACAAAACCAGGGCTGTCCCCAGTGTTTAGGCTTCCTGCTTAGTTTTAATTTGTAGTTCACTGGAAATTGAACAATATGTGCAAGAAGCTAACAGTGCGGATGGCCCAGAGGGTAATCTCAGGAGTCACTGCAACAGCTGGTCCTGTCGCATCTAATCACCAGACACAAGATTATACATGTAATTACACACACTTTCCTAGTTTTTTCTACTAATAGTTCAGGTCAACATATTAAGACTGTAAAGCCTCCCTGACACAGACTCGTTAGCCAAGGAGACCGTTTGTCGGGATGAATTAGCTTTGGTCTCATAATCCACGTTTGAGTTGAATGTTTATTTCCTCTCGTTAGACGGAGGGTAACGATTGGGCCCATTTTTGATTAATTTCAAGGAAAGTGATCTCAGGGGTAGAGACCTGTTATGCATAGATAAAGTTGGAAATGGAAACTTAGTTTGGCTCTCGACTTTGACGCTTTTCTCACGGAGCTGGCATGGATGTGGAGCAGCGAAAACTTCAACCCAAAGTGTGGGTGAGGTGGGCTGTTCTTGACAGCACAATCACCACAGGGTTCATCTGCTTTGTTCTCTGAAATAGAATCCATGCAGAGAGTGTCTGTGTGCCGACTGGTATAAATATAGCCCCGTGGTGTCAATCTGGGCAGGAAAATAAGGTATCCATTTAAAGAAACGCCTCAGTCACGATGCAAGTCGAGCGAACGGCACCATTTTTGAATAATGGCAACTAACGCTGTACCTCTGCCCATGTAGTTTGTCACAGGTAAAGCCTCTATATCATATATATAGTTCCAATGTATGTAAACATTATAGAATATCTACAACATACCAACGAAAACAAACATTTTAAAAATAATGGTCTTGCTTTCCCCCTTTTGAAATTATTTTTGGCATTAGATAAATGCTGCCAGACATTTGGAAATTCTGGAGTAAGCAGAGCCTAAGGAGAATCGAATCACCGTCTAAAATTCAGTGGTTTCGGTTACATTTGGCTTCCAATATTGAAACATATTAACGTATTTAATATTCCATGTTGACATATTTTGGATTGGTTTCGCTTTTAAAGATGGTAACTAAACATCATTTATATGAAAGCCAATCGCTACACAGTCTGAGCAACGGTGGATTGGCAGAAGAATGAGAATCTCCTGGAGATGCAGGATTGGCTGTGAAGGGAAGGAGAATCTCCTGGAGATGCAGGATTGGCTGTGAAGGGAAGGAGAATCTCCTGGAGATGCAGGATTGACTGTGAAGGGAAGGAGAATCTCCTGGAGATGCAGGATTGGCCGTGAAGGGAAGCCGGCGGGACGACTGTGAGAGAGCAGCCTACTGAGGATCCACCCAAAGTGTCCCGGAGATGAGCTCTACAGGCAAGGAGCGGCACATGTCTCCTAATCTAGGCGTGTTACACCGGTGGACCCCAACTGAAAATACTAGGCAGTATTTCAATAAAAAAGAATGCTTATCAAACTGTATTTTTAGTTTTTTTTTGCTTTCCATTCAATATTTATAAAATCAGAACATTTTAAATATAGATCTTTGTTGCAATATGTAAATAAAAGGATAAGATGTGTAATTTGTTTTGGTTTAAGATCGTTGGCCCAAGACATTTCTCAATTAAACAATAAACAGTTTGTGTGTGTGTGTTTGTGTGTGTATGTGTGAGCAGGTTTGCCTATCCTTATGGGCACATAATGTCCCCATACGTGATAAATATCAGTTTTTTTCCCTTATGGGGACCGGTTTCCTGGTCCCCATAAGGGAAAACTCTATTTTATAAACATCGGTGACTGCTATGAAACAACTAAAAATGCAAAAACTGTTGTATTTTGTTAGGTTACTTATGGTTAGGGCAGGGTAGGGGTTAAGGTTGTCATAGTTAGCGTTAGCATTTTTCCCATTGAAATGAATGAGCGGTCCCCATAAGGATATGTTTACCCTACGTGTGTGTGTGCATGTGTGTGTGTGTGTGTGTGTGTATTTCTGAATTCAGCTCAGATTCCATGTGAACTGAGCCTTAGATGGTGACTCAATCAAAATGCAAATGAGAAATCCCTGTTAATCTAAATTCAGGGCAGCATTAATGTTATTTGTTGATTTGTATGGGATTCATTCCTTTTAGCAATAGACCCTCTCACAAGCCCTTTTCCTTACAGTACTTACAGTTTGCTTCTGCCGATGTCACCCTCTACTCCTCTATAAGAGTGACACATTATCAGCATCATTCATTTAAAATTTTAGGCTTTTTGGAATAATCCATAAATATATTTCAGAAATCAACTAATCAATTTATAGAAAAATGCATTTAATAGCATAATATGCTGCTGGTAAAATGAATATTTAAATACAATAATTGCCTCCCCAGATCAGCAACTGTCAACTAATGCTAATTTCACTGAGGCTTTGTCAAAACAATCAGCAAGTCAAGTCATTGATACCTTTCATGTAACGTAAACATAGCTCTTCATTTAACTTCTCGTCACACCAAAGAATTAGCTAATCAATTTAACTATCAGTATAGTATAGAGAGTGATGTTTCATTTAGAGAAATCTATGTCAGTCTAATTATTGGTTTTGTCTGTAGACTGTCAAAATTTTAGTCTGCTTGAAGTTGAATTGAAGATCATGTGTTGTGTAATTTGTTCAGTGTTTAGTTGTTCTGTAATTTGGACATAAACTGGTTTAAGTGTTTTCTGCATGATTTAAGCTGGCAGCCATTTGATATTCTTGTGGGAAATGTGACTAAAGCTCTATATAAATTCCTGCTTTCAGATACTCCAAGACTGAAGTCAAAATTAGCAAGGGGGGAGTGTAATGTGTAGAAAAAAATATTTGTAACCTTTGGAGGGGATATAGCTCACAGAGCTGGTTAGGAATGCATGTGTCCAGGGGGTGCAGGTTTAAGTCTCAGCTCCTAAGAATACTTCTAAATTGCTCTAGTAAAAATTTCAAGCTGCACAGAATTAAGTTTTTAAAAAATCTTTGCATAAGAGCAGTGACTAACCTACTAAATATCATTGGAGAGGGATGATAACTTGTTTAAAGTTTAGAACATTTACTGGTTTCTTACATCTATTTTCATGCCAAGGGATGAATTATCATTGCATTGAACGATTCTGAGGAATTCGCAGCTATTTCTGGTGACTGGCATGAACAAGTGGGCACCTTGGCATGGGCTCTGCAAAAAGATGAGCATCAGTACAGCCTAATTTCCATGAATTTATGAGTCAGACAGGAATTCTGAAATCAAACGAGAGATGCAGAGTGCAAGTCCCTTTCACTGACAATCATCACAAAAATATTTTTCAATTACTAGAATATCTGGTGCCAACACATCCCAGTTTTATTTGGATGCCAAACATGAAAGGTTATGAAAGGATTCTAAAGTATTTTTTAAAAGCGACATGTTCCCCGTTTCCAATTATTTTGTTTTAGGTTTGACTGAATGCTTATTTAAACCTCATAAATTGAGCTTAACAGTATAAAACAGCTCTATTTGTAATGTATGACTTTCACTGTGGGTTTTAAATGCTGGTAAAGCAGGCGTTTTAATTTGCCACTTAAATTTCTCTTAGAGGAACCTCAGCTATTAAAAATGCGATAACAATGAAAATCTGGGGAAACGCCCCACATCTGCAGACTCTACGTTAGCTTTTAATAGACTGTCGCTAACAATTACAAGTATGTATTTCCACTAGTTAAATAAATTCATGTAAAACCACATCCTGTTTAGTACTAAGACGAACTTTGGCAGGCTTCGGGAAGACTCATTGCATATTTCACAGCTCGTTCTCGCACTACTATGAACTTTACTGGGTTTGTCTTGAATTTTTTTCAAAATAAGTATTAGAGACTTGGAGATTAGATGAATATGTCTTGGTTATTTAAGGGGCACCGAGGTCTTCGATGTGGCCATTTGTAGCGTTTTGAGTGAGACAACGAGAAGTGGTTTCAGCTCTTACCCCAAAGTAGGACCTCTTCCCGTCGCTCCAGAGCACGACCAGATCCGCATTGAAGATCTCCCCCCTGTCGGACATCCCGAGCACCACGCCGTACTGCAGGTGGCTCACTCTCAACTTCAGGTAGAGCTCCTGCTGTGTGTAGCTTATGTTCCAGGACAGCTGCAGGTTTCCGTTGGGGTCCAGAGGGATATGGTAGGGCAGGGTTGCACCTGGAGCACTGCCCGCCTGGAAGGATGCCACCAGGATCACCACCAGAGTGGCCAGCGTGGTCAGATACATCACCGTCACATCCTGGAGATTAAGGTCTCTGTTTAGCAATCTCATCTTCTGGTTGGCCTGCGGCCCTGAACTGGATGCGCAGGTGGACGATGGGAGAATGGATGTATCTCTTTGTCGTGGCGTCTCTCTCCGGCTCGGTCCAGACCTCGGTCTTCAGCTTCTCGACGTTCTTATCCACGCTCTCTTTTCTGGTTCTTTCCTTTTTGGTTCTGTTTCACTGACACTGGCGATCTCCTTACCCCCAGACTTTAAGAGCTTTAGCTCATGGCACCAAGTTATCTGACCAGCCTAATTGCATTATTTTGGTTGACGAAATTTGATTGTTCCTTTAGCCCTCTGGTCAGGCACTTTTTCGACATCTGCCAGTCTCTAATTGATCCTAATTGACCATGGACATTATCAACGGCAATTCAGCCAGGCTAAGTGAGGGTTATTGCCTATTTAATCTTTGGTAGGTTTGGGCTGGCTGGATCTGTAGGATTCATTGACTAAATTAGAGAAGGTGTGTGCTACAAATATTCGTTTAAAGTGTCTGTTTTCATATCAAGTGGCAGAATCACCAGTGATCCTTGTGACCGGCTCTTCAGGTAGTGAAAGTACAGAATTTGATCAGCTTGCTATGAACCAGAACCGTAAAAACAATCAAAATAAGTATAAATGTCAATGTCAGCCAGTGAGGTCAATTCTTAAAATTCATTAAAATACACAGCTACCACAACAAAACAAGATAAAAAATGGTTTACAGTAGGACCATCCACACTTTCATTCTGAAAATATTACTGTCTTTGCATATGGATATCGATTTATACTGAGTGTTAAAATTTAACGGACCCCACATTCTAACTCTCCTGTCATATTCTATCTGTACTCAATGGGCAATGTAGAGTGAGCACTCTGCCTAACTGCCTTTGGATTATGGTGTGGGCTCAGAGTACACAGAGTAAGCGCGCACACACACACACACACACACACACACACAGAAATATAACCCACAACTAGGAACCTGCAAGGCTGAGCCACTAGCCAATGGGCTACCAGACCATCCCTTTCACCGTTTCACTTTATTAACACAATTTTTTAAGTTTAACTTGTTTCAGTTTGTTTTCAAATGATAGAAGAAACACTACAGATGTAAGAAAACAAATAGTCACTTAAGGTGGAAACCTGAAACTTGATTATATAAAAACTGAAGCTCAGCTGGTGCATATAATGCATACTGCCATTGATATCAAGTTTACGGTTATTGTTCATGGATTTTCTTATATATAAACTATCACTGGCGAAAATAAATGTGAAAAATATGCCTTCAGGTGTGTTTGAAGGTGATGAATTCAAAGCAATATCCTTAGACAGAAACGCCCTTCATCAGCGAGGAAGACAAATGGTGGATAAGAGTCCTGTGCTGTGGCAGCAGTTAAAGAGGCCTGACAGTGTCCTGTTTGTCAGAAAGGTGAGCCTGGACCTCATACTTCAGGCTAAGATTTTTAGGGAGGGGGGGCGGAAAGGCAGGAGTGGGGGGGCAGAGGAGATAAGGATGAGGTTAAGAAGGGACCAGCTGCCGGTTTGGACAGGGAGGCAGGACGGCTAATGAAATGATGGAGGTCCCCCGAGGCGGCTGACGGGATTTATGTCACGTCTAATGTGACAATACACCGGGTTTTACTGCGAATCCGGCGGGCTTTTATATGTTGCACTCCAAGCAGCACCGCATTAATGCATCGGACGCATAAAGGAGGCCGAATAAAAGGTGCGATGGCGGAGAACAGGGTCGTGACGGCAGGGCGGAGGACGGGAAGGAGGGACCTTTCAGGGCTAAGGCGCGTGTTTTGGGGAGTGGGGCCATGCTGGGATGCACGCTCTCTCTATGAGGGGGGACGTGCAAAGAGATTTATAGAAAGCCGTAGAGCAGACGAATAGCAGAGACGCGCAGAGCATACTGCCCTGGGCCTACACTGACATTCTCCAGCCCAGAACATTCAGTCATGCTTAATGGTTTCCCATCATGCTCAGCTACACCAGTACCAGGATATAAATGAGAGTCCAAGAGAAAGTGATAGTCCGTTTGCTGATTCCTCTTTAAACTTTTGAACAAAGAAAGCTGTTCCGTGAAAAGGCAAACTCTTGCATATTACATTATTATTATCATCATTATTATTACTATTATTGCCGTAATTTGTCTCAAAAGCCTCTTTCAATATGCTTACAATGTAACTTCTCTTTTCCTAAACAGACAGCGTCTTTGGCTGTGATTCACTTTTTCTTACCTTCCTGTAGTTGTTTTATCCGCTGTGTAACTCATCACTGTGCCTGAGATACTTCTGTTACTTTGAGAAGGTTTGGCAGTTCTTTGAATTGTGCTTTTGTTTTGTGTCGCTGGCGTGTTGTGGGTGTCGCTGCCTTGGGTGCCCTTCGAAGTAGATTGATTGGTCTGTATTTTACTCTCTGCTGTTTTACTGCCCCGAAGAGAATAGCCTGCTGACTTTCCGCTTAACGCCGTCTGCGTTTCTTTTGCGAAGTTGGACGTCTTGAGAATCTCGGAGAGACACATAACTGCTCATCTAGCCGGCAGCGAAAGGACTCAGTACGCCAAGAATGGGGGAAAATAGCCTTACCCTTCTTTCCCTTTATGTATATTTAACAACCTTGTCAGCACAACGCGGTGGAATCTCGGTCCCCTTTATTATTTTAAGGTTAAATAATGGATGGAATGAAACGATGCTTTCGCTCGTCCTTCCTAAACCGCGCTCTCTGGGTCTGGGCGATGCAAGATGGACTGAAGTAAAAAGGGAAAGTGAAATATTAATTTTATTTATTCATCAAATGAGTAAGAGGTGCATATAGACCCTTGAAATCAAAGAAAATCCCATAAATGATAACAATTAATTAGTTATTGCTCATTTGTTAACATTCAATTTTGAAAATTACTTAAAAAATAACACTGAGTTTCATGTATGAACAAGTTATGCCCTTTCTACATATGCGCCTGTTATTTGTTTACGTCTAAAATAATACGTATTATGTCACATAATATGTCACAAACATAAAGCAATATAGCTTACAGGAAGTGACATTTTTTGCACATATACACCCTCATTAATGTACCGTGTACATGAACGTATACAATAAATTCACGTATAGCCTATTTGGCGTCCATTAATCAGCTAACTTATCAATGCATTTCCCTTATACGAGATACCAGTCTTTACCGGTACATTGTAATGAGTGCAAGTATCTAAGCAATGATAAACGGATTTATTTTATGGTGACAGCATCGTTGGTCAGCAGCATGCCTGCATTGGGGTGCATTAGGGTTGTGGTCACATATTTTCTGAAATGTTCGTTTTGATCAGTGGAAGGCTTTATTGCGGAGCACATTGGCTATTATAGGACAATGAGTGCAGACCTGTCCTTGCTGGCGTCCACGATCGTCAGCGTGTGGGATAAGGCGCTGGCACCGTCCGTCATATCAGCATCAGCCTTTACTCTGCGCGGAGATCGGGCTTAACAAACCGCTCCGCGCTGCGACCTCATGGATCCGTCGGCAATCGTGCAATTTGCTTAAAGGTTTCACTGAAGATGTGTTCAGATGCGAGAAATGTGGACCCCCGGTGAATGGTAAAAAAAGATTCCTTCGTGTTATGGATCCTCTGTGATTTTCTTCATTGTTGTAGAGAGGAAGGCTGCAAGAGGAAAGTGCGCCCTGTTTGTTTGTTGTAAAGCATTTTTCTTCTTCAAAGTCACTGAAAACAGCTAAAAACGCGAAAGACATTTTACCAGTAAGATGATTTTTCATGCAATTCAGCGCATGCTTCCGGATATTTAATAAACACCTGGAATTTAATAGATATATATTCGTAAACCGGTTCTCTTGGCTGATTGAAGGGAAGCACCATTAAACCATTAAACTTGCAAATATTTTGTATATACATGTCTGCATGAATTAGTATTATAATTTGAAGAACATTTTACAACTACCTGAAAATGAAACAAGAGAATGGATGCCTTTGGGAAAAGGTTATATAATCTGTAACTGCTGCGAGTTGTATTTTTTTAAGTTCTAAACAAAACCTCTTTTTACACATTTCACATATTTTGCACTGACACATTTTCAATCACAGACAATTAATGCAGCCATGCACTGTCATATAGTCTCTATAACAACAAATACACGTCTCCTGCAAGGAAAGTACTATCGCCTACTATAAAAAAAAACCACTAAGAAGAACAGTGTTTTGAATCATCGTTTTGAATATTGAAATAATTGTACCTGAGCACTAGGAAAAGCATAATTGAAAAACGTGTGGAAAAGTAATATTCGCAACTGAGAGCGGCTGGCAGCGTTACTTTTTACCTTCTGAAACTATCGTCTATCATCATAACGGGGTTGCTGCCATTTGGGATTAAGCGCCAGCGTCACTGATGCTGCGGACTGTGTCCATGAACCAGCAGCATCGCCGATGCTATCCTGTGCGACTCTAACGTTTATAAAGGTAAAGTATGTTTTCTCTTCTTTTCGATAAAACTTACTGCACAGTCCAAGTTTTATCTCGATCAAGTGTCTTGCAACTTGCAGCAGCATTTTCACTTTTCAAATAATCTGCACTCTTTTCCCTAAACATTTTGATCCATGTAAGGAGTGTCTGATCGGACAAAGTGATACATGTCTGATAGTGTTCGTTGGGGTTTATGATGGAAATCTTGAAGCACGGTGAGTTGTTTGAGTATGATCGTTTTTATTTTACCATATACACTTCCAAAAAGCGCAGCACTGTGATCTGTCGCCATCCTTGTCACAAGCAGGCAGCCTACGGACCACGTGGGAATTTGTCCTGTACCTAGGCCCTTCTTCATTTGCATTCATATTTATGAGAATGAACTAACTTACGGAAGGAGTACAGACTGTGAAATGGCGACATTACCTGAGCTATGTTAGCGCAGTGGAGTACAAATTCTTTCAACATCTTGATTTGACAGCTGAAGACAAATTTTATGCTCACATATAAACGGATTGTTTGGTTTTCAGGCTGGAATCTATGGTACAAACAGCCACATGAGCGGAGAATTGGGAAGGTGTGTCACACAGTTTGTGGACACTGGTCAGGGATAGAGGTGCAGTGAAAAATGGAAATGAAAATTCCTGACTCTGATCCCGCCTTAATACCAAAGACTTCATGGAAAGAATGAGTGGCAGTTTTTTTCTAATCATCGAAGATGGGGGGGGGGTTCATCAACACTGTTACTTGCTTATTCTCCTCCACTGCTCGTGGTGCTGCCTGACCTGTCCTGTGCCCCTGTGCTCACCAATCAGGACGGCTCAGGCCAGTCTCCCTGTGCTGGGACCCCCCCCCCCCCACAGCCCTGCCTCTTATGCTCCCAGCCTATCTGCTGATTCCCCCAGGGACCGTCTGCTGTCCTCATCGCAGTGCACGTGTCACAATGACAGCTAATTCATTTATTTCATCTTCATCCTAGCTGTACCGGGCGTTGACGGTGTCTAGTTTGAAAATGAAATGATTACAGTGCAGAATGGTGCTTGAAGTTTGAAGTCTATGAATAATGTTGCGGTAATGTTATGTCACGGCTGTAAAGTAGCTGGCTGGGAACTGCTAGTCTCACTGGGATTAGGTCCCGGACTTCCTAGGTTTCTCTTTCTGCAGCACTACTGGATGACTTTACTCACTGCATAATGCTGTATCTCCACTCTCAGGACAGGATGCTGAGATTAAATGGAAAAGCATAGCCCGTCCTATCCTACGAGGACCCAGATTGGGTATCCTGGGCTTTTAGAGCATGGCTAGTCGCTGTGATGTCATATGTCTGCGGTCCTGAATAGGTTTGCATTCCTTTTCCAAAGCCTTTGAGAGAAATGTACATGGCAACCTTCTCGTGTCGGTAGTCAGCGAGTCACATGGTTTTTAATGTTAAAAATAGCATGTATTGCTATGACAAAAAAAACAGAGGGTCAAGTTAATAACTGGAACCAATGTAATTGCTGTTAGCGTAAGTATTTGGTTCATTATCAAAGCTAAAGAAAGACGCCCCCCCCCCACCTTGTGAGGAATGTCCTTTGTGCTGTGGATTGGTCCTCTGTGGCTGCCCTCTGGTTCTCCCTGCCCCCACCCCGGGTTGTGGCCCTTTCACCCCCTGAACAGTAATCATCCTGTCGGCGCAAAAACCACCCTCTGTATAGCCCCTCCCCCTTGCCATTTCCTTCTTGTTAAGCCCCCCGCCCCCCCCCCCCTTCCCTTTCCCACTCTCCCATCATAATTTGTCTGTCCCTTTTAAACACAAGTGTCTAGTTTCCTTGCATCAGTTGTGGAGCTGTATTATTAACATGCCATTCCGCTGGCGTGTCTCTCTCGCCCTTAGAGGGGAAATTGGCGATTTATCCAAACGTCTGTGATCCGCCAATAGTGCCGTATATGTGACATTATATGCTAAAATGGTGTGAGTATTTCATCTGAATATAGACCTATTTTAATTCTTGAGCAGACATTTTTATCCAAAGTAAAGTTTTCTTTTAAGGGAGCAGGGTTAGCTGGTCCCTGGGCCCACTGGGGGGGTTAGGGGCCTTGCTCAGGGGCCCCATGGTGACATCACTCTGTGGGGTCCAGAATCTGAACCAGCAACCTTCCCATCACAGGTATGGAATCCTAACCCACAGAGCCGCACACCACCTCTGCTCTGAGTTAAATGGTAGGGAAAGAATATTTTCACTGTGGAGACCGTGGATGTTGTGGGAACTGAACTGAGATCCTGACTCAGGAGACGAAACTCTTTCATAGCAAAGACACGTGGACTCAGTACTGACCAAGGTGCTGGCTTAGGTGTCATACTTCTCTGACGTTCATGTCACATTAATGCCACAGTCTCCCTTCAGCAAGAACCTGAACTTATCCACTGGAACATGTTAACACTGCCGTGTTATTTCTCCAGTTTAATAATAATAATAATAATAACTGATACCTTATTGATCCCCGTGGGGAAATTGCCTTTACGCCTCCCCCAACCTGCTCTTTGTAGAGTAAGCTGTCCGCGAAAGGCAGCCACCTGTAGCGGTGCCCAGGGAGCTGGGGGTTAAGGGCCTTGCTCAAGGACCCACAGACGTGCTGAGGCCGGGTTTGAACCGGCGACTTAGTGACGTAATGGAACCACTGCAAAAAATTAAAATAAAGAAAACAAACAAAAAAATGCACCAATAGCTTGTAGAAGAACAGTTGTTTTTTTCAGGCAGGTTCCTACGTTTCCTACGGCACTGATCCCTTTGGGGCCCGTTTCCTCCACGTTCTGCGTCTCACCTTCCATACTGAATGCCAGAGCCAGCAGAGGTCCCCCACAGCGGGATGTGGAAGCCCCCTGCATTATTTCATGGCAAACATCACCTCCATCTTAGCTATTTGGCACTACGTGCAGATTCTCTTTCAGTGGACCAGATTTCCGGTAGTTTCTGGCCCATACCTACAACGCTGGGCTAAATTCTGCGGGGGTAAATTGTTCTGGGCAGTGTATTTCCACTGGACAGATGGACTGTTACAGGTGTTCCTCTGGTGAACCTATATCTTTGTTTAAAGTGGTTTCATTTAATCCAGATGCAATGCTGCCTGAGATTATGGAAAACAGGAATTAGCTTTGCCAAAATACTCCAGTCCAGTCTCTTTCCTGCTAAATGTTTTGTGAGCAAATGAGTGTAATAGACCAGCTTATGAGTTAACCATGTATTCCACTGTAATTAGTGGATTCAAAAGCATTTTTATGAACTGCACAATCCATCTTTCTCACTGCGGAGCGAGCTGTACAGTGCCTGGGCACTGACTTTTGCTTCTTTTGCTTCATGTGCGCTTGTCTTGCTCAGTGCAGAGGTTTACACTGATCCGCTGGCAGTTTGACGCATTCAGGTGAAGTCCAAGCTTATAGGTGTAAAAGCTGTGCCTTTGCTGCCAAGCAATTCAGTAAAAATCGTCCTTCAGATTACCCATGTGTGCTGCTTTTGTTCATTAGTCTTGATTGTAAAGCTCATTGAATGATTCACATAATTATCACGGTTTTCTATCATTTTCTTAGTCAATGAGCAATTAAATAAGTGTGGTCTTGATTCATCTGAGTAGCACATCTGTTGTCAACCCACCTGTGTAAATGAATATTATTATTATTATTAGTAGTAGTAGTAGTAGTAGTAGCAGTATTATTATAGTTATTATAATTGTTATTATTATTGTATAGTGCTTTGCAGAAACGCAAAGACACAATAGGTGAAAGAGGGAAAAAAACAATCTACACAGCTGGGTAATAATGGCATATACAGGGACACATAGAGAATAGATCCAAGTTGACAACAATTCATTTTAGGGAATAAATGAAATGATAAAAACTAGTTAATGGAAAATATTTTACATTTTAAGGGTTAAAATATCTTTAAAGTGTAGCTGATGAACATTTGAATGGAGCGGGTCCTCCACATTGTCAAAAGGTCAGATTTAAATAATTATCACACGATGTGATGTCAGACGCCGGCTTCTCTCTGTTCCGAGCAGCTGGTGGCTCAGTGGGTTGTTCTGTCGCCTCGTGTCTCCTGGACTGGGAGATCAGATATTGCTCCTGCTGTGTGTATGTGGAGTTTCATGTGCCTGCCTTGTGCTCTGTCCTGGGTAGTTTCCTGGGACTCTGTAAAACAGTTGGGTGTGTATTGAAAGAAAGGGGTGGATCCTCTGGAAAGAGTTGCTGGGGTAAGTAAGAAAGGCTGAAATGTCCTGGTGGTTTCTTATTAGATGTTGGGGACTCAAGATCTGTCCCGTATTTACCTGACTTAAATAACAGAAGTTGTTTCTTGTGATATTTTTCTTGGACGGATTGTTTGGTGTAAATCATAGTTGACTTAGTTGTGTGAATCAGATTCTGAGGAATCTGAAAAAGTGTGTCCGCTCGCTGTTGCCGTGGGAACTGTACTTTTTGATGTTGCAGGCGGTTATAATACGCAGTGACTAAAATAGTACTGAAATGACAACAAATAACCTGTCTGTCATTTGTAGCTTTGTGGAAGATATTCAGAAAAAAATAGTTATGTTGTTTTATCATGCAGTGGTGGTTTAGGGAAAGGTCATCATGTGCATTATATCCTCCTGAGATATACACCCATTCATTTATGTCCATTGTAGTGGACATTTTGTTTTTGCATCTATCTTTTCACTAATGTAAGGAAATTTATTTATTCCTCTTGTACACTAAAGAGGGCATGCTGTGAAATTAAAAATAAAAATACATTTGAAAAAATCTAAATTGTCTTATTTCCTCCAAAGACAAATAACCTAAAATTAAAGGACACTGTTTCCCTTGATATCATGTGTGTTATATCAGATGAATTTCAGCAAGTACAACATCAAGTGAAATTCACCGAGCTTCTCTTCATCCTCTCTGCTTCATCGGATGTAATGCTCTAAATACAGCCCTGAGCAAATCCCCATAAAGTCTGGCTCTTTAAGCGGCTGTGGGTCTGAGCCCTGCTCCTGTCATTGTATTGTCTGCTGATTTCCAGTCTGCTTGAGCACTTGGTTGCAATTATTATTACAGTAATTAAACCGAACGCGTCTTCTAGCTTAGTGCTGAGATGGCCGACAGGAAGCTCGCCACACCGGGACGGCACAAACCACTGCTTTAGCATCCAGATGTTAATTACGCGTCACTTCATTGTACTGGCAATGAGTGCAGTCTGTCTCCAAAAATAAAACTCTTTATCTAGCATGATTGGAGTAAGTCCAATATTCTATTCAGTGTACCTCTCTTGCTTTGAATTACAGTCCATTGTAGGTTGACTAGCAGTGACCCTAGTGTGGAATTTAGATTACCATAAGTTATATATGCATATGTATGAGAGATTTTAATACATGCAATATATCTTATTCACTTAAGATATTAATAGAGTATATTAATATTAATCTTGTAATCGGTAATATCCTGCATGAGGGTTAGGTGCAACATATGCTTGTTTAAGAGGTTCAGGTGAAACCTGGCCACCCGTCTCTCTGTGTTTGCATATATCTTCATAAAGTTAATATTATCGTATCAGAACAAGGGTGTAGATTTGGGTATAGACTGTAGGGACGTGTCCCTGACAATGCTGTGGGGGCGCCGTGTGTGTTGAGGAAGACAGGGCATTCAGGGCTGATTTAGTCTATACCAGTTTTGAAACCAATCCTGACCCCTTGACTCAGAAATATGGTATTTACAATAATAATAAAAAGATCCAGCTACGATCACCATAGGAACATTAACTCTGAATAATATGCATATTTGCTAAATTCATTTGTTTTTCCATTAAAAGTTTACCGTTGCATTCCAACAGCTACAACTTTGGTGTCATTTTAAGTGTACGGAAATCTGGAGGCGATTTTTGGATTCATATTTCCCAGCATGCTAGATAATTGCCTAATTAGAATTCATAGGGATACTCGCTCCTATTGCAGTACGTACTATTTTTGGCTTAGATTCCCGCAGAGCAACATTTCCCAGAATGCCCTTGGAATATCTCTTATCCTCTAGCGCTGGAGTCCTAGCTGAAAGGGTACGCAGTCCTTGTGTTCTCTGGGGCTGGACGCTCTCATTTGCTGTCAGGAAGCACAGCTGGAGCCCGGAATTTAACACCGGCTCTTATGGTTCAAGGTCCGCCTGAATTTTTATTGATAAGCACTTTGTCAAATTCAGACTGTACCTTTGAAATGACCCAGATGAGGGTAAACTTGAAAAAAAACAAATTGTATAAACAAAATAACATTTAATTTCCACGTAATTGAAAGATTATCTGTACTGCTCTTTGGGTACACCCAGAATGCCACAGAACACACAGTGACTGACATACAGATGTCAACTTGGGACCCCTGCTTAAGCCTACTGTGTATTTTACTGAGCAAGAGGCCTCCAGCAGTAGGTTTTGAGGCCCGTTCCCTGAATCTGGCCAGACAGTCCTACCCTTCTGATGCCCTGCTAACATATCAGTGTGTATCAGTGTGTTACAAAGTATTGCGATGTACGTAACCGAAAGACAGTGATTTTACCGCACTTCGCTGTTGTGGATGCACCCGCTTATGACTCTGCTCCAAGTGGCACGTCAGCGCCCCCATCTTTGAACTTGTTTGAACTGGAGAGACTGTGTATCTACTACAGCCTGGGAAACAGCTGGTCTGGGGGTCAAATCCGGACCGCGCCATCTTTAAAAAACGGTCAAGTTTTATGTAAAGTCTCTGCAGATGAACAGAGTTTTTTGCCCACAAATCTTTCTTTGAATTAATAGTGAATATATAGAAAATCTAACAATTCTATTGTTGTAGCATACAAAGTACTTGAAAATAATCATTAAGTAATGGCCCCCGGCAGGCATAGCGAAGCTCAGATTTGACCCCCCATGGAAAATAACTGCCGAGGCTGCGCTTCTGGATGGTCAGCTGACCTGCTTGTCAGCTTCCTGCTATGAAGTGTGACTGGATTTTTTTAAGCAGGGTTAAATAATCCTGATCCCTGCAAGCTGTTATATACTTCATGTAGGTTTTCATTCTACAGATGGACATTGAATTCTGTTTGAGTAAACTATTCTAAACTTGAGTAAACTATTAAACTTTAAAGATATTTTGACCCTTATACTGTATGTCGAAGGATGGCATGTTAACCCAAAGACCGTCTGGTTAAAAACACATCTTAGTCATTCCTCACCCTTGAACAGTCAGATTAAGGCTTAGAGATATAACTTTAGTTATGAAGGTTTTGGTCAAAGTGACCTTTACAAACACAATTGCATGTACATACCTCAGTCAGTCCCATTATTGTATGAACATCAGAATTTGTACTTATTTTTATATAACAAATTGCAGCCAGCTTTTCTATTTCTGAAAACCAAATGAGTAGTTATGGAAACTGAATGACAAATGAAGTCATTGTGAAGAGCCGAATATAACATTTTAACCATCCAGTATGATCGGTACTTGTACAAATTAGCCTACGTTGTTTTCCAGAAAAGAATCAACTATGACTTAGTGTGACTTCAACTGAAATTCAGCAGCATGTTGATTTGGAGTGATTTCTATATTAAGCAGCATGAATTCATCTTTGGCTTTTCCATTTGTATGGTCTCATTATATCAAAATTCGTTGAATCACAAGACACTGGTGGTTATTAACCGAATGTGTGTTTTGAATTTGAAACTGAACATGCACTGCTTGGTGTTTTGGCAGAGAACCACTGGTGAGCATTAGGATCTATGATGCAATGTGAATGACATCATTGTGAGAACATCCCTGGTTTAGATGGGTACGCGAGCCGCGTAGCACAGACCCTCTGCGGTTAGGAACAGGCTGATTGGAGTGGGAAGGATGCAGAGCTGATGGTCAGGGCTGAAGAGGGAACTGGACAAATGTCAGAGGATTACGGCTCCTGCGACTGGTGTCAAACCACTACTCTGGATACTGGGAGCCAAACAAAACAGAAGACAGCAATGTCCACATGTTGTTCAGAAACAAATCCCCTCCTCTCTTTGCACCCCCTCCCTCACAAACACAAATGATAGTTTTGCCATCATTTGTGCTAATCTTGCAAAAGCAACATTACTGCTTAGTTAAAGTCTGACTTAAAATGAGTCAAGGTATCTTTACCCAAAGCAAAAATAAGGAAAGACCCAGCAGACAAAAAGCCAGCACGGTTGTCTATGTTTCCTCCAAGCTGACCAACCGTGATTGGGTCACATTAATTGAAGAGTACATGGGTGTAGCGGCAGTGATCAGTTGCCATGGAAACACAAAGGGTCAAATTTATCACACTGGCCCCAACACAGTATCGGGCTCCCACAATTTCTAAGTGATATAAGGATAGTAAGGCATTTATGCAAATAAAATCTTCCTGAATGCAGTGCTCTTCTCTTTGTTTCTGTTCCCTGTCAGTCCCACTGTGTAGTCTTTCCTGCTTTCTCTCTCTCCACTCACAGAATCTGCAATTAAGTTACCCAATCGAGTCTTCCATGTTTGGCTGGATGCCCAATATCCTGCTCTGTGACTTGGGGCTTATTTAGAACCAGGTGAACCCTGAATACTCGCTTACAGCTACTGGTCCATGAGAGAGATGAAGCGGAACAGACATGCATGAAGCAGGCAAGGTGTGTGAAACGTGATTCGTGAAAGGTGTTAGTGTATTTGCACCTTTTTGACTTGTGGTTTATCTAATCCGTGTGCAGTAGAAACAGAGTGTCATAAACAGACGGGTATCTTTCTATTCTGGCCTTGGAAGTGGAGACTCATTTCCTAGATTTATTATTAGTAGTTGATAGTGAGAAATGTAGTGTGTCAGAATCAGGGAGCACGATATTATTGGATGTAGCCATGCAAAAATTAGCATGTAACCAATAAACTCTTCTCCATTTCCTGAAAAACCAAACAAGGCAGGTGTTTTGCAAATGCTCTCATACATGGGGAGACTGGCCCTCTCAGCTCACTTGGGCTTAATAATCAACAGGATACCAATTAAAGAGCTATTAAGGGGCTCCTGCTGTGCCTCATTCCCCCACACTAGGCGACGGGGCTTTTCAACCTGGGATCCGGAGAGGAGCTGTAGGGGGTCCACAGTCACGTCTCATCAGTTGACAAAATTACATTTTTTCAGCCGGTTTATGTATCATTAAAAATATTGAAATGGGCCCCCTGAGGAAATACATATTAAAGCCCCTCCCAGTTCTTAGCTCTTTGTTGCTTTCATGCATTAGTGGTGGGGGGGGGGGACTAGCTGTGTTGCATTTCCATTTGGGGTTCCCTAGTTTAAGCTTGGGGGGTGTGTGGCGCAGTGGGTCGGGATGCACCGTCTGTGAACAGAAGGTCATTGGTTCAAATCCCAGACTCAGCAGAGTGCTTTCACCATTGGAGGCCCTTAATCTCAAATTGCTCCAAGGACAGGCTGACCCTGCCTTCCCAGTCACCCATCCCTTTGGATGTCTGCTAGGTAAATTAATTGCAGAATAAAAAAGGAATTTATCAACATGAATTTCAGGAGCCAGTGACACTAAACCTTCCTTGGTATGTGTATCATGGCATCCAGAACCTCCATATTCCCAAGAAAGGGTTTGGATCACTACAGCTTTAGCTAGGTGATTATTGAATCTCACGGGTGAGTGTACTTATATGACACAGAGATAATGTTTCTCAGACCAGTGCATTTGCACCTCACATAGTGACTCCTCGGATCATTTTGTAGGGGATATGCCCTCACCTAGGACTTCAGTGAATGTTCATCCTGTAGGCTTCATAGATATGTCAACCTGTCATAGATATGTCAACCTGTCATAGATATGTCAACCTGTCATAGATATGTCAACCTATCTGGCAGCCAGTGCTTGTCATTAATGCGCAGTGCCACATAACTTGTAACACTGAAACATTGCCACTTTAATTACGACATTCCCGGAAGACATGAGATATAGGATTTGTGCATTTCTGTTTCAAATTGTTGTTTTTTTTTACAGTGGGAAACAGATAGAGAAGCCAGTTCCATTAAAAATAAATATTATGTGTAGATGTTGTAAAATAGGGGTAATGCAGTGACTCGTTGGATAGCACTGTTGCCTCTCACTTCCAAGCCTGTGGGTTTGGTTCTGGGCCCCAGATTTCAGCTGTTCTCCCAGGTGAATCGGTGTGGGTTTGGTTCCGGGCCCCAGATTTCAGCTGTTCTCCCAGGTGAATCGGTGTGGGTTTGGTTCCGGGCCCCAGATTTCAGCTGTTCTCCCAGGTGAATCGGTGTGGCGAAATCGATCAAGTTTGTGTGTGTGTGTGCAGGTTCTCGTACTCAGAGATTGACTGACTCCCCAGCCAGAGTGCCCCTGTCCTCACGCCCAATGCTCTCTGGGGTCGACTCCTGACCCCACACCCCTGTACTGAATAAATGGCCATAGAAAATGACAGGATATATGGAAAAATCACAGGTTTCATCAGAGCCCAGCTTCCTAGTTGTTTGAGCCCTGTTACTTAATAATCTCAGTCATCTAATTAGCACTTAATTAACTCATTCAATAAATACAAATATTTCACTATATATTGAGAAAATACTTGACATCGCAGTTTTTCAGGGGAGTTTGTTGGTATAAATTATTTAGCCAGTATGTCACAAATTGACTGATTAATTCAGACAAATGAGGTGTAATAAAATCCAGCAGGCAAATCGTACATCATCAGCTGACAGTCCTGCTTTAGCCGGGAGGGAAGGCCGGGAGGGAAGGGCGGGAGGGAAGGCCGGGAGGGAAGGGCGGGAGGGAAGGGCGGGAGGGAAGGCCGGGAGGGAAGGCCGGGAGGGAAGGGCACATATGAAGGTCTGGTACAGGTACATCTTTGACTAAACCTCTGATTTTTCACAGGGCAGTGTGATGTTTTTTTCAGAATGTCCACTTAATGGTAATGTGGGTGTGTGACTGACCACTCGCTTATGACTTACTGCCGCATGTTACCGTCTGCGCTGTGTGAACAGAGGGGGGGGGTGTTTCTCTATGGTCCTGCCCGGGCTGGAGTGAGACAGCTGGCAGTGAGTGAATGTGGCACGTAAACGCCGCAGGAGGCGAGATGGGGTCCGATTACTAGATGATCTACTGCTGGTTGCAGAAGATGCTGACAGTGAGTGTGTACTGACGCTTCTCCTTTCTGTCTGCCGCACGCAGGGTGTTGATGGAGAGGATTTCGAATGACAGCCGGGACAGTGGTCATCACAGGTGGAATTTTAGCTACAGTAATTTTACTGTGCATCATTGCAGTCCTGTGTTACTGTAGGCTACAGGTGAGTGCTATGGGAATTTTAAAGGTTTTTATAACTGCTATCACTGTCTCTGAGTTGTCCTTGGTGTGTACTTGTGTGTGCATTCACATATGTGTGTATGCATGTCCTGCGATGAAGTGCAATTTCATTTAAGCTTGTGATCTGTTGTTCTTGGGATAAGATGCAGACTCATCACAAGACTGTGTTGGATAAACGGTTATGGAAAATGGATGCATGAATGGAAGGATCTCTAGCAGTACAGAGCAGATATCATTTGTCCTATAGAAACACTGTAGCCAATGAATTGACATTTTTCTGTATCCTCCAGTGGAGATAAGGCATTGTCAGTAATATATCCCATGTCTGGCCGTCACACACTTTCAGTGTTCCATATTATGTGTGGCTGTACACATTGTGACATAGATAATGGATATTTTAGTTGGGTTTCTGGCTCAGTATGCACAGACAAAAAGATAAGCTTTATTCCCACAAGTATGTATTCTGCTGTTCTGTGCTAACACTGGCCCGACACTTCTGTTGAACGCCAGATAAAAGCAGAGCTGTTTCCCTGTCAGTGATATTGCTACCTACACAGTTCCCTTTATTGGCATGACATAACAAAAATTGGTAGTGAGAGCAGAGGGAAGGAAAAAAAATAAACAGAGAAACATGAGCATGACAGGTTTTTTGCCTCTGGATGTCAGTTAAAAAGGCTCTTGTTTGTGCTATGGCAGGTTGTCCTTTCTAAATGACCTGTTTGTGCTTAGGGCAGTGTTTTGCTGCTTAGAGAGCTGCTCTTCAGCATTGGCTAAATGTCCAGTTTACCAGAAACACGTTTTGACAAGGCTGGAAAAAGACGGATTCACAGAGGGAGAGGGGGAGGGGGCACCGCATGGGCTTGTTTACATATTGACCTTGCAGAAGTGTTAAAACTCCAAATAAATACGTTTATAATTAATGATATGCACACTCAGTGACCAGCTTATCAGGTACACCTGCTTGTTAGCACAAATAATGAGTCATGTGGCTGAATCAAATACAACTGAGTGCATAGAGCATCCAGACTGGGTTGAGAGGTTTACTCACTGTCCAGCTAAGCATGGTAACAATGACAAGGCCTGGTTTGTACAGCTTTCAGTATGGTGTGAGTGTTGGCGTCAGACATGGTGGCTCCAAAATGTCAGAAACAGCCGCCGTCCCGGGATTGTCGAGTTCACGGAGAATGGCGCGATGGACAAAGAATAATGTTTGAGTTAATTTGAAACTGAACATGCATTGCTCTCAGAATGAGTTTCAGTGGCCAAAATCACCTACACGCGAGAGGTCAGAGCAGAATGGACAGACTCATTAAAGGTAACAGGGTGATCACAAGTGCTAAAATAACAGCTAATACCACAGAGGTTTGCAGGAAGCTTTCTTTGAATGTGCAACTCATCTGTCTTTGAATGTATCAACCTGAATTCTGACATCAAACGTTTCAAGGGGTCCTTCTACTTCTGTCATTTAGGATCATAAAATGAGAGCAATACGATTTTATTCAGAGCCCTGAACTCGGTACTTGATAGAAGCAACTACACTGACAAAACTGTGCAATAATTCAGATTTTCTCAGGTTCTGTCAGGTTGCTTTGGGATCCTATATATTCCTTTTCAACAGATTCTGTCATTAACCTCTTTATGCTGACGACCCTTCGGTTATGGGGCAGAATGGAAGCGTAACTTACGATGGGAACGAGGGGGGCCTTTTAAAGAAGGCTCCCATTTTTCCATTAAAACTTTCATTAATGATTGATTTCCCCCAAGTAGTATGAAAATTTGTCTCTGAATCTGGATCCTTTGAAAAGTATATTTGATGCGGCCTCTTTTTTTCGTAGTAACATGTACAGTACTTTGCAAAATTTTTAAGCAGTCAGCGAAAATGTTTACAGCTATTTATATGGCTAGTAAGTGTACAAAACGTCACGGATATCTTGGTGGATGTCTAGGTGAACACCTCTCCTTAGGGGCACCTCAGCCGTTTCATGTATAGGTTCAATTTCACTACCACAGTTCAATTAAGTAATTTATGTAATTAGTTAAATAACACAGTGAGGCATTGATTAGCCAAGCAAAGTGTTCTAATGGTGTCAACACATTAGTATGAGTCAACACATTCATGGGTACATTAGATGGTCGTTGCTAAGAGTGAGGTGATTTTTGGAGTGGTTTCGAAATTGTTAAGCTTTGACACACATAAAATCATAGTTTTATACCAATAGAAACATGATTTAACATCACTTTTCTTTGACTGGTTAAGACATTTGCACAGTGTATCTGACAGGGTCTGTTTTTGTAATAAGATGTACGATAAAAAATAAATTAGCTAGCTAAAACTTAAATTGAGCTATTTGCTATTTAAATATAACCAACTAACTAACTAACTGACATTCTCCTCCGTCTGCAGTATTATTGCTGCAAAAAGGAGGAGTCGGAGTCGGAGGAGGAGGAGCCTGACTTTGCGGTGACGTCACACCTGCCGCCCGTTCACTCCAACCACAACATCATTGCAGCGACGGCGTCGGCAAACGCCAACGGGCCCGCGCTCTTCACGCCGCCGCTGGCCCGCAAGCTGACGCGCTCGCAGACCTTCTGTCCATCCTGCACTCACTACGAGATGCCCTTCTACCTACAGCAGCCCGAGGGCCTGCGCAATGGCGGCCAGCGCCTCAGCCTCCGGGGGGCGCCAACGCGGCGCGATATGGAGCTGCCCACCGAACTACCAAACTACCACAAGCTCAACCTCACACGCGCCGTCACCATGAGGGAAATGTTCACGCGCAGCTGCAGCATCAGCACCGACGTGTAGTTCCCTCTGGCTGCCAGCAGGGCGGCGCTGCCCCAGCAGGGATGTACTGTTAAGCCATACCCCCTCACATGGACACCCCTGACACGTCCTCCTGCACATTCAGAGGCATTTTCCCATGATTCTCATGCACAGTTACCCAGCTTGGGATGCTCATCACAGAGAAGCTTATGATCTATATCTGTTTTTTAAACCCCCCTCCCCTTATTTTTCATGTTAGAAGAGCCTAAAAAAATGGACGTAACCAGAACTCTGAAGGCTCTCCTTACAAGTCCAACTTCCCACCCCTGACATGGCTCTCCCACAGCCCCACAAAATAAATACCCCTTACACTCATGAGCTTAGCACCATACAGACTATGGCCTGTATTTATGAGTAAGCACTGACTGTTTTCAGAATGGAGCTCCACTTAGGTTTGTCTGTCAGAGTTATAATCCAGTCATACATCTAAAATTAAGGGCTTAAATTATTTTAGGATATCCGTGTATATTATAGAGTTTCCCAGCCACTACAAAGAAAGCCATTACCTTGCGCCGAATACATTTGATTACAGGAAAGCTGTTTGGTTTCTATTTCTACCTGCTGCCTGTAAAAGTACCCGATCCCTTTTTGATACCTGTAGGGGGACAGATTTATTTATTTTTTTTGGATACCAGGTATTTCACTTTTGGGCTGAAGTACTGAGGTGTGGCTTTGACAATTAGTTGGAGCAGCTGTGGAACATTAGCTGCAGAGATGTACCGTCGACGTGCCCAAAATGCTCACAGTCTTGCACACTGACGTCACGCCAGTGAGCCGCAGTAATACACCAAGGACTAACCACACCAGTGCGAGAACTTTTTCTTATTGTTTTGAAATTGTAAACCTCTGTGAAAAGTTATCATTTTCGAGTGAATTTTGTGGCCTAAGAACTACATTATATTTGACTGTACAACTTTATTATTTTATGGTGTATAGGTACTATTGTGTAAGACTTTTTAGTAAGATGTTATTCTACAAAGTATATTTAAAACAGAGGAACATGTGGGAAAAGCTTTTTATTTTGCGTTTATTTGTTTTTTTTTTTCATTGAGGTGAACACCTTGCATTCGTGACTGATCACCTTCTATTTACTAGCGTTGTATAACAGACTCACCCAGGGGGTGTCCCCAGGGGGTGTCCCCTTCACTCAGCATGGCTGCTATCCAGTGGAATCTCTCTCTCCGGGGTCGGCCCACTCTGCTGAGAGTGTCTCTGTTGTTGACGTGCAGGAATAGAAGTGTGAATGGTGACAATCATCTCTGCCACCAGCTGTCCCTTTTCAACCAAGTCCCATATTTTGGTTTGTCGCTCAGATTAGTTCTGTTTAGTCTGGACGCTTATTGGTTTACACGTCTGTCTGGATGAGTGCCTCTCAAACTTCTGCACTCTAGCAGCGGGAAGAAGCTGAAGATTTTCTTGCATTATATCTTTATATCATATCATTTTTACACACAGTAATACAGAAAGAGCATTTGAACGCTGGCCTCTGTCAGTGGGGCCCGAGCTGTGCTAATTTGTTGTTACCTTCTGTGAGTTGGTTGTATTTTTCCAGTCAGAAAGTGAGATTCTCGCCACAGGAGAACGGAAACCTAAAAGCTGAATTTTTCATTTTGTTGTGTCTTTATTTTTACATTCACTTGCATTTACATTCATTTTGTGGACATACAAGTGGGGCAGATGGCACATTACAGTACGTACATTTGTGCCATTGAAGAGTCGACTAGGTGTAAGTGCGGCTAGACTGAGCTTCCAGTGAATACAGTTACAAGCAGCACTGGAGCAGGAGCTACATCTTCCAAGAAAGCAAGAACCTAGTAATGCTATTCAATGATTTTTACCGCCTCTACCCCCCTGCTCATTCCTCTCTCCGCAGGCTCAAGGACAGGCCATTGGAGGAATGGTTTTGGATAGACGACAGTCTTAGGTACTCTGCCTGTGCCATCCCATCACTGGAAGGCTTGTGGATGACCTGGTGGCCTTGTCTTAGTGAATGTTTCTGGCTTCTTGGGATGTGACTGGCATCTAGGGATGATGCCGCTGTGTGTCGTAGCCAGAATAATCCTCTTATGTCCCTGCTGCACCAACTGAGTCCCTTCACACAAGCATATGCACCAGAAATTTCAGTAGTAGAGTGCAGCTGTTACAGAGAGTATTAATTAATTGGTTGTATCTGATGAGTGTGGGCTATGTGTTATAGACTTCAGATGAAAGGGGATTATGTAAGAGACATTATTGATATTGCTCTTACCATCATACCGTCATTGTTGATATTATTAATTACTAATATTTACAATTATTGTTTGATGTTCTTGATTCTTGCTGGATGTTGCTTTCTCTCAGTATTTGTGTTTTTCAAATCATTGTGCTCAGCTTTACAACGCTTCCCGTTCCAGTGTTGCTACTGTTCAGTAATTCTGACATGTTACTGACGTGGTTAAATCTGTGAGGCTAGCACTTGGTGGGTAATAAAATACAGTTTAAATCTTTTGTGCAGATTTGACTCTGTGACGTATTGAGTTTCAGTTCCATTGAATGTTTTCACTGGAGCTGAATTGTTTGTGGAAGTTTCACAATTTTTTTTTTTTAATCTTTTTTTACAAAGTACTCCATAATTTAGAATATTCTTAATTAAATACTGTATTCGACAGAATTATTTGCATACTGAGATTTAGCAGGCCAAAGGCAACATTTTATGCTAGCTTTGTACCATATATCCTTGGTGATTTGGTATGTGTTTTGTTTTGTGTATGACACCAGAATGTGGCTTCAATGTAATTTTCTTGATTGTGAATCCAGTGGCCTGTACTACGAAGCAGGGTTACTGGCTTATCGGGTTAACTTGTTGGATTTAAGGTAGTCTGGGCAAAATGTAAGTGAACGAATATGAAGTCCATTTAAACGGTGTTACCTTAAATCTGACAAGTTACCCCGATAAGCCAGTAACCCCGCTTTGTAGTACAGGCCACAGGGATCATGTGCTTGTCAGCTTTTTGCCATATCATCATTTTGTCTCTATATTGTTCATTATATTATTTGTTTATATATTTGGATAAGAAAGAATTATGAATTAACAAGAATATGCATTCCTTATTCAGCCGAATCATATGTGAGATTCTATGTTGTTCTATAAATGTTTATATATATTATATATATATATATGCATATATATATATATGCATAGATATATATATATATATATGCATAGATATGTATAGTATATTAAGAAAAATGCAATTTAATTTCTAAATAAACATTAAACCCTACTAAATGCTAAATTATAAAAAATGCATGCTTAGTTCATATTGTTTTATCCTGCATATACTATCAGGTAACTTAATAATATAAAGAGCCTAATGCATGGCATTTAGATTTAAAAGTACCAATAGTAGCATAATTAGCCCTTTACCCAGATTTCCCTCTGTTTGAAAGCATTGGATTTTTGCATAAATCATACAACTAGAGATGCTCAGAATATTATGGGAGCAAGATATGCAAAAAGCGAGAGCTTGTTAATACCAGCTGATGGATCAAGGTGTCGAAACGTGCATAACTGAAAAGGAACCTCCTAGGAATGCCATGTCTATAAGAATCTATGAACGCATTCATAAATACATTATAATATGTTCATAAAGCATTTTAAACACATTATAGCCATGTTTATTATGCATTATTATGCAGGACGGCCTTAAGTGCTCATCTATAATGCACTATAGATACATTTATAATGCAGTACACAGCATCCTTAATGCTTATACTGACCATTATAATGCATTATTAAGGTATCTATAATGCATTATAGATGGGAGCGTCATTGGAGCTTAAGAAGTATTATAATCAATACTATAATGTCGAATGACTGTCAGTAGAAGATGCTGTAATGCTTTATTAATTCTTATACCAAACATTATAATGCATTGTGAAGGTTTTATAATGCATTATAAATGATAGCTTTAAGTAAAGTGTTACTGATCATACTTAAGTTAAAAGAAAGTCAAGAAAGAAATCTATTACCAGCACATTTAAACATGTTTGAAGAAAAGAAGTGAGAGCTACAAACATTGGCCTCGTAGGGGGTTACAGTGTTTTTCCTTTGGAAGTGGCAGAATTTCCTTAGCTACAGACAGCATTCAGCATTTTCTTTTTTGAGAAACGTTAATATGGCAAATATACATAAAAGTGATATAGTTGCAGTCGTAGTGTAATATTGCATTTGTCCTATGTGGTTTCATTTAGTGGCACATAATTCGTGAATTTAAAGAACTTCACTGGCATTCATCAATCTACAGGCACCTCATAGACGTGTAATACCTTGCAAAGATAATTAACGCATCGTGTCCTTCAAGTGCAAAAGTTGTTTGGCAGTATAGTTTATATTAATGTTATGAGAGTGGAGATTTGTACAGCGAAGCCCAGCCTGCCCTAATCCTCACATCTTGGTTATGCATCTCAGCACGTTATGACTAATGTAAGCAGTTTATGCTGGCAATTACATTTGACCTTCACTTGAACTTTAAGTGACCAGTACACAGTGAAGTCATTGCAACACTGGATGAATGCATCATCTCAGGACCTTTGAACGCCACTGAAAATTGTTGTGCCGCAATAGCGAGGCAGATTAGTAGGAAGCCGGTCTTCCTGGTGTCAGAAGTATGGGCCCCTGCAGGACCGGCAGCAAGCCTTGCCGTAGTACCAATGGCTGCACAAGTTCACCTGCAAGGCCAGGGAGCAGTTGGTGTCGGGCTGGTCCTTACAATTCCCATCTGGAGCAAGAGACACCAATCACCGATCCGTTATTCTCACCCCTTGCAATCAAATTTATTTCTACCCATGAGGCTGGTTGTACCTGGGGGCTGTGTTGGGCAGGGATCCAAGGGGCAAACCTGCTTACTGGTGGGCTTGGTTAGGGGGTCACACCCCTTGACAAGCTCCCTTCCTTGGTAGCACTTCACATCTCTTGAGCGAGTGCCAGTGCCACAGGTCTTGGTGCACTATGGAGAGCAAGAAGAGACTATTGGCAAAAAAGCAGTAAAGCGGGTAGGATCATTATCTGGTGGCTAATAAAAGAAAACGATGTGAACTCAGACGTGGTTTATTTGACCTCTGACCATGGTGTGGTGTACCACTTGAAGCATGGCCTCTCAAAGCAGGTGCTCTCGTCCTCCGGTCGCTCTCCTGCAGCACACTCACTGTCTTCATGGACTTGAAAGACCCCACCAGTGATCCCAGCACACAGGACCGTTCTTCGCCTGATGCCGCGGCCACATCTCGTGTTACACTTTGGGAGAAAGAGTTTGCCCTGCATATGAATACTCTGTAGTAGTGATACACAAGATGTAGTCTTAGTCACAACCATCTGGCAATGTCATTATCTGAAATCCTGGAGAGATGGAGAAGACAGTTTGTTCTTCCAGTTGAGTAAATTGTAACACAAATATTTCCAGTGTCACGGAATACATTAATCATAACTTCATAATTTAATTCTATCATTTAAGGAAAGACCAGACCAAAGTGTGACATACACAGGAGGAAAGTCTCAGACATTTCCAGCTTACAGCTGGTAAACTCCTAGCCTTTATAACAAATAGTATCTTAGCTATAATGTAACAAGGCTAGGTAACATTGTCCAATATTAGTTAAGGCTATGTAACATTGTTCCATAATAGTTAAGGTTACCATATATGTGCATAAGCTAATGATGGACAAAATGACACTTCATGAACCATTAGCTGTATTTTCTGACCCCACTAGATGGTGCTCTTGGTTTACTTTGGGGCATTATTTGTGCCCTTTTTTAACAGAGAGCACCATCTAGTGGGGTCCAAAAGTACAGCAAATGGTTCAAGTAGCATCATTTTTTCCATTGCTACCCTTTCCCCATTGTAGAATCCTTTTTGTAGCCTGATCCCTCAGCCCCATCCGACTTTTCCACCCTCCCTCTAGCCCTTATTCTCCTCACCATGTCCCAGTCCTGCACTATCCAGTGTGGGGGGCAGTCCAGGCTTCCACAGGAGTGTATGGCCAGGGGGCGATCTTCGGCAGGGCATTGAGCATCAGGCATCACGTGTCCATCTGAGGTCTTGCAGTAGACGTGCCGGATCATCATGCCCTGTCCACACGAGCCGGAGCACTGGGTCGAGAGCATGTAAGGAGGTTAGGCACTCAGCACTGAGCCAGGAGATAAAAGGGCTTAGAGTTATAGCAAAGATTGTTTGGTAGTGCTTTATATGAACTGCATCTTCATAATGCCTTTATAATGCATTCATAGAATATTCAGTGCAGTGTCATGATGCTTTCATACAACATTCATAATCAGTATGCAAGTATACCTTAACATCCTGACATACCTTAACAGGTTTAATATATATTAACAACAAATATTATACGATCATAGAATTGTAATGTTTATTAGTATCATACAATGTTGGTCATTAATGTATATTAAAGTTGTTAAGGTATGTTAGGATGTTATGGTATACTTACATACTGCTTATGAATGTTCTATGAATGCATTATGAAGGTGCAGTTAATGTAAAGCATTACCAATTATTTGTACTCTTACTGAAAAATGTACATGCTTTACCTTTCAAACGGTGCTGCTGCAAACACTTGCTCTAGTCAGTTACCGGAATACTTCCTTGTTGTTGTGTACTTCTTTACTTAAGATTAAAATGAGCTTTACTTAAAATAGAAAAACGAAGCTAGTGTAACTACATGGTAATTCATTATAATTATATGAAGCATTTGATGGGATTTC